CCGAAGCTTATTTTCCCCCCCCCCCCCCCCCTTGTGCAAGCAGAACACCCCCTTTCGAATCCATATCCTAGTAATTCGTCCACCTTCGACATCCGCCGAATGCTTTATCGTACCTCTCTCGACCAGTATCGCCCTGCTCTCGAAGTCGTCCCTCCTCCCCCCTGTGTATCGTACCCTCGAATCTTCCCCAATTCCCGATCCAATAAAACACACATCCGCCCTCCCCCTTCCCCCTTTTCCCTTGCCGCGTCTATAAGACCTCGAAGGTATACAGCAGCGCGCAGCCAAACAGCGACAGGCACACATATGCGACCCTAACCGAGCACAAAGCAAGTCACAGTTTCAGCAATCATTACGTTCTCTCTCTGCTTGTGTCTGCGCTTTGTCTTTTGCTTTGTGTTTTTTTCTTTTTGTTGTGTTGTGTTTGCTGGTTGTCCTGTTCTTCATCCGCTTCGAACAGTTCTCCAAACCAAAAAAAACCCCTGTGCAGCATGGGAGAAAAGAGACAAGACATCTATTTTCCCCCATCACACACTCTTTTGATTTTAAAAGAAACAAAAGAAGAAGAGAAGAGGAGAGGGGAAAGAACAGAGGAGGGGAAGAGGAAAGGAAGAAAGAAAAAAACACGTCACAGCTGGCTGTCGTACCGGTCGTAATAGTGGCCCCAACCACTGCTGCCCTGGGGGTTGACCAGGCTCTCGGCGTCGCCGACCTGTCTGCGCTCCGAGATCTCCCTCCCCGCGCGTTGTTTTTGGATTTTGTACTTTAGCGGCAGCGCCAATCCTCGAGACGTGTGCGAATGCGGATGTCCGTCCCTCATGACTGCTAATTGCTATTGCAGGGGCTCCGAGGAGCTCGACAGTCGGTTGAGGTGGAGGTAGACATCCGTGCCGTAGCTAGAGATAAAGAGTTAGCCCTTTCTGAACAACATTTAGATGAATGGGTGAGGGAGGGGATGATGATTGATGGCGAAAATAAACACTTGCCCTTCCATGCTAATCAGCTTAAGATCGCCTCCGAAATATCTCGCGTACAGTCGTGATATGGGCAGTCCGTATCCGAAGCCGGCCATCGGGGCCTTGAAGTCGCTCTTGTCAAAGTCCGGGTCCAGGCTGGGCGTCCTGTCGACCGTCGTGTACATGTACGTCCACACCAGCGGGATGGCGCTCCGCGGTATGCCGCCGCCCTCGTCCGACACCTTGATCGTGATGTCCTCCTTGCCCTCGGCGACAATGACCTTTGTCACGGGGAACTCCTGCTTGTCCTGGCCGTGCGTCTCGACCACGGCGCGCAGCGAGTTCTTCAGGGTCTCAAACAGCATGTGAGACAAGTGTCCCGGAACATACATAAAGTTGAGGTTCGGGTTGCACACAAGCTGGATCTTGGGAGCCTCAAACAGACCGTAGTGGTCTTCGCAGACAAAGCGCGCATTCTCGATCGCTTCTTGCGCCAGGTCGCGGACGTTGGTCTTTGTGCAGATAATGCCGACGTAGGTCGGGTCGCGGTAGTGGCTCTGGTCGGTGAGGGCGATGTGTTGGCCGATCAGCATCCGGATGCCGATACGGGACATGTAGAAGCGGTCGAGGAAGGCTTGAATGTTGTGGTCGATCTGCATCCTCTGTCGTTTCCTCTTGTACTCGAGGATGCCCTGGGCCATGGTGGTGACAACGCCGTCGTGCCTCCTCTTGATCTTGTGAAGAGTCTGGGCAAACTTTTGGTTGTACAGCTGCAGCTCCGGGGGCCAATCGCCTCGGTCGTCCACCGAGGCAAAGTATCTCCTTGAGCTCAGGCCCTTCTTAGTGTGGCCGTTGCCGTTGCCGTTGCCATTGTTCATGGAGGCGGTGGCCAGGGAGGTGTACTGGCCGGGGTCGATGCTCGGGTTCGGCGTTGCTTCTGAAAGATAGTGCTTGCCGGTCCTCGCCGGCTTCATCAGTCGGCTCTTGAGGTCTTTGTCAAGTTCTGGCCTGGGCAGCGTGGTGATTTCCTGCGCGCAAGAGCATGTGAGTCATGGCGTGATCAGAGGGTATATGGACGGCGATGGAGCAGAACATACCTCGAATGACTGCGCGTACCAGTCCTGCACCCTCTTGACGGAGGGCATCTCGTTCAATCCATCGGGGAGAGTCTCTAGCTCTTGCACTCGGTGCGCCAGGCGGATGGGGAGCTCTTCGGCGAGGAACTGTGAAGCGCGGAACAAGGTACCTGGGAGCCACGCCAGACACAGTCAGTACGCGGTGGACAAGGGTGTATAGACGGAGCCATTGAGGGCCAAAGCATACCTATTGACGGCTTCTCGCCGAATTGGACCATTTGCCGCAGGCTGACACCGGTTGCAGGGAAGCTGGCATAATGCCTGATGGTGTCCATCAATCTCTCTGTCGCCTTCCAAGACATGACGGGCGAGCTGTGCGGGGGGGGAGCAGCCCCAGCGAAAGAGGGTTTAGACCGTTCGTATGAATGAATAGGTGGTGACCATGAGCTGCGGGAGGAATCCGTCTGCAAGCTTTCGGATACGCAAGATAATTGTACAGCTGCGGGTTTGCTGTCGTGACTGTTTTGTTCACCCAAGGTCAAGTGTTGGAGTGGTTCGGCGGTGCGGCGGGCACCCGAGTAAGTATGCGTATAACCGAGACCGAGGCAAGGCGCTGCTGCTGCTGGGGGGGTGGAATTGTGGTGCAATTGCTGCTTATGACGCAACTAGAGAGCCAGCCAAAGACAGGCACGCAGACGAGTCAAAACACGGGAATATGCGCGCTTTTATACGACAAGCCACCATTGGGACAAGGAAATGCTGTATGGCAACACAAGAAACATACAGTCTGAAGAAAGAAAAAGGAAAAAAGATGTGGAGGGAAGAGCGAGAGGAGTTAGGGATGGGGTGAAGAGAGTACAGGTCGAGAATAGTAGGTAACTTTAGGTCACTTATTAGGCCGGGCAAAGGCAACCAGCGGAGAGCCTGGAGGTGTCAGTCATGCACCCCAAGGGCCGCTTCGGTACAGCGCAAGTGAAGTGAAATGGGAGCCCTCGATTGGCGTGCGCGCCAGAGTGGGCTGGTCTGCCTCTAGGCTCTCCCTAATGACTGTGCAGGTACCGAGTACAATAGCACTCGAGGCGACTGTGCTCTTTCGGACATGGAGTGGACTGCTTGCAAGCTCCAGACCTGTTCATACACACGGTAAAGTACATACGATACCTACCCAAGCCCTCCGTGTTTTCCCTATTGCTTGCCGGGGCAGTTGTACGTTGGGCTCAGGAGGGAAAAGATGGTGACTTTGCCATGTCACGCGGGGAAATGGGAACATCTCTCTCTCCCTGGAAGTGCTGTCTTTGTAATTGTGCATCTGTTTCCCTTGTGAGCCTTCAATGTTCTTCACCGCCAGCCAGGACAACAATAGAGCATCCATCAGACTTGTTGCTCCGGCCCAGTCGGACACCAAACAACTATCTTTTCGGAACGCAAAAGTTCACTCCACTCGGCCGGCTATTGAAGCGAAGGAGGGTCGAGGGCAGTGGGCGAGCCTCGATGGCTGCGCGCCCAGCCCTGGAGGCGCTTTCCCCACACTCCAGTTGTTCCCGCGGCTGCCATTTCTCCCTCTCCTGGAAATGCTAGGCCGTTCGTTCCCCACCAAGAAAGACAAGAGACGCGCGCATCCGGGCCATAACCCCAGTCACACAGTCCAGTCCTTGTTAGTTCGGCTTCTTCAGTGGTCGTAAATCAGGGGACCGTACGTAGGTAGGGAACTACTTGGAACGGAACGGGAAGCCCTCTCTATAGGTAAGCAAAGGGAACTCATCATGCTATGGCAAGCACAAATACACAAGGCCGCCGTTCCGTCTTGTCTACCTAAGGCACATCCTCGCCGCAATGTACAGCGTACGCACTTTCTTTCATGTGATTATTGGACTCGGCAGGGCCTCAAGGTTTGGCTCTCTCTCCGGTACATCAATCATCCTTGACGGCTGACCACGCGACCAAGCAGAAGCTTCAGGTCAGGTACCTTAGGTAGTCTGCTCGGGTGATCGGAATGTCTCGGGGGGCTGGGTCCGTTCATCCTTTCGCGAATTCAAGCTCAAATGCACTTGTCAATGGGGAACTACCTTAGGTAGAGCAATTGAGCACAGACCACCAGAATGCAGGTCATTTCTTATCTCTCTCTTATCGATCAGATACCAAGAATGTCTGGCTTTCAATTCAAGCTCAAGGTTTCCTCTACAGGAATTAGCTCCACCGCCACACCGATTCGCTCACCACAGGCCGCACGCAGCTAATGCAACGGTCCACGTCAACCCATGGTTTCATTCCCAACGGCCAATAACTCAAAAAAATTCCATGCAAGGCGAGACGCTGATCAAGCACAGTGTCTCAGGCCTGCTCATTGGACCCTACGTCTGACAGCGCCGCCGCCACACACACCGCCGTTTTTTTCACGGGCCCGGGCCCGAAAGAACCTCTTGTGAGATGCCCCACTCGCCGCCCATAGTAGGCGGCGGTGACGTCGTCGATGCTCTCGGCGTGCAAAGGCATCGCGGGCGTCCACGAACGCCCCCGGAGCTCGAATCTTCGCAGTCGCTAGACAGCCCCTCTGCAGGGTCGCCCTTGACGCCGCCGCGCCTGACTCCGGGCCGTGGCGCCCGCTTCGGTGCCGGATCGCCGCGGCAACGCCAGCTCTTTTCTCCTTTCTCGCCCCAAAAGTCTACCGAAGGTTTCAGCCAACCAGAGGACCTCGATGAAGAAGATGGTAGTTTCTCTGCTAGCCAAGGAAACTACACTCACGCTCCATATGAAGCCCGTCCCCTTGACAGCCGTACTATCCTGGTCGACAGGCTGAGCGAGCTTCTAGATCGCCTGGAGACCGGTGAGGCACTGGAGGATGACGCTCTGTACACCATGCACACGCAGGTGGACGCGATGGAAGGCGTTCTCTACATAGCGAGCAAGTCCAAGACACCAAGCATCAAATCCCCATCTCAGCGTTCAGCCGCCTATGTGGACTGGCAAGGTCGACAGGGAGATGGGCGGGGGTCGTTTCGGAGCAGCGGCTCGTCTCCAGCGTGGGTTCGGTCTGGATTCTCACAGCAGAACTCGCCTTCCCTCTCGAAACCAGTCGCTTCCTCTCATTCTGTGAGAGAGCGAGCTCAAGCCCTCGGCAAGGCAGTGAACCAACCTTCTATGGAGGGTAGGAGCGAGGAGCAGTGTTCTCCAGAACCCAGGACTGTGACAAGAGAAGAACCTAAGGTCTCGTCCAAAGTTGTCGACCAAATCGTTCAAGAGGCCGAGTCCCTGCGCAAGGATATGGCCAAGGTGATGAAGAACCTCCAAAGACGACGTGAGGAGGCAGATGCAAGTGCCTCCCTGTACACCTTTTGATTCAATAAATAATCTACTAATATAGAAAGTATAGCATCTGCATGATATCTTGATTGAGAGATTGGAAGTTGCAGCCCGACGCATCATTCAACTCGAAGCCACGGTTGCAGAGCTGTACGTATTCATTCATACACCTTGCTCCACTCTTACACCTACAAGTAGCAAAGCTAACAGCGCAGCCGCCAGAGAAGATCAGATCAAAAGTAACGAATCTGAGCTCAACTTTCTGCGCATAGGCCTGCGGGGTATTGAGATTCAGGCCCTAAAGTACGAGGACGGCGATCCAGTCCTCGTGCGGAGAATCGAGAACTGGAAGAAGGACTGGGCGAGTTTACGGAGCAAATGGACGGACAAGGCGCCTAGGGAAACCGCTACTCGGCATTCGGAGAGCATCTTGGAAGCCGTGGCCACGGGCCACGACGACTTTCCCTCGGAGATGCCGCATTTGGTACGGAGGTAGGATACGGATACGGTCCGTTACGGTCGCATACACGAGGCGCTTTGTTGTTGCTGGCATTGGCGGTATTTGTGACAAATGGCTTACTGCATTTGATACCCGGGGACATTGATGACCTGGATGGTTATGGTATACGATACACGACTTGATGCTTTCCTGTTATATATACGCTGCTTCACTTGTGTCATTACTACTCAATCTCAAATAGTTTATGAGGAGCTGTGGGAATAGGACCAATAAGTCAAGGTTCAGAAAGACCAATGGCCCAGGATGGATGATGACTGTCACAGATGCGAAACACCTGCTAATTCAATGGGCAGAAAAGCTATTATGATTGAGCCAAGCATCTATTGATCTATGTCTAGTATGCAATTGGGAGCCACCTATCGCAAACAGCAGACAATTGAGGACCTAAGATCCATAAAGGGGCTGGTGACATGAGCATGGGCTGGGGATGGATTCCTGTTGGATTCCGCCAAACAGCCTACACACGCACATACATACCTCTTTTCCCAAAACAACAACCCTCCAAAAACAAAGAAGAAGCCCACACACACCAAACATCCTACCACCGCTACCTAACCACGGCCCCCCCATCTCAGAGTCCGGGAGCCGAGCTCCCCTCCGACCGGGTATCCCGCGCCGGGCCCTCCCGTGCTGGCAACCCCCTCGATCGGACCCGCGCCCCAGGTAGCAAGCCCCTCGAAGCCGGGCAGCTCCCACTCCTGCGGCGCGACACGAGGCCGGCCGGTGCCTCGGGAAGAAGGGCGCGGGCCGCGCTCGTCCACATACGAGCTGCGAGACCGGGACCGCGCCCGCGGCCGCGGGGGAGGAGCGGCGTAGGAGACTGCCGGGGGCGGGGGCGGCGGAGGCGCGGCGGCTCTCGCGGGTGCGGCGGCAGAAAGCTCCGCCGCCGCCGTCGCCTGGCCTGGACGCACCCCGCGAGACCGCTCGAGCTGGCGCCGCAGGAGCGACCGGCTGCTCCGGCTCTGGGCGTGGCCGCCGTCGGGCGCCGCCCCGTCGCGCGGCGGCCTCGCGTCCAGGTCCCAGAGGTCGGGGACGGTCGGCCAGGCGGCGCTGACGCGGGCCAGGCGCGCGGCCTCCTGGGCCGGGTACGCGAGCGACGCGACCTGCAGCCAGCGGCAGAAGCCGGCCTCCGTCAGCTCGGGGGCTTGCTCCTCCTCCCTAAGCTCCGCCGGGTCTCGAGCCGGTTGGAGCTCTGCATCCAGGCCGCGGAAGAACTCCCGGAGGGCCCAGCCCGGCACGGCGGGATCTTCAAAGAGCTCTGGCAAACAAGGGGAGATTTTTGTCAGCCACTCCCCAACAAAGTCTACCATACTCGATTGAGTTTTTTTGAGGGAGGGTGGGTCTTCCTTGGCCCAACTTACCGCGGAAAGGCACCAGCGTATCGTGCCGCGCCTCGAACCTCCGGTAGAACCGCGCGAGCATATAGGGGCTAACACCCCTGCTGCCGCCTCCGTAGGTGCCGCGCTTAAGGCGACTGTCAGTATTGTTTTAAAAGAGTTGTATGTATATATATATAATAAAAAGATAGTGTGATGTGTGTGAACTTACGATTCTCTGAAAAATGTGGCCAGCAAGCTCCCTAAATACTTTTTTGGGGCGGCCGTCGACGGATAGGGCTATGTCAGGGGCGCCTCCCCCGGTCACCGGGCTGCGGGAAGCCATGTGGTGAGTTGGCCGTCGGTGCTAGTCACCCATCGTCAGTATTTGAGGGTAATCTTCTTCATCTGGTGCTATTCAGTGGCCTGGGGAGCACCGAAGAGGACACATGAGGAACCATCATTGCCTTCCCCCACGCTGCCATCCTACCAAACCACCCCTTCTCCAACTAGTATATGAGGCATACCTTATGATGGTGACGCTTGTGAGCCTTGCGGCCTTCTCGCCGAGTATGACGGTCGTGTGAGCGCGATCTGCTATGCGTATAGATGATCTCAGGAAAGAAACACATCTGGCTGATAGAGCGCTGGTCGAGTTGTATGTACGATGGTATCAACAGAAACCGTGAATGGTGTACTATTTGAGAAGAGATAAAAGTATGTGAACGCAGTCTTCATCCTCCTTACGACACGACAAGCCCGGCGGCAACCCTGCCCTTTATACACAATACCCCAACAGTCATACTGCCCATCCCGTAGAGTCAAGGGCAGTCAGTTCAAGGCGACTCACATCACACAGGATATCAGCCTGCGCCATTGAGTAACTTTATGAATCACTGGGCAAACAGATGCATGAGTGCCAAGGGAGTCAATACGATGGTTGGTCCGAGGCTATCATCAAGAGACGCAGCGAATGTTGTGTCCCCTCCGGTGAAGCTTCCTCTCTCCGGCAATGACTGTAATAGGCCATCTTGCTCTGCCAACCGCGACATATCGACTCTAGCCCCCGCGGGAGACCTCCTTTGAGGAGATACCGAAGAGTAAATTTTGTTGAGAAGGATCGTGAGCGTCATTGTTCGTATGCTCCTCGCCGGTTCTAAAGCCTCTGTACGCCGGTGACGGAAGTGCCTGGCCAATCCCCAGGTTTGAGAATTGCCCACGTGATGGAGGGTAGTGAATCGCATAGTGATTTTCAGTTGAACTTGCAATGCTCAAACTATGTGCCACAGGCGTGGTCCAGTCAAATTCTGACAGAGATATCTTGGTGTGGCTTCAGGGCGAGCTGCACGACCAAGATCACTGCTCGAAGGTTCGTGTCTATGATGCACTAAGCCATGCACTAAGCCATGATGACCCAGTGAAGTACCTAGGTAGCTTGGACGTCAAGATGCCAAGCTGAATCACGGACAACAATTGGTTCAATACGGAGCTTTCCCTTCTTGCAACTCGCCAACATCACATACGAGAGTGTATTACCAGCCGAGGTACAGAGAGAAGGAAATCTTGCATTATTGGGTGTCTATGAAATTATCTGAGGTGAACTGGGTGCAGTGTTGCGAAAAGGGGCCGGGGAGATCTGCTATGTTAAACGCATCGTGACGTTGCTTCTGAAAGTCGAGACCTCTTGGATGATGAAATCTTCGACCAGTCTTGAAGCTAAAAAGATAGGCACAAATGGCTGCAAATTGCCAGTGCCAATTGGGGGAAGTGCTTGGGGATTTTTTTAAGGAAATAACCGTATGGAAAGACGATAATTGAAACAGGGTGCAGGTAGTCTGAAGAATGCAACGGGGGGTGTTTGAAGACGACTCAGAATCTTCCTCAGCACATTCGAGAATGCCAAGTCCGCTATGGCGAAGCCTTTCAGCATTCGTCCGGGCTATCGTCCGAGTCCCAGTCGCTGACGGGATCCGAGAAGAAGCCTTGCTGGGTGACGTAGGCGGGGACCAGGAGTTCAGTCTTCCGGGTAGACTGGACAAGGTGTTAGTTGCAGGAAATTCGCAAAGAAGTATGCCATCACTTACAGGACGGGCCCAGCCGCTGGGACCGTCTGGCCTATCCCGAGGACGAGTGCCGCCCACGGTCGAAGTGACAGCAGACACAACAGTCACTGCCTTGCGTCTAGTCGCGGGCTGACCGTTGGGGCCCCAGGCATTGAATGGGGTTGCCTCGGCACCGTTGTGAGATGCCTGTGGGGTGGTCGCAGCGACCGAGGTGCCAGTGTCGCTGTCGGCGAGGTCCTTGGATGTTGTTCCAGTGACACTGGTCTGAAAGGTGCTGACAAAGTCAGAGCAGGTCGGGCGGCTGTCCTCCGTGGCAGCAACGGTGCGTGTGGTCTCGGTGGCATACATCTTCGCGTTGCAAGCGGCGAGGGTGGCTTCCGAGAGAGGTTGGACCGCCTCCGGGTCGAAGCGGATCTCCGAGAACACGTCGTGTTGGGCAGCAGCGGAGGTGGTCATCTAGAAAGCAAATCGAGTTAGACATCCTCCTCCATACAATTGGTTGTGGAGGCGCAGCAACTTACAGTCTCATCTGAGCTCTGGTCATCCTCGGCAGGGCTGTGGCTGCCAAGGGCCTCCAGGAAGATATGGTCCTGGCTCTCCGTGATCTTGCGCTTCTCGTCGAGGGAGAGCACGTTGTTCGGGGCGGCAAATGGAATGTAGCCGGGCTCCTGGCTGAGCTGCCAAGCAGTGCATTGAAGGCACCACTGCATCGTAGAGACCATGTGAGTATGAAGTACAGCACGAGAACGACTATGGCAATGGCTTGGCTTACGTTTCGGTTCATCTTGCGCGTCCTCTTGCTGAACTGACTGAACGCGAGCCACTGCTGGCATGGACCCTTGCACCGCAGTTCCTTGGCGACATTTCCAGAGTGCTCGAGGCAATTGATGCCACTATCGGCTGCAGTGACTCCAGGAGAGCGCTTGCGGAGGTTCTCGTCATACTTCCTGAGCTGGTTCTTGGAAAACTCTCCGCGAGCCCTCCACTCTCCTCCCGTGCTGCATCGAATCCTGGAGCCATGTTAGATAGTGAAACAGAGAAGGAGAGGCTGCATGCTTACTTGTTTGTTCCGTTCTCCGCCATCTTGGTGTTGAAGGGATCCTTGGTCCTGAGGGTTGAGATCTGCGATGATCACTTTGCTCTGACTCTCGAGTTCAGGTGAAGCTGGTGCAGTACCCTTGTCGAGATGTGGGTGTGGTGTAGAGTGATGATGATCTCGGGTGGCGGATCCCAGAGAAGGAGGTGGTTTGTAGAACCAAGTTGAGGGAAGGAAGTCGAGCAGGTGTGACCAGGTCGCCCACGACGAATTTATAGACGAGAGGGGGTGGATAGGGGGTAGATTTAATAAAGAAATGGGGTGTGTGGGAGCCTGATTGAGACTGTGAATAGGGCAGCCAGTCTATTGTTGGGACGAGGCTGTGAGTCAGAGAACCGGGATTATTCAAGGAATGAAGGAGGCGAGAGAGGAGAAGACAGAGAAGTGAGGACGAAGGTGAGGGCGAAGGTGAGAACTTTGTAGCGGCCAGGGACCTCTCCAGCTGTCGATTGCTGAGCGGCAGCGTCGAGTCTAAATGACGATGAAGAGTACAGGAAAAGACCAGGAGGCGTATACCGGATCAGCGATTTCTCAATATGCGCGAACGCGGGCGCCCTTGGAGATGGGAGTGCGTTTAACCAAGAAGTGAAGGGCTGTTGGAGAGTCAGGAGAGGTTTGATGCGTGTTTGAGCAAACACCTGTGCAGTTTGCCGCTTCGAAATCCAGAAGACCTTCTTCTCACTCGGGAGCACAAAAGCACATTTCAAACCATGCATATGGCTGTTTAAAGCAGGACCTGACTCCGGATCGTGCTTTCTCTCTATTTGGTGGCAATGAAAGAACAGAAGTGACTGCCTAGGCAGGTATTGCCCAACTTGCATAGTACTTTGAGCAGGCTGCAAGAATGATCTCAGCAATGGCTCCTTCCTACAATCTGCTCCTTGGAAGGGAAAAGATAATGATCTGAAATATATGTAGCTTCTTCTTGGACATTGATGCTATGGCTGCCCTCGTGGTCAACTTCATCCGCTCCTTGTTGGTTATGTTGGGCTACATCTAAACCAATGATAGCATCAGATGGGCACATTTGCACCTGCGGATCTTTCTCATTATAAGAGAGCGTTTGGACGGGAATTACATATGTGAGGATATCCAGTGGCAGGATAAGCTGTTGTTTGCGCAGGTTTTACTCTCACCGTTGGAGATCTGGAATGTTTGACTGACCAGTGTATTTATTGTGCCTAGCAAGAGAACCCTAGCAGAGATCTCAGAAGAAAGAAGTCGCAAATCGTACCATCTGTTTGGCAGTCTACAAGCACCGGATTTGCCAGGGGCGAGCCCTTGTGAGATTGTTCTTGGGATGAGCACCAACGAGCAATGAGGTATGGGAGAGACGTGTGGCAGGAATGCGTATTCCCTTTCTCTGGTCATAGGCAGAGTGTTTCAATAGATTCCCGCTCTATCTCGTGAGAATGGGCGACTCCACGATCTTTGCTTTCACTTCCAACGTGTTTGTTCTGAATGTGATAGGGGTTTCTCTCTTGCTCATTCTACTGGCTTTCGTGTATTCGCTCACATCTTTCGTTCTTCCAAAACAAAATTTGATATCGCCATGGTGGATTGCCACCCTCTCATACTTGGGCGCAGATCTATAAATATACTGTGCTCTTTCCCGTGTCCTGGGGATTTGCATGCATGATATGGTGCGGAGGACCTTGGATGTGCTCCGGCCTTAGCCCGTGTGGACGTCAACTAGCGGCGGGACGGCGCCGTCCGGCAACGGCGCCCGTACGAAAATCCAGGGTTCATTGCGTAAAGATTTTGGCTGTTGAGGAGCTCACAGCGATGCTCGCTCGAGTCAGGCAAGATACGTGATAGGCACAGGCGTCGTTTCAACTCGATGGGTCATCCATGTGCTTGGTCTCCTTGTACGCGACTGACATGCTGTCAAAAGCAACAGGCACAGCCCCCGAGGGGGCGCCGTGATGGGTGACAATATCACAATGCGATCAAATAACTACACACTGCACAGCGGAGCGGGCCTCTTGTCTGTGGCGTATCAAGTTTGAAGTTTCTCTTATGAGGTGCAGCAAATGGATCGGTATGGAGCTCGATGACCAGGGACGCTTGCTATTGCTCCGTTTCAGACGAGGGTTGGAAGCCCGCAACCCCAGTCGTTGATTTGACCAGTATTGAGATGACACGCACAGGGATGAGCTTCTGGAAGGTTGGGACGGCGCGGATTGCATTTCCAGGTCCCAGAGCAAATGAAAAGGGACCGCAGGTAATTTTCGCATTCATGGGCCCCAAATTCCGAGAAGCCATCGGCCACGATCTTGTTTCGGGGCGATTTGCGATTCCTGCAATGGTTGGAGAGCACGCGCGGGTGCGTTCCCCCAGAGCTAGTCTGGACATCGTCAGTCAAAGTGCATGAACGGCTCCTCTTGGGTTGTTTGACGCAGGGAAGACGCTGCGTTAGTGCGAGGGCACGACCAAACACAAGCCCTGACACCTGAGTGTTCCCCGCGCGCATTGATCCGAATTGACACTGCGGAAATCTCAGGGGTCCAAAATGGTGTTTGCCGCTTGCACAGAGAGACTCTGGTGTGTGACCGACGATGAAAGACTGTTGTCCGCCGAAGAAAATCTCAACCGTGGACGTGTTTATGGTCCATTGCTGAGACCATGTGGTTTGAAGGAACCGGTTCTGGCTTGTGAGTTGGTGGTGACATGCTGATCCCTCAGCTTGGCTTTCCGGCTTTGGATCCCACACTCGTGGAGGACTGGTGCCGGGCTTCCTGACGTGACTGTTTTCTGAGTAAAGTAGTCACTTCGGTCTATTCCCCGATCTGGTAGGGTTTGCCAGACCGCATTGCCAGCACGGAGCAAGGCAACAGACAGAGTGGCTTGGTCAAACGTACAGGTAGAGACAGTCCAAGTGATGGTCAAATTAGTTGACGGACTGCTAACAGAAGTACTTGACTATCCATCGAGCCCATCGGATTAGGTAGTGGAATAGCCCTTCCGAGTTCTAGGGCAAGGATGTGACAAGGATATTGATTGTTAAGATTGAGGTAGCTCCTGATGAACTTCCGTCAAGTATTCAGACAGAGTGACATGGTCAAACGTAGAGACAGTCCTAGCTTGCAATCGTACTTGTACTTATGCCATGACGAGCATGAGCTCCCACACCCAAACCTGGGAGAGCAAGGTTGCGGAGTCACAAATGCTTGGGTGGCTGCGTTTGGCATATCGAAAAGGACCACGCGAGAAGATGTGTATACTTGTGCACGATGGTTGGTTACCTCATCCGTCCTTGACGTGGAAATACGGTCAAGGTTAGAATACTACATCGCCTCACCAGAATTTGCGGGCACTAAGAGGTATAAACGACTTCATGGTGGTAGTGTCGGCTTGGGCAGGCTAGTAGCTTTTGTTCCAGCTTGCGTACCTCGAGCTTAAAAAGCTTCCCGTGAGACGGCCCAGTGGAAGGGGCCGAGGCGTTAGCGTCCCGACGAATCACAGCGGATCGGCGACACAGAGACGGTACACCTGGCGTGCTCAAAGATACTCTGCAAGGCCAGTGTAGCCCGTGCGTATAGGAAGTACCGACCCCCCTGAGCGCAGGTCTCTTCAAAAACACAAGACGAGCCATGAGCTCCACACGCACCAGTGCCCGGAAGCTCCCTCCTGGATTTTGGTGACCGCGTGCCCCTGACTGCCGTGCTCTCCAAAGTTGGCCCTGGGCCCACACCAAAAGTGGCTGCGACAGGTACGAAAGAGGACAAAGGGTCAAGCCGATGTTCGCGAAACGGGCAATGTACCTGCACATCCAGTCCATCCATGCAGCTGTGATGTGGCCACCGTGCTGGCTGACGCGACGCTACTGCAGGAGCTCGCCCTGGCCTGCGAGCTCTTGGTCCTGCGAGAAGCACTCTCCTCGCTTCATGCTCTCGTGTGGTGGTGGTGTGCATTTGCTCCAGCTTTTCCCCGTCTCCTGGCATCATCTCCGGCAAGCAAGGGCTTCAGCCTTTCTTGCGGACGAACTGCTCGGAAACATCTTTCTATTCACGGGAGAGAGGCACTGTCGCAGGTCAGAGATTGGCAGCGGCGAATAGGCGTGATGAGCCGACGCGTGTGTCGCACCCATCTGGTATTACTTGTACAAGTACTTTAGATTAGCAGTCAGTCTTATGACGATTGCTGTCCAGTGGCCACCCAGGACCGTTCGATGAAGCCCCCAGATCGGGAGTTCCATACCTGAACCACTTTATGTGCAGCATCGCCTGTTTATCCTTCACTTATGCCTCTCTGCTGGACAAACCCGCCCGTTTGCACGCGCTGTTGGGCCGAGAGACGCGTGAGGATCGGCGCCTCCCTCCAGAAAATACTACCTCGATGCTCGATGTCCATCTGGAAAGCTACCTACATAGGGAAAAGCTCGAGCTCTGTCGCTTTCTGCATTGGCCCAATGCCTGAGCACGGCCCCGTTCGCTGAGCTCACTGAGCATGTCCTCGAGCAATCACCAACCTGGCTCGATTTTTAATCCCCCCAATAGCTGGAAGTCGCGCAGTTGTGTTGTGGTTTTGCGTGCATATTTACCCTCGGCGGCTCTCTCATTCGCCTTTGTTCGTTATGAGATGTCTGTTATCGCATATATCCCCGTCGGAGCCATCCCCAGGACGACAGCATTCTTCATATTTTCCAAGGGCCCCTCTGGCATAATTCAATCTAAGCAGCCGGGCAACCGCATCCACTAAACCACGCCTTTGACCCTTCTAGATTCCTACGGAGTACGACATAGAGGCAGAGCAATCTAAGACAGGAGCCCGTCTAGCCGTCGCCGCCGCTCTGTAACCGATCGCGGCTTGGAATTTCCCAGCTCGGGCTCGATCAATGCCTTGAGCACAACACACCTGTGCCGCCAGCGGGGGACAGCACAATTCGGTGCCTACAAGTACAATACCAGCATCCAGCATCAAACACGACACAAGGTCAAGGTGTGCAGTGCAGGGTGGCAGGTCTCCAGATCCGCCCTGGTAGGGCGCACGACGTAATTTCGCACCCCGGTCGCCTTTGAGCGCTCCGACTGATTTCACGTTTCTTCCATCCCTTCTTCGAAAAAATTGGCTTCCCCCAATCGAGCAAACCCCGGTCCCACTGGCGCAAATTGGTTTTTAGGTGCAGGGGACTCTGGAGGGAAAAGAGAGAAGAGAAGGGGGGAAAACGCCTGCCCCCCAGTCCAGTTAGCGAAATTGGGTCTCCTATCCGGCTTGGTCGACCAAGTTGGACCACCCCAGCATCAATCATTCATGCTAAGGACGGGGCATTTCAGGGAGGATCCAGAGTGACCCAGTTCTGGCGCCGTCCCCGACACCCTTGGATTGAACCCAAACAGAGAGAGGAACAGAGGGCGAAGGTACCAGCCCAGCCACTCGCAGCAATTCCCATCCACCACCAGCACCACCAGCACCGCCGTTCACCACGTCTGAAGCCCCAAAATTCGCCAAAAGAGCGGCGCAACGGCAACGTGCAACTGGTTCCCCGTTGTGGGTTCACTCTTGTCCCAAGAAGTCACTTTCTCTTCTTTCCTTTTTGTCCCCTCCCCCTTTTTTCCTCTCTTTTTTGCCAGCTTCAAACCTGCGACGTCGAAGCTGAAAGGTCTCCGTCTGGCACCCTCGTCGTCGTCCTCCCTCTCAAGCAATTCGTGTCGTTTGTAGGTAGGAGGTTCGAACCGAGGCGGCCATCCCTGGGGACTAGAACTGCCGCTGAGCCTTCGCGCCGTTTCGCGACACTCGAGCTCACGAACGCACACACACCCACACCCACACACATCCTCTTCCCTTGAACAACAGCGCATATTTCCTCACGGGAAGCCAGGGAAGGCTTTAATGTACCATTTCCTGGGCCCCCCTTGCAACAAGTCACTCTCTCTTTTCGTTCCTAAAATTCACAATCCACTACGCTAAAAGGCTGGGGTGGGTAATACCCGACCGACAGCTCCTCTGCCTTTTTCGACCCTGAAGATTGATGGGACCCGCTGCCCGACTGTCTGGTGCTCGCCGCCCATGATCCCCCCCGGTCTCTCACCCTTTTAATCATATTATCATCTTTTTGCAACTTGCCATATCCCGGATCAATACCGCTCTTTTCTTTTCCTTCCCTTTTACCACTCCTCCGTCCGTAAACACTCGGTTCGGTTTCCCCTCATTACACCTATTCAACATCGCCATCTTGGAACAAACAACAAACGCCTGGTCTGCCTTGTGACTTCCTGGACCGCTACCACCACCGTAATCGACCGCCATATCGCAACATTCTCGAGGGCGCCCGAATCAACTTGCATGCAACAATAAATCACGAGGAGCTCTTTTGAGAAGAGCCCATTGAAGGGGTTTGAATCGGTAGGCACGGTTCGTTCCGTGGCCGGACTGACCGTTGCTGACTGCTTGTCAGCTTATTAGTCCAGGGCTTAGAAGCTGCTGGACAATCCGGAACGGGCGATCCAAACTAGACCGGCATCAATCATGACTGTCGGACACGACCTTGCCCATAGGGGCTCATCAAGCCAGCCGGTAGCCAACATGCTGGCTCTCGAAGACAGGTTCGAGGTTCTGAAGGAGATCGGTGACGGAAGCTTTGGTAGCGTCGTCCTGGCGCGGGTACGGAGTGCCGGCGCCAGCGTAGCTCGGAGAGGCACCGTGGTAAGTAGCTTGGGAGCGCTCGAGTTTGGAGAGACAAGATGAATGTTGAAATTAATGGGACGCTTGCTGCAGGTTGCCATCAAGACGATGAAGAAGACGTTTGAGTCCTTCACTCCGTGCCTGGAGCTCCGAGAAGTCGTCTTCCTCAGAACTCTCCCAGCACACAGCCACTTGGTTCCGGCGCTGGATATTTTCCTGGATCCCTTCAGCAAGAAGCTTCACATCGCAATGGAGTACATGGAGGGGAACCTGTACCAGTTGATGAAGGCGAGGGACCACAAGTGCTTGGACAATGCCAGCGTTAAGAGCATTCTGTTCCAGATCATGCAAGGCCTCGAGCACATCCATGCTCACAACTTCTTCCACCGCGACATCAAACCCGAAAACATTCTTGTCACTACCTCTGGCCACCAGGATTCATCCAACTCATTCCGGCGATACTCGTCATTAGTCACACCCCCGTCGACACCGCCCACCTACACGGTCAAGATTGCCGATTTTGGTCTTGCTCGAGAGACCCATTCAAAACTACCATACACGACATATGTGTCCACGCGCTGGTATCGTGCGCCTGAAGTATTGCTCCGGGCCGGCGAGTACTCGGCTCCTGTCGATATCTGGGCTGTTGGCGCCATGGCCGTCGAGATTGCCACACTGAAGCCTCTGTTCCCTGGCGGGAATGAGGTTGACCAAGTCTGGAGGGTTTGTGAGATCATGGGCAGTCCCGGAAACTGGTACAACAAGGCAGGGTTCCGGGTTGGTGGAGGCGACTGGAGGGAAGGCACCCGACTCGCTGGGAAACTGGGATTCTCTTTCCCCAAGATGGCACCTCACTCGATGGACACCATCCTGCAATCGCCGCAGTGGCCGGCATCGCTGAGCAACTTTGTCACTTGGTGCCTGATGTGGGATCCGAAAAACAGGCCTACGTCCAGCCAGTCATTGGCCCACGAGTACTTCAATGATGCCGTGGATCCCCTGCGTCCCAAATCGTCTGCCTCGAGGATCCTGGGACGCAAGCAATCAGATCTCAACAAGAGTAAAGATTCAGCCTCAACGACCCCCACTTCATCCAAGCCATCCTGGTTCAGGAAGTCTCTCATCGGTCGTACCGAGAGCGCAGAGGTTGCTGCCGTGGCCCAGATCGTCAAGGACACGCCGCCACCGCGTCCATCACCCGTTCACGCAGCTACGGAAGTACCGGCGCCGAAGGCTAAGCCGGCTGCGAGCAAGCGAACGACATGGTCTAACGGACCGTCGAACGTTGCGCCCATGCCGATTCTGCCCACAATCCGGCCAATCTCACCGCTGTCGGACGCTGTTACGGCGCAGGCGAGCAACCGGGCGCCCTCTTACAACGATTCCTACGCCAACGGCGTCCAGCGGGTGGATGACAAGGCGTCGAAGAAGATTGGGCGCCAACTCTCCGTGGCTTCGAGCACGAACCACTACGCCGAGATCCATCGGCAACAAGCGGAGCGTGCACTCAATGGCAACAGCGGGCTTGCGTCTCCACCGAGCAGCCACAAGGAAAGCTTCTTCTCCCATCTCAGGAAGCGGGCGCGGCGGTTTTCCGGACGTCATCAGACGCCCATCACCCCTGCTTACGATGATGTAGAGGCCCAGGCTGGCTGCGGGCCGTGGGCAAGCAACCGTTCCTCCATGGTCCTTGACCAGCCTCCGGCACCTGTGGCCAAGGATGGCTACGAGTCGCTGGACAAGGCTCTCAGCCAAGTGCAGGAAGACGTCGAGCCCATCAACCCTCCAGCGGTTCCTGCTCACCACTTCACGACCAATAGCGGCCTCAAGAGACACCATTCCCTGCCTCACCACCAGCCTCGATCTGTGGATAACCTTCTCGGTGCGGCTCGCGCCGCGGGACCAGTTTCCAGCAGGACTCGTCGTGCCCAGGCCGCACAGGGTGTCCATCAGTACGATGCCCCGGATGAGGAGGACGAGCTGCTCGACGAGGTTCTCAACTCGACGCACCGCGCAATGAAGAGGTTGGAGAATGACGGCAAGCCCGCTCTGCGACAGACGGTCAGCAATGCCGCCATCTCGAACCCTTACCCCACGCCATCGCCATCTGCAAGCGGCAACGCCGTGCTTTTCGGAGACAGCAAGGAGGCTGTCACGCCCAAGCCATTGAACCTTGAGAAGAAGACGTCACAGTATAAGTGGCCCACTCCCCCATACGAGGACAGCGAGTGGGCTGCTTCAGCATCAGCAAGCATTTGGGCAGCAAGCAATCGATTTTGAAAAATGAAAGATTCCGGATTCCAATCTTGGCGGCATTTCTCAGCGTTTAGCAACATATCTTTTTCGGATTTTCAACCACTTCGGTTCATGGGACGGTGTTTGGTGTTCACACTTTTCATTTTCACCAGGATCTCGTCTTGTACGGTCCTCGAAGACACTCGCTTTATCCTTACACGGCTTGTATTAGACTGCGACACCAGTCGACCATTACCACAATGGTTCATTTCGACATTCGATTCTCGAACAGCGGAACCGGTCCGGCTCGAAGCCTCGCCATGAGCGGACGACACTGCAAAGCACACACACACACACATATGAAATATTTTGAGCGCGGGCGGTTCATACCCAGTTTTCTTTTTGCCATATACCGAGTTGTCGACGGATACCCTTTATAGATTGAATGGTCGAACATTTGCGCTGCCAAGATACCATACTACCAGCGGGTCATTTCGAAAGCATTATTATATATTTTTCCTTTGTCAGATTTGCAAACACCATTCTCATACGTCTACTTGCCACGTGAAGAATCGTTTCACGGCGACTCGTACCCGATGGATGGGCCCAGAAAGAAGCAAGCGTGCGGGCTGGAACCAAGACAAGACAAACCGGAGGGTCGTCAACGGCGATCCGTGCAGCGTCCTGCATGGCCTCGCGGATGATAGCCACGGCATGCACACGCGCCGCTGAAACCTCGGCAAGCATCGTCGACGAACCGCGTGCTGGTCTGCGAAGTGCGGCATGGCGGACGGCCGACCCACGGGTCCCCTATCGGTTATGGGTGCCCTTTCGTTCGTATGGGATGGAGTTTACTGGATAGTTGAAAAAGGGGAGTGGGATTTTACTAGACGCGTTATCTACGTATCCATCAGAGTGACCCCAAGAAAGCACCTCTGAGGCTAATGGCAGTGGTTAAACGGAGGGTGAGGAGGGAGGGAGGAGGAGGCGCGAGTGGGATCTCTGAACCAAAACAATAAAAGAGACGCACACATTCGTTCACTCACCATATCATCTACGTTGCATTGTACCGGACTTTATTTGTGTGAAGCATGTGCGCGCGCCCCGTCCTGATCTGCCTAGGTCCGTGTGTGTCGAGTGAGAGCAGGGGAAGGAAGGTCGCTTCGACTTGCCCTCTTGGCCTTGCTCAATCTCTCTGTGTCTCTCTGTTTGTCTTTCTCTCTCGGACTATCGGACTATTAATGCGGTGTGGTTTGTCCCCCGTCTTTGCTTGCAAAAGAACGGCATGGACCATGGACAAACGGTGTTGCAAGAGGCAGCGTGCCGCATATGCAATGCGGGTTTGACGTGAGGGCGGGCTGGCTGCTGAAACGGCTTCTGCCTGCTTCCGCGCGGGCCATTTTCTCTTGCTCGAGACGGGGCGGGATCTTGTCGATGAGCCCCCTTCCCCGTATTGTACGGCCCTCGGCAGATACGTCTTTCAAAGTGGTATTATGGATACAGGAGGAGCTGTGAGCACTCTGGACAAACCAGAGCGACGAATTGGCTTGAGAGCAAAACAACAGCTTGTGATTCGCGTGGGAACGAGCTTTGTTTGCCCAAACTTCATCACACAGGTGCCTGCCTGTGTCCTTGGTTCCTGGGCTAGTACGACCTGGGCAGGAGGTTGTGGAAGGGCTGGAGATGTTACACAAGGCCACGCGGGACGCGGTCAAGTGGTGAGTTGATTAGACCTGAAGGACAATAGAGTACGAAGCTGTTCGACAATCCATTGACTTGGCATGTCCTGAGCTAAGGGCAATCCAGGCTGAAAAGGTCAAGCCAGAGCGTAGGGCTGGGCGATCCCGGTGTGTCCCCGCCGTTCCATCCTCAGCAGGAACGCCGCCTCTTTTGAGAGCCTCTCACCGTCAAAAGGCCACGAGGAAACGAAACGAGAGGAGAGACATGTCAGGCAGCAGCATTTTCTGTCGCGATCCCTGGTGCTGCTGCGCACTAGCCTTCCAAGACGGACGACATGTCACCTTGCTAGCTGTTCCTGCATGCCCGCCTCCCGCTGGCGCCCTTCTCCAGAGAGAGAGAGAGAGGGCCGAAACGACGTAATGCTGCGTGGTGTTGGTGAAGCGCCATTGGTTTTTATCTTGATGCCTTGAGAAGTGGATATCCCCGCCGCTATCCTTTCTCGGTTTTCTGTTTTAGCGCTGTCAGTGGGAGAAAATGGCCAAAGCCCAGCCCCGGAAGGCGGTGCCTCTCCAGGGCCAGAAGCGACGAGCACTCCACTACTTTATTCCCCTTCTTGCCGTCTTGCTGGACGCTACTTGGCTCTCCCCAGGGCTGACACTCTAGCAGTACTTGTACCTACCAGTTAGTAGGTAGTACCCCGCCGCCGTTTCATTGTCTAGTGGTGTTCTTCCTCGGCCGTCTTTGATTTCTCACATCGGCCAATCCAGCACAAGTGCCGGCTGGCCTTTCTTTTCCCCTCATAGATCTGGGACGACAGGCTGCCAGTTTCTGGGACTCAAGCGAACTGGACTGGATCGGACCGGGGGGGCTGGCATTTTAACGACAACTTTGTTGGTTCATTCGGACGTCAAAAGACCAGCGCTTCTGGCCCTGGCTCTTATTTGTTGCTGACACGCATCGTGCATTTTCTCGCATCCTCCTCCACTCAGCTTTCCATCCCTCTGCCTGGGTTGGCGGCCTGATTCTGCCTGTACACCTCATATATCTACCCCAATTCTCTTGTTCGGCTTCACTTCTGTCTGCCTTCCTCCGCCTAGAGACATACGAGAGAGCAGAGAGCAATATCAACGGCGAACGGTTCGGCCTATCGGCAACCCCGTCCGTTGGAACAAAGTATACGCACACCCCACCAAGTTGTGCCCGCCCGCGGAGACACGACACAGGTCGAAGGCAGAGCCGAGCTCCGCGCCGCAGTGGCTGTGCGCACGGCAGCGCAACTGCGCACGCATCGTATACTCCCCCTTGTCTCCTATATGACAAGTTGAGCGAGAGGGAGACAAAGGTGCCTGCGCCCCCTTTGCGCCGCTCTCCTGCTCTCATTCCAGCAGGACCTCTCGCCGCACACCTCCAGCCCACCGAGGATCGGGGAATGAGTGTGAGACCGAGTGAGAGAGGAAGAGAACTCGAGGAGGGCCATCCCGCACTCAGATACGCACGCATGCACCGGCGGCAGGATGAATAACATCAACCTGCCCATACGGTCGAACCCGAGCCGGAGGAATCAGGAGAGCAGGAACTACTTCACCAGCTACACCCCGCCGTCGTCGACCGAGGCCATCAATGGGCCGATCCGGGACTTGGCGCCCGTCGCCGACAGGCTGATTGTCGGCGTCGACTTTGGGACGACGTTTTCTGGGTGAGTCCTTCGAACTATGTGCCTGGAATCTTTTGCGTGTTTCTGCGTGGTTTCGGAATGAGGCCGTGAGTGGTTCATGGTTGTTCCAAGCCTCGTCTTATCTCAACTCAACGCTCCTCATCACATGCAGTGGAAGGAGTCGGCTGCTCAGCAACGGTTCCCGCAATTCGGAGTGTATCTTGTGTAATACCACATGCCAATACAATCGCTAACGATACACGTACTAGAGTCGCGGCCGTCTACACATCAACACCAGACGATGTAGAGATCATCAAGACCTGGCCTGGAGGTAACGGCATCACATCAGACAAGGTCCCCACCGAGATCAACTATGAGCTGCCTGCCGACGCCGGCCCGGGCGCTGAGCCTGCCATCAAATGGGGCTTTCAGTTCCGGCCCGAGGAGAGCAGACTGCGCTGCATCAAGCTCTTCCTCGACCGCTCCCAGAAGCTGCCCTTCTACGTCAGCCCGCTCGAGACGGCGGCGCAGCTCAAGCGCTACAACAAGACCGTCGTCGACGCCGTCTCGGACTACCTCACGCAGGTCTACAAGCACACCATGGACACGCTGACGCGCCGCTACGGCGAGTCCTTTATGGCGTCGACAAAGGTCGACTTTGTGCTGACCTGCCCGGCCGTCTGGTCCGACGCCGCCAAGAACACGACGCTGCAGGCCGCCGAGAGGGCCGGCATGGGCAGCAAGTCGGCCATCCAGATGATCAGCGAGCCCGAGGCGGCCGCTGTCTACACGCTCAAGGCGATACAGCCGAACCACCTGAGCGTAGGGGACAACTTTATTGTCTGTGACGGTGGAGGTGGTACTGTCGAGTGAGCCTACCAGCGTTCTCGTCCCCTTTTTTTTACCAGTCATTCTACGATCTCTTACTGACGCGCTTGGACCTTTCACAATAGTTTAATTGCATACAAGATAATATCATTAAAGCCCCTAAGGGTAGAAGAGTCGGCCGTCGGCACGGGCGGGCTCTGCGGCAGCGCCTTCCTCAACTACCGATTTGAGGAGCACGTCCGCAACCGTATCGGCCACAGCCGCTTCGACGAGATGAAGGTCAAGAAGGGCAAGACGTGGCAGATGGGGCTGCGCTACTTTGAGGAGTTTGTGAAGCGCAACTTCAACGAGGATGAGCACCAAGAGATCAACGTTCCGTAAGTGTCTCCCTCACACAACGTAGGGAAGGCGTGCCGTGCCTATGCTGATCTCTTGCACCCAGCTTCCCTGGCCTCCCCGACGACGAAGAGGTCGGCCTCGACTCGGGCTTCCTCGTCATGACCGCCGCGCAGGTCAAGGACATTTTCGAGCCCGTCGTCAAGGAGGTCACCGACCTCGTCCAGGGGCAGGTCGACACCCTGCGAGCCAAGGGCGGCATCGTCTCGGGCATCATCCTCGTCGGCGGCTTCGGCCAGAGCGACTACCTCTACCGCCGCCTCAAGGGCCACTTCACCGCCAGCGCGGCCCCGCCCCCTTACAGCGAGCGGCCCACGCACGCGAGCGTGGCGGCCGGCGGGCCCGACGACAACGGCTCCATCGAGGTCATGCAGCCCGTGTACGCGTGGACGGCCGTCGTGCGGGGCGCCGTGCTGCGGGGGCTCGAGGGCAACATGGTCATCTCGCGCAAGGCGAGGTACCACTACGGCACGTCGTACGCGACCGTCTACGACGAGGAGAAGCACTCGGTCAGCGAGCGGTACTGGTCCCCGCTGTGGGAGCGGTGGATGGTGTCGGACCGGATGCAGTGGCACATTGCAAAGGTAAGGTCCAAAATAAACACGGCTGTCTTCCTGCCCTCCCCTCCCTTTCTCACGTCTAGTATCTACGTCTATCTACTCTATCTACACGATCGTACTACCCTGATTTATAAAGTTATTCGTACACACACACACACACCAAAAGGATGCTAACAAAGAATCTCCAATCCACGCGCACAGGGCGAAGCGATATCCCCCCTCGAGCCCATCGCCTTCCACTACACGCGCAACTTCCGGCCGGGCCAGTCGCTCGTCGTGACCGACGACCTGATCGCCTGCGAGGCCGACGACCCGCCCGCGGCCTACACGCGCGACCTGATCCACGTGTGCACGCTGACGACGGACCTCAACGCCGTGCCGCGCAGCCTCTTCACGCGCCTGACGACGACGCGCGGCGTCGAGTTTGACAACCTCGACTTCACGCTCGAGATGATTGTCGACAGCGCGGGCCTCGGCTTCGAGCTCAAGGTCGACGGGGTGAGGTACGGGCGCGTCGAGGCCGAGTTCCATTGATTCTGGCGTTGTTGTTTGTTGGGTCCATCTTACGTACGACGTTGTACCTGCTTCCATTTTTTCCCCATCTCTGATAATAGAGGGGGGCGTGGAGGGGCGGTATGGGATGCATCTGGACGTTAGTTTTGGGGGGGGGGGGGGGGGGGTTGGGAAAAGGGATACCTAGGTTAATCGATGGGGGGGTGATGGGAATCTATCCATCGGTCGGCGGGCGAGCACCGGCTTTGGCCGCCAGACCTTGCAAGGGATCTAATGGCATATTTGTGTGTCTGGGATACATGAGAGACAGACAGCGAGGAGAAAACAGTGAGAGGAATTCAGGGGATGCATATATCGATCGCCTCACCAGTTTTCGTACGAAGCTCCCGGGGGGGGGGATAAAGGGACGAGGAGAAAAAGACGTGGGAGGGAGGGACTGTCCAGAATATTTAGAGGGAGAGAGAGGGAACGGACCATCCGATGCTTGGCGAGATATGGGCAAGTGGACGGACGGGACAGGCGTGCTTGCTTATATGGCGGCCGCCTCTTCTCTACTTGGGTAAATCTCAGACTTTTTGCGGAATAGAAAGCAAGAGCAGAAGCACGTTTTGCGAGTAAAAAAGAGAAGGGAAAAGTAATATGAAAAAATGCCAATGCCAATGCACCCAGCCCCCTTTTACGGACTTTGTGTTCGATTTTTATTATTATTTAGTTTTCGGTGAGCATGCATGGGACGTGACGAAAGTACGCCCGGCTACTATTGCACGAGATGCAGGCCCCGCCGGGCGGCGGCGCGGGATTGGGCAGGCCCAGCGTGAGATCATGTAAGTCCCGCATGCAAGATCCCTTTCTTCCTTTTACATGCAGCCCACACACAACGGGCAGGGGAATGGGTGGTGGGTGTGCAAGTCGTTCCCGGACGGACCAGACTCGCCTGCAGCGCAGACTGCTCGCACACTGCATAGTCTGGAAGAGAAGACGATTACGGACAAGGGGAGGGAAACCAAGTCCAAATATACTATCACTCGATGGAGGAAACGAGCCGAGCAGTGTGGCGGAGACTGGCCTATCAGGGCAGCCAGCGGGACTCGATGATGGGGGAAAGAAAAAGTCATTTGCTTCTTTCGTCTACGTCTTTCCCCGGCGCGGGTAAGGCCATTCTATAGCCGGGCGTAGCAGGATGTGCGAATAAGGGCGTGAATGACACTGTCTGTTCGGACCAGCTGCATATATGACAATGCCCGCCGGTCGTGCGAGCAGGTGCTGGTGTGGTAGCTCTTGATTACTTTTTCAGCCCGTCATTTTACTTGGTGTCCTTTTTGCCACGGACGGGGGCGTGGCAGTGCTCCCATGGTGCAAGCCATCCCGAGTCTGCCTTGCGCACTTCACGATCCCTGCCTGACTCATTACTCGACACAATCGGGGCAACCGATGTGTGATCCAAATTAATATGACACAGTTTCTCAAATGGAGCGGTCAGCGAATCAGGGCACAAATGTGGCGTGAATTTCTTGAGCTTCAGTGGATTCTGTGTTCGTCAATTCGTATAACGTCGTAAGCCCCTGCCCGACATCCTTCAGTGTGAGCATCACCCGTCTCTCTCTTCTACTACGAAGAGGAGTATCCAAAACATTCTGTCTCTGGCCTCACACGATGTTGAGTACTGTCGTATTCTCCCAAACATCAACATCATACAAAGAAACAAACAAACAAACGCCTGCACTTACTCAAGGAAACGAAATTGAAGACGGATAAGATGGAACGTATGGTTCGAACCGAAGATATTCCAAACAGGGTCGAGAGGAAATTTGGTAAACGTCGTTATTCGAAAAGGAAAAAGGCTGTCCGAGATCATGGCATTCTGCTGATTGCGTAAGGAAACCAAAATCACAACGATATCGCTCCAAGCGCGCTGGGAATGAGCAGATGCAGGGTCGCCCGCCGGGTTCCTGCAGGCTGTGCGCCATCCAATCGCCCAAAATGCAAGTGCGAGTTGACATCGGGCAGATGACGCGAGCTGCCGAAATGCACTTGTTCGGGCCGGCGCGCTAGTCCATCTCCGAGGCGGGTCCCAACGGAACCGATCCGGGCCCATCCACGGGCCGTCCGGCGCTGCTGCTGGACGACCCCCCAAATGCCAGCGCATTGACCCTCCGGGTTGCCTGAATTGAGTACAAGCACCCTGGTGCCTCAGGCAAGTGACTAGTGGCGCTTCTTGTCTTTTCTGTCTTTCTTTTCTTTATCTTTCTTGTCTCCCTTGTCCCTCTTGTCCGACTCTTTCCTGCGACGATGGTCTTCCTTTCTTTGATCGACCCTCCTGCTGTTTTCAGCATCGTGCCTCTTTTCCTGCTTTGGAGACGTGTAATCTGCAGGATGGAATCTCGGCCGCATGGTGTCGTCTCCAGCCAACCTCACAGGGTGGTCTCTCGTTTCGTGGTCCTCATATCGGGCCTCCCAAGCATCGCCCTTCACCAGATGCTTGCTGATATGCTCGAGACGCCGAACAAAATTGGCATTTGCATCACTGCCAGGGGTCCGCGAAGCATCAAATTGCTTGTTGCAGATCGGGCAGCTGCACTGAGGCGGGCAGTTACCTCCATAATGGTCGTGGATAATGTGGCTCATCCAGTCATCCTTGGCATCAAAATACCACGGACACTCTGGGATTTCGCAGTAGAGCACAGCAGGACCTGGTGCCTGTGGGAGCTGGGGCTGGGCCTGAAGGGGAACCGGCATGAGCGGCGGGTCTGATCCAATGGAGGTCCCAGCAGTATATGACAACGACGGCATTGACCACACAATGTCCGTTTCGGTGCTTGTCGAGCCATCATGGTTCGATGCTGTACCGGATCCCGTTGTCCACGATGAAGCGGCACTGGATTGATGCGGATGCTGGCTGCCATCGGCATGCTCATAGCCGGTAGTAGAGGTACCCTGGCTGTCGGTGTCATCCTCGTGCAGGCTCGATTGATACGGGATGGAACGAGGCCAGGTACCGACACCGTAGACCAAGTGGTCTTGTTCGGTGGGCCAATGTTGGCCTTGATATGCCATGAAGAAAAAGGGACTCGGGCGCTGGATTGAATTTCCGCACGTGGGTTCGGCGAAAAAAAGAGCGGGGGGCGATCAACCACGGCGCAGCGGTACAGCGGAGGCCGGCCCTCGAATTTCGTGCAGGAGGATGCAAGTGATCCGCGGCAAGCAGGGACCAGGGTAGCTACAGTCGAGCAGTGCGCACGACGTGCAGGGCGCTGTTGAGGAGATGGAAGGGGGAAAATCTCGAGATGACAGATTGCCCTCGAAGGACGAAAAGGAAATGAATTTGGCACGACTGGAAGAAAGAGTCTGAGACTTGCGACGGGCGCGATCAAAGGTTTGGGGGCCGACCGAGTATTACTGCATGTCCCTGCGGAATCTAAGAACGCCGCGCAGCCGACGACAGGCAGGACACCGGGTCAAGTCTTGAGAGAACAAGAACGAGATGATGGCACTGGGATGTGGGCAAGGAAGAGGCCGGGGTTCAATCCCCTGTTCAGAAACGTTGCTCGGGATCAAGTTGGGATGAGATTTCCTCAATTGCTCTGAACGATTCCGGGTCAGTCGTGGCCATTTATATCCTGAGGGTTCGGGGAAGGTGCGTCCATCGTCCCATTCCCCCATCCGCATCCCCATACCCCGTCCCTTCCCTGCGAAGCTCCTTGCTGCAGCTAGTTAATCGAAGCTTCCCTCAAGCAGCAATCCACGCCGTCCTATCACAGCCCTCGAGTCTCTCATCGTCGCGCGTCGCCCTCGCTCCATCGCACCTCCACTCACAAATGTCTCTCGGCTACAGCTACTCGAAACCACTTCGGGGTGCGCTTCCCGATCATCTCATGACGCCTGCCTGCCTGCCTGCCTGCCTGCCTCAATCCCTTCACTGGTGCAATCTGCAAGAGACTTGCGATCCCCCGGTCATGCATGCTGGCGGATATTTGCTGCCTTGTGCATAATCCACCAGCCTGGATGACTGGACGGACCATGCAATCAGGGATCATCCCTCTCCACATGCGCACAACTATGCTCTCTTTTTTACCCAAGTGGCATTTTGGTTCGCCGATCCAGCGATGTGAAGGGATTCCTCTGCTGCTTGTGCACTTTCGCGGCCAGCCCGAGCTATCACCCAGGACGGTGTGTGTGTTGGTGTGTGTTGGTGTGTGTTGGTGTGTGTGTGAGTGTGTGAGTGTGTGAGTGTGTGTGGTGTACACCCCGATCATCAACCGGCGATTCAAATCACAGCGGTGACCGTCATGCACTTTGACGCAAAGCCACCGGCACGCTTCCCGAACCCCCTTCCATTCGTCTCGCTTCTTTTATCTCAATCCTGGCCAGGCGCCGCGACCTTCGTGTTCCAATACGCGGGGGTGCGATCCGGCAATGGCTACGACGTTCAACAGCATACGCGTGGCTTTAGCAGCTGACCTCCGGTTTCCCAGATATCAAGCCCTTTTTTAACTGACTCACCGCACAGCTCGAGCCGATCATTGGCGCTCCTCTCCATCTCCTTTACTCCGGATGGCGGTCTGCTTAACATCGACATGACCGGATCAAGCGTACACGGCATCTGCAACTCGACGTATGTGGTGAGCAATCACGCTGCGGCACTACTGGGCCAAACCTTCCGAGGAATCAGCCACGAGCTTCCCACACAGGGTGGTTCTCCATCGCGACCTGCTTTCTGTCCATGCTGCGATAGCTTTTGAGAATACTGATGCCATTCCAGTCAGAGAGAAATTGGTTCCGAACATCGAACACCATGAGTAGACACAGAATGGACAAGACGGAGAGTATGAACGCAACCACAGCCTAGGCTGGCTACACTGCAGCTGGGCTGGGTAGGGCTGGGAAAGGTCGTTGCAGGATGAACAGTGTGAATTGGGCGGGGGGGTCGCTCCCTACCCTTCCAATCACCCTTGAATGCGGCTCTGCCCATCTGCTCAGCATACTGTCGGGTTCCTCGTTACTGCAAGCGGCTGTTCATACTGCTCCGTACTGACCAACCACATCATAAGGTAATCCTAGACCCCCACCCATCTGCTTTCCAGCCAATGTCTGCAAGGTCGTACGCAACTTGATTTGCTTTAGACGCCCAAGGGGCCATGACTGATTGGCCGGGGGGGTGAGCCTGTCTGCAAGATCAATGCCAGAGCAAGAACAGTGGCCGCCGCCCATGGCGCGGGCACCATGCTCTCCCTGACCTTGCCAAGGACGCTCAAGTCGTGCGAGCCTGGTGAGCTTGTCTTCAGTGCATAGGCCACAGCATTGGCTACAAACCCGGCCGATGGTTCAGCATTGGACGCCATACGATACACCGTTGTGATCGCGGACCGCACCGTCTGCCATGCGGACAAAGCGATGGGGTGGTGTGGAGGGTTTCCGTCCCGTTCACTGAATTTTCCTTTTGATCGCAGCGAGTTGTTTCATTCCGGACTACAAAGAACCCTAGCTTTGGCGATGGTGTTCCTGTACTGTAGATGCTCACCCGTCTCATCCCCCCATTTGATGATGCCGGGAAAGGTGACACAACTGACTTCGCGCTGCTCCAGGCCCTCCTCGTCCTGTCCACCAATTTCTTCCATGGTGAGCGAGTCAAAGGTGGTCTGCTGATGCGGCAGTATCTCGGGCATGAAGACCTTGAACACAGCTTTCTGCACGACGAGCAGCCTGGAGAGCTCGACCGCGCTCTGGACCAATCCCCTCAGCGCCTGGTCTCGAGCCTCCGTGGCCTTGGCGTCCGTTATCGCGTCTAGTATAGTGTTGACCTTTAATATTACGTCTTCTATAGTCGACAGTGTCTCGGCCTGCATTTTTTGCGCCGAGTCCTTCTGCAGCATGGTCAATGTCATGGACCTCCACTGCCTTACGGATGCAGGCGAGTTCGCTACGGGAACGGGGTGGTCAGCTTTCCATTCGTGCTCCCTTGACCGATGTCTCATTTTCCTTCGCTGTTGCAGCAATGGGATAAAAACTCTCCGCGCGGGACTTACCCAATGATGATAGGAGCGATTCTGTTTCCATGAACTGTGCCGTCTGCTCCTTGGACAGACCTATAAAATATGCATCGAGCACACGCTCGACCAATATCCTTGATATGATAGACTGCAGCAGATGCACCTTGGATGTGTGCATTAGTGTCTCGTACATTGGCACCAGCCGGCCAAGCTCTTCCGTTGCAGCAGTCCCTGCTCTCGACATATCTGTAGACACACGCACACGCATAATATTGGTAAGCTACGATGCCAGTAGAAGGAAGCAGAGAGGTCTCCGGCTCCCGGGATCCCCCACCCCGGTGGACAGCCGTGTGACACCGATAAGAGAGAACAAGACTCACCAAGCTTGGCCCTGCGGAAGTTGACAATGACCCAGTTCTGCAGGCCGTTGCCCAGCCGCGCCATGCCCTCGCCAAAGACCTCGTCGCTCGTCTGCTGGCCGCCGGACCGCGTGCTCACGCTGACCCACTCCTTGAGCCCGCGGACCTGGGCGCGCAGCTCGCGGGCCTGGCCCTCGTGCTCGCGGGCCTCGCGCCGCGCGGCCTCGAAGCCGGAGCGGAGCTCGTCGCGCTCGGCCTCGCGCAGCTCGACCTCGGCGCGCAGCAGGCGCAGCTCCGTGTCGGCGCGCAGGAACTGCTGGTTCAGGGCGCTGTGCTTGGCCTGCCAGAAGCTCGCCGTCTCGGACTCGTTGTGCGAGAGGCGGTCGAGCTCGCGCGAGAACTCGGCCTCCATGACCGAGAGCTCGCGCTCGAGCGAGGCGATCCGCAGGTCCTTCTCCTTGACGAGCTGGATCGAGGCCGAGGCCGCGGCGGCCGCGGCCGCGTGGTGCTGCTGCTGCTGCTGCTGCTGCTGCTGCTGCTGGTGGCTGTGGCTGTGGGCGCGGTGAAGGTGGGCGCCCTCGCGGGCCTTGGGGCTGCTCGAGTGCGTGCGGGAGCCGGCGGCGGCGGGGCCGGGGCCGCTGGAGGCGCTGGCGGAGGTGCCGGTGCTCGAGGGATCGTCGGGCGGTGGGGTGGAATTGGCTGTGGGGTTGGAGCCGCTGAAGGCCACGCGGGGAGGGGGCGCGATGATGATGTTGTTTGCGCTTGCGGTGTTGCTGCTGCTGTTGTTGCCCGTGTTGGAGGGTCGGGCTGCTGACGACGAAGATGCTGCTCCTGCGCCGGCGGTGGTAGACGAGGTCGCCGCGCTCGTGGACCCCGTTGTCCGCAGGACGTGGTGCGAGGAGGAGGAGGTGCTGCTGCTGCCGCCGCGCCGCTTGTCCTTGTCGCCCGAGGGGCTCATCCTGACCATTGTCTCCTTTGTCCTTTTGCTACACGGAGGCAAGTCCAACAGGGGGCGAGACAGATCCGGCCTTGCAGCGCGTGTGCTTGTGTGGCTATCGTCGGTGGGAGGAGGAGATGCGAAGTTGGCCCGGGCGAACTACGGCAGCATGGTGAAGAAGAGAGGGTTGTCGGAGAGAGTTACGAACGGGCTCTCACTCAGTAAGCTCTGCCTACTTAGGTAGAAGGCAGTCGAACAGTCGCCACGCTCGGATGAGGTCTGAATATCGCGGCCTGGAGAGCACGCCGGTGGGCTTTGTCAGACAGGGGGGCGGGTGATGCTCTTCTTCCGCTCCAACTGTCGTCTCGGGTTCTTTACTTTATTTTAAGCAGGTGCCTGGAGCGTCTCAGGATCTCGAACAGCCAATGCCGTCTCGCAATGGGACCAGTCAGGTCAGGTGCGGTGGGTTGAGGCCTGGCCGTGGCGGGGTTTACTAGGAAGTAGTGGAGGCTGTGGTCAGCTAAGCTCGCCCTAAATTTGATCCCCGTTATCATTTGGCAGGGTAGTCCCGTCCTTTCATTTAGCGCCGTAGAGGTTCTTACCTGGGCGCTTTGCGGGGAGCTGGAGGAGCTTCAGGTGTGGTATATTTAGCCAGATCTTTTTTTTTTCTTTCCGTCCGCCAAGTGAGATCATGAGCCTCAATGCTACCATCTTATGCAGTGCAGCAGCCCCTGGACTGAACCCCATGGACTACTACTGCCTGCATGTTTAGGTGGCATTCTCCGTTGCCTTCCCGTTTTCTCTGCAGTGTGTCCTGGGAGTCCTGATCCCCAAAAAAAATACAACGAAACCCCAGACTGCTCAGATGTCCACCTCGGCCTCAACCACATAAGCCGCGTCTTCCCCGTCCGCGCTCTTCTTGGCGCCCATCTGGCATATCGCCACCTTCTCCAGCCGCAGGCCCTCAGCCCACACGTAGTCGTCGTACCTGTCCAGGATCCCCCGGGCATCGACAGTCAGCCTGTTGCCGCCGCCCTTTGCCCCTTTCCGCCTGCCTGGGCCGCCACGGCCGCCACCCCTGACGTAGATGGTGTTGACCACGGTCGCGTGCAGCAGCAGCGGCCGGCCCTCCTCCGGCATGAGCCCGGCCTCCCGGAACGGCGCCCGCAGCCGCTCGCAAAAGGCCTGCAGCGTGCCGTCCGGGTCCGCGGGCGGGGCGTAGAGCACCGAGGCCTTGGCAGGGGTCTGCATCGTGTGTAGTCCGCGCAGTGTGATGACCAACGGCGCCGGGGCCAGGGACTGCTCCTGCTCCCGCTCCCGCCCCTGCTCCCGCTGCTGTGCTTGTTGTTGTTCCAGCGGTGCCTCCCGCGCGGCGCCGGGCATACTCGGCGGCTTGACACCCGAGCGGATCTCCCTCGGCTTCAGGGTCCTGAGCACGTCCACCGCCCTCTGCAGGTCGTCCTTCTGCGCCAGGCTCATGACGCCCAGCGTCAGGTGCAGCGTGCCCAGGGGCCGGACCGCGTCCTCGGGCAGGCCGAAGCTCGCGGCGCCGGTCACGTCGGCGCGGAAGTCATCCAGGCTCCGGGAGAGCTGGCCGCGAGACGCCGGCGTGACGAGCGGCAGGCACAGAAAGTGCGTCAGCGCTGGCCGGGGGGGCGGCATGCTCGCTCGCTGTGCCCAGGCTGTCTCTCTTGTACTCCCGGGGGTTTGACGAGAATGTTGCTTGGGAATGGTATGCTAGAGGACAGACATCAAAAGACGAGGGTTTGGATAGTAGGGCTAGGTAGCCTTATGTGGCCAGACCCAAGCCGCGCCAACGAGTTCCTTGTGAGAATCGAATGTCGAGACCAGAAACCCCAGAAGGCCCCCCTGACCACGCTAGAAGGCTCGGGCCCCGTTTGGCTGGTGGCGTAGAGCCGACTTACAAAGACTTAATGGCTCCCTTGAAGAGCAACGTCACTAACACAAGGAGAGAGCGATTGTGTTCTTCAAGTAAGTAGGCGCAGGTCTGGTAATTTCTCTGTTATTGAACATAATTGAGTATCAAATCCCTTCGGAGTAGGTTCATGGCGAAATTTCGATGCCCTGTGCCGCCCCAGCCCGTCAGCCTACAAGGCCTCCGATGTGCCCAGGCGTTCTGTGGGGTGAGTCCCCAGTGGAGGTTTGGCCCGTGCTTTGTACAGCGCCTTCAGCCCGCCCAATGACCCCAGCGGAGCCTCACCAGCCTCCACGGGAGAGCTAAGATCAAATGGCTCCTCAGCTGCGGTGAGGTGCCGGTGTCAGTGTACCCGAATACGAGGAGGAGAAAATACCTAAGATTCGACCCCTGAATAGATCGTTGGCTTTGCCCAAATAGATAAGATTATCTATAACTACTTGGGTTTCAAGAGCTCCGACAGCCTCCTGACGCCAATGTCGTCGTGTTGTGTGCTTGGCTGCTCTCACTGGAATTTGTTGATATGGGATCCGTTGTAGAACTCGCCGGTCTCGCCTCCTTTTGACAGGCATACGCTATCGTGAGCAGTTGGAGCAGACAACTTGGCCCTCTTCATGCACAGCAGCTCAGACCCCGGGGACTCGTGTAGGCCGAATCACGATCACGACATTCACGGCGCTGCATTCGAGGTCGATCTTGGTAGGCCACATCGGGAAAGTTGCATTTAGGGAACCGATAGCTCTAATGAGGCAAATCCTTGTCGCCAACCCCCAACTCATGGGCCGCGGCACACACACCAAAAAAGGCGCCGGTAGCTATGCAGTCGTCCCTCTCGCGCGTGGCAGAGGGACAATTATGTTTTTGCCATCTATCATGAGCCCCAGACCTGGCCTCGCCGTCGCCCGCGCGCAAGGTGGCGGCGACGACAACGAGGATCCGTCCCCCAAAGCAATCTTTGGCGATGGGTACACCGACTGTTTCCGGGAGCTGTAACTCTGAACTCGAACAGTGTGTTCGAAACATGCTGCTGCTGAATGATACTTCTTCGGAGAGGCTAAAAAGGACGTAAATGAAGCAAGTGAAGGACAGGAGGAGCAAGGGCTCCACGGAGGAAGGCAAGATTGTGTCGTGCGGAATCGTTGGATGGGAGCCATCGTTTCTAATGCTACCGGCCGAACGTCGGGCTCTTACACGAGGACTGATGCTTTTCGACGTGGTTTGCATTGCTTAGGTGCCGTTGGTCTCACCCCCGAAGAACTTCTTCAACGACTTTTGCACTTCCTCAAAGTCGACCTTGACAGTCTTGAGCGCGTCCGTAATGCGACGAAGACAGACAGCCTCGTCCGTCTCGGGGGTGCCGTCGACGTTGAGCCTGTGACCGTACTGCTGGATGACCTGGCAGCTGTCTCTGACCTTGTTAAAGCCAAGTGTGGCTGATGAGCCCTTGAGGAAGTGGCCCAGCGCAGAGAGCTCGTTGAGGTTTTTCTCCTCCCTAACGTCGCAACCGTGTCAGCTCGCTGTGTTCCTCGTCTTACGGCGAGGGAGGCGACAGGGCCAGAAGAGGGCGTGAATGTACGGGCAGCAGCCTCGAAAGGCGACTTTGTGCTAGAAAGCCGCCGAAGAGCGAGTCAAGCGTGCATTTGGGAGTTCTGGTCAGAAACGTACAGTGCCTTGTCCATCTTTTCAAAGGTCTCCTCCGCCTGTTCGAAGAAGCCGAAGACTAGGGGCTTGCTGAACTCGCGTTCGTTCTCGTCCTCGTCCATCTCGAGAATCTGAGAGAACGTCGACATGTCGACGGCGTCTCCAAGGTCAGGCATGGTGCTGGTGGAGCCGTCGTCGGTCTGTTCATGGCGGGCAAGGGTTAGTTAGTTGGTGGACGACGGGGACGAGATCAAAGCAGCGAGGGCTAGAGATTTGACGATGTCTAACCTCGGTGTCGGGCATGATGGCTAAGCTCAGAGGCTCGTTCTACCGGACTTTGCGGAACGGAGTGGCAGGCCAAGAGGAGGCCAGACAGGGGGGGATGACAGATGATGGGTATAATCTCCCAAGCCACCACTCTTTGGGCACCGACGAAAAGAGAAACTGGGCTCAAGCAGAGATAATGTCAAGACGGCAGTGGTGGATCCACTACCTTTTCCCAGATCAAATGGATGGGATGAGGGGGCAGCAACGGTCTTGATGAGAACTAGATGGTAACGGAAGAAGGCTTGACGGTCATACGCAGGACAAGGAGGGTATGGGCTGCTTAAAACGGCCAAGGCATGAGCAAACGCCTCTGAACGCAAGAGGCGAGGAGTGAGATTTTTTTTTCTGTAATCCCTAGTTGTGTGGGTTTGAACAGATGAGGTGTCCCGGAGTGACTGGTGGGGTCTAAACAAGATAGACTAGAGAGAGGTAGGAGGAAGGCTAGGTCGAGGGAGGAGAGAGCAGTCAACGACTCACAAGAAAAGCAGGGTATGGGTAGACGAGGTTGGCCGGGTTCGACCTGGGGTGTGGATATTTGGACGGAGAAGGCAAGCCGTTCGATCCTGTCTCTGGGCTGGGCTGCTCGACTGGAGCAAGGGGATGATGAGCGGATGGGCGTCTGGTGTACCTGGTGTGTGTGGTGTGTATCTTTTTGGGCGCACGCCTACCTCGAGCAAGCAGGTTGGTAATGGAGTCTCGTCTTGCCGTCAAGTACGTGGGTGGTGCTGCTGGTCACACTGGCCGGAAGGCTTGGATGGCAACGACACGACCGACGGAGCAAGGAGCGGCGGACAGGGCTGGCTGGACGGGATCCGTGCCAGAGCCGATTGCGGTAATGTATGAGATGGCGAAGAAGAAAAGACCCAGGTTGGTGGAGGATGGAGAAAAACACTAGAAGGGCAAAGCCAGGTGGTACGTAGGAGCGAAGATCACAAAGAGGGTGGATGGATTCCGTCAAAGACGGCGGCTACGTTAGCACTGTTAAGGAGGTACATCCATGGATTGGCTCAAGGATGCCTTTCCAGCCTTTTGCTGGTGGGGAGAGGAGGCACGCCGACGGTCGTGTGCTTAGCGCGCCCTTCTCCTGGGGCTTCGGCTTTAGTGGGATTGTCACCATTTCTCTCACCATGGATCCCTCTGAAGTGCGTCCCTGGATGTTTTTTTTTTAATTTTTTTTTTTACAAGTACTCAACCTCTCTCTCACTTCATCACTTTCAGCACTCCAGTGAGTACCACTGTGCACTCTACCTAGGTACTTAACCTTAGGATGGACTCATTTAGCATCCTACATAATGCCGAAGTCCGCTGTTGATCCAGTAACCATCCACAAATAGGTAGCCTGCTCCACAATGATCATAACAGGTCTGATATTGCCTCCTTTACTGACGGAGTGTATCCATCTCGACGGACGTAACTCCATGAATCGTGCTATCGTCAAAACTTGCTGGGCGGATGGTAAATGGGTGGGCATCTTGATGCTGAATAGCTTCGATTGTCCATCGTGGGGGGCAGATCCTTTTGGTGGTCCCAGCTCGAGCTTGAGCTACAACCGTGTCTTTGTGTAGGTACTCCCTCCCGTACTCGGACTGCCAGCCCAGCCGCGCCAGACAGGCTCCGGCTTTACAGGGTCCAGCGCGTCATTGGCGGCACACCCACCCCTCCATCGTCCCGTCTCCAGCTTTAGCTCGTCCCTGACGATGTATTTTTTTTAAATTTTTTTTCGGTCCTCCGTTCGAAGTGATGCTGATCAACCGAGGCCCCTACGATGTAGGCTGTCCCTTGATGGGCGTCAGCAAGCCAGGCAAGGTACAGTACCCTCCTTCACATTGTTCGGCCTTGCTCACGACGCCGGGTGGGTGTTTCCGTCATACCCTTCCTCACAGACACACGGCCAGTTGGTTTGCTTCTGAAGAAGACCCCTCCAAGGCCCTGGAAGGAAGGAATTGTTCTAGAAGAAGTTCGCTTGTTCACGTTACGACGGAGGCAGAAACACCCCTGACCTGAGGGCCGGGGAGAAAATATGAGGAGCTCCAAGGATGCCATCGATGGAGCAAAAGATAACGGCCGGGCTGGCATGACCTCCCGTCACACATCGACCCATCAGAGGTGCACTGCGCCGTTGGGACGTGTATGGCCTAGCTTGGGGGAGATACTTGGAGGGGATGTGATCGACACGGCCTTATTTCTCTTGATCCTTCTTCAGGGAACTTTCCTAACCTGTTTTGGGTCGCACTCTATCCGCAAGGCAGGCTCTCGGATCTACACATTGTCGTCGTTGCTCCAAGCTCTGAACAGAGCCTCCGTGACGCAAGTGACACTAGGTAGACGAGGCGGGTCTTGGCGAAATTGTTAGCGAGGAACATGCCTCATCGGTCGCACAGCCATGGAAGCCAACCAGACTTAGCAGACAACCAACCCTTGGCTTGAATCAGCCATGAGGAAGGGCACAAAAGGACAAGCCGTTGATCAGCGGCCGATGAAGCCATCACGAGTGAAGGCAAAATGCCCATCTTCAGCCGAGAAAGGTCCAGCTTGGGGAGCAAAAAACGGAGGCCGCAAGGGAAGCCGAACCGGCTTTGCACGTCATCATTTAGGACAGCTCTTATCCCTCGTGGCAGTGGGCCATCCATGACGAGAGATGTGACACAGGTGACACAGCAGATGGGAACGCGAGCACCAGAGTTGTCGAGGCGACTTTTTGGCTGGTGTCTTTCTCTGGCGACCATGTTGATGCGCAAGTCTCAATTACCCAGTCACTTTAAACCGTGCCTTTCCTTTTCCCCGCCGGCAAAAGCGCGCGGTGCATGAAAACAGTCCACGGGGGAGTGCAGAATGCAGGGTCCACGTCTGTGCCTCGAGCTTTGAGCCCTGAGCTTTGAGCTTTGAGCTGAGGACCCCTTCCCCGACCCGACATGTCGAAATGCATGAAACGGTCCGGGATGGATGGGATGGGAGGGGATCGTGAACGGCCATGGGGGTGGTCTATTTTCTGCTCCCAACAAGCCACAAACAACCCTACCCACCTAGTCGGATTCTGGCTTCTTCTCCCGCGCTGCTATGTCGGAAGGTGGATGCCGTCGTGAGCGGGACCGACCAGAGACTATCACCCATAGATGCAAGACCGGTCTGTGTAATCACCTCGCCCAGAGACAGAACAGCACCACCACACAACACCCAAAAGCTCCTTACTCCGTAGACTGCCCACCATGGCGGTGGAGAGCAAGAGAGGTAAGGTATGTGGGCTGTCCAACATGCACGCAGTCACAGGTACGCGGACCCTCGTTGCGCATTAGCTTTCTCTCCCCTGCTTTACTTGCTTACCCTAGGCCAGGGGATATACTTTTCAGGATTGTTGGCCAACATCAGACATGCTAGAACAACCTGTTCCTTTTTCCATTGGGCATTCAACATGTGTATTTTGCTCGAGGCTTGACGAAACCTGCCGGATGCAAGATACCTAGCCAAGAACGGGCAAACGACCAAGGTAGCCAGCCTAGCAAGACACCCCATCTCAACGGGTTTCCAGTTAGTCCCGAAAGGCCGTTGATCACATATATCCTCGCGGCACGCGCTCAATCCTGCCAGCAGGTCGGTGGCTTCTGCGCTTCCACCGGGACAAGACCGAAAAACGTTGTGGTCGTCAGGGCTTGGCCTGTCTCTTTGGGTCTCTGGGAGACCACCCCTACCCCTACCAGGCTAGCATCTTGTTAGTGGTGACCGACCAGGCCCAGTCAGCCGTGCGTTGGCAGACCGGAGATTGGGTCAAGACCCCACCACACCTTCCCACTCTTGCGACTCCCCGGAGATCACTGGTTGGTCTTTTCATCATCCTCGCTCTGGGAAGGTGGACCCCTTGTCCGTCCCCAATGCACGGTCTCTCTTTTTTCTCGCTGCAGGCCCCCCCCTGGCACCCCCTCAAAGATCGTTTCCCGACGTCATACCGCTCTCCCCCCCCTTCCGTTTTTGCACGTTTAGCAACAAACGTCATGGCGGTTCCACTGCAGCCTGCAAGGACAGGGCTCCGTCTTTTCTTGCAGCCACGCCAAAAATCAGTCAAATCCGACCACCTCTCTCGTGTTACTCGCCTATCCTGGGTGCGAGATACACACACAAACGGGCCCTACTCCATGTCTAAGCACTTCATGAACCGTTTCTGCAACTGGTCTCACAAGCTTCTCGGCATGAAGCCGTCCTGAGCGCTTTTTTCCCCACCCGCAGGTCCCCGCTCGTAGAATGGCGGCTGGCGAGGGATCCCTTGTCTCTCACGACCTGCAGCTTACAGCTTCAGGCACTTCCAGATGGAGCACGGAACCCTCCTCTTCGCTATGGAGGAACACTTTTGAGTGCTAGGTACGTGACAGTCCCTTGCTGATGGCGAGCGAACGCGCCACGGGCGCTCTGCCTGGTCCCTTTCCCTCCCGGTGCCGCCAAGCCACCTGAACACCCTGGTCCTGTCCGCGTGCACAAGGGAGGACCCAGACATGCATGTCGCGAATAGCTTGCTCAGTTTCTGTGTCAGTGGCACATTGTTGGCCGGAAGTCGGCACATTAGATGCCCTCGACTTTGGACAGCTTGCCCGTTCGAAGCTAATCAGTGGGCATAGACCATGGAACCCCTCCATCTTACGAGGCCGGTCTCTCCCTCTCCCTCCCTCGCACTCTCTCTCGACCGGGCCGCCTTAATCGCACACCAGGGAGAATCAGGCCAGCCCCGCCCAGCAAAGGGACGGAAGCCTCCGCGGTTGAGCCTCTGGCACTTGAATTCGCTTCTAGAGAAGATCCCTGGGATGCAAGATGATAGTTGCAGTAGCTCGTCTTCGCAAGTGGTACCCGGCCTGGCTTGACACCCTTTTCTTGCTCCACCTTTTCCCGGCCGGGGTTTCGCCCGCTCAGGTCGACCACACGGGCCACGGAAGGGCACCCTTACTTAGCCCTTTGTCCCGACTCACAGTGCTGATCTTCGCAGGTCGAACTATCGGTCACCATCGGGACGGGGGCAGAGCATCATTTCCTCACTGATCGGCACCGGTAGCAATATCGCAGCTACCCACGCCCACGCCCACGCCCACGCCCACTAACCACTAACCCACCAAGTGACCCAGCCCCCATCAGACACTTTCTTGCAAGTCACGATTCATCAAGACCGCTCGCTGCTGAGAAACGGGAGACTTATTGCCCCACTGTCGGCAGAAAATGCTTTCTTCTCGTCCTTCCATGGTGTTGTGTTGAGATAGTAGAGACTCGGCACTGACCACATCACAGGTGGACTTCTGTGGATTCTCCCATGGTCTGTTGGTAGGTATGTTGGATGGTACACAACAAGACAAGTTTGTGGCCTTCCTCTCTCGCAGACTTGCCGCGACGAACTCGGGAATCCGAGAGCAACTTGTAAACGTTACGAGAGGGCTTCTGAACGTGGTATACGGGCCTTATCCGGCCCAAAGTGTCAACAAAAGCTAGAGAGATCTGCAACAACCCCCGTCCATTCAAGAGCTATCGTGACATTGCTTCACATCTCACTACACCTACTTAAGAAGGCAGGCGGACCAAGCCGCTGCCGGCTCCCGGGCCAGAATGCGATCCAACAAACCACCGATCCGCGTGGTCTCGTCATAACGTCCCACCCCTTGGAGGCATGTAACGGCGTCATCGCCTGGGCGTAGACGTCAGCAATCGCATCTACGCCTCACAGCCGCTGCCGTTTCCCTTCGAGAGAGCGAGACCCGTTTGCGTCCTCATCTAAACACACAACATCCACCTCCATGACCGTTTTCCCCTTTTGATGCGTTCTTGGCATTAGACGAGAAATGCCGCCCATAGACCTGCATGCAGTCTGCATGGTGACCTTTTCAAAAACCTGTTTTGTGGCCATCCTTGTAGCCAGTAGACACCCCGGACTCGCGCCTTTGGGCCCGGTCCTATCACGAAGCACCACTTGCACATGGTGCTCAGCTCATCGGAGCTTTGCGATGGGCTGAGACACCGCTGCTTTTTCTTATGCGAGCTGTGGCTCGCTCGCTCGAACCTTCTATGCGGCCAATGTGCCGCTATCGTGACATGCCCAATCTGGCGATGATCGCTGCTCCTATCACAGGTGAGAGGAGAGAGGGGGGCGTGAGGGCAGTACACGTGTCACGTGCATGGATATAGCCGGCATACACCGATTTTGTCTAAGCACACCTTGAGCCCGGGATTGGCAATTCACCGGGGCAAGGGGGTGCCCTGGACAGGTGTTGTAGGACAAGGCCCGCAGGATGCTCCAAACTTATCCGCGCAGAACTAGATGCGGCATGATCTGAAGTAGCGGTGATCGGCCTGCAGTTGCATGTCACCCCCCCCCAAACGACATACACACCTGTCAGGAAGTCGAACCCACGGGGGTTTGGGGAGGGGGGAAAAGCAGTAATTTGTTTTCATCATTTCCTGCATCTATGGAGCTGCTTGCCACACCGGTCGAAACGTTATGGAGCAAACGGCCCTGGCCGAACATCCGGCCCGCCCACCTTTGCCGTTTGTCTGATCTGCCGGCAGGTCCAACACAAGCTCGTTGGTGCGCTTCAATCCTCGTGCCGAATCGTCCGTCTCTTATAGCAAAACCTTGGATGCCACGGTGAGTAGCCAGGCCGCGTCCTGCCAGCCCCCCTCGTTCTCTTTGGGAGGGGGCACCCGTTCTTCCGAGAGGTCGGCAACGCCCTCGAATTGCCTGACGCCAGAGCGGCGCCTGCCCTGCAGCATGACCTCGTCCAGGGAGCCCTCGGTGTAGAGCTCTTCGTCGTCCTCGTCGTCCTCGGACGACTCTTCCTCGTTCTCCTGGACGGAGAAGAGCGGCCAGCCGACCATGTTGCCCAGCCAGGCGCCGACGCCGGCCTTCTCCCGCTTGACGAGCCTGCGGACGTCGGCCTCGTCCTCGACGGTCGTGTCCTGCTCGACGGACTCGAGCGCCTCGTCGAGGCTGACAAAGTCGGGCTCGGGGAACCGCTCGTGACTGCCGCTGCTGCCGCCGACCTCGGCAAAGTACCCGTCCACCGAGCGGCGCTCGCCCGGCGTGAGCATCTGCGTCCGGCTGCCGGCCCTGCTCTGGGAGCGGCTGCCGAAGCGGGACCCGGGAGGCGACGAGTAGAAGGCGTTGTCGTCGCCGGGGGCCAGGCTGCCCCTCCGGCTGGCGCTGCGGCTGGCGAGCTCCCGCTCCCGGGCCATCTCGCGCTCGAGGGCCTCCTCCTCCGCGTCCCGCATGCCCGACAGGCTCGTCGAGCTCGCCCTGGACAGCAGCCACGCCTGGCCCTTGGACTCGCGCGTCTCGCTGCTGATGACGGCGCCGGCCCTCAGGAGCCAGTCGCTGTCTTCCCTCTCCCGCGTAGCCGACAGGAACCCATCTTCCCCCCTGCGCCTCCTAACGCTGGCGGTGCCGCCGTGCGTCGTCGTGGACAGCGTCGTGACGCTGTGGGACGCGAGGTGGCGCGAGTGCGCGGCCGCAGGTAGGTGCGTGGCCGACTTGCTCTTGGGCAGGTGGCTGCCGCCGCCGCCGCCGCCGCCGCTCGTGGGCGTAGAGGCGCCGCCCCTGCGGCTGCTGCTGCTGCCGTTGTGGCCGCGCGATCGGGAGCGGGCCGGGGAGCGGGACAGCAGGCCGGGCGTCGTGGGCGCGGACTTGCCCTGCAGGTAGGATGTGCTGTGGACGAAGGAGGCGGTGGACCACGTCGTCGAGTCGGCGATGGTTACGTGCTGCTCGTGGTCGCTGCTGTGGTGGTGGTGGTCGAGGGGCAGCTTGGTGGTGAGGGGCGCGAGGGTGAGGTGGTTGAGGTTAGTGGTGGACCTGTTTTTGCGCTTGGCCTCGCGCGAGTGCTGGTTGTAGGCGACGTCCATCGTCAGAGAGCAGAGGGGAGGAGAGGATGGACGGACGGACGCGGTGAGGTGAGGTGAGGCGAGGCGAGGCGAGTGAGTAGGGATGGTGTAGGTATCCCTGGAAGGAGGAGGTATCGGACGTCAATTGCAGGCTCTAGTTAGCTGAAGGCAAGCAATCGAATCGAGTTGAGGCTCCAAGTCTAGAGCTTTATAGCATAGCGCAAGTACAGATCATGCAACGTGCAATCGAGCGTTGGAATGAGGAAATATCGACGCGATGAAGTCTTGTCGGGGGAGGACAGAACAAGAGATTGATATGAAGAGTGGAGGCAAGCTGGGGGTCGGTCAGGGTCAGGCGAGGTCGCGGGTGCGGGTGGGAGGAGATGGCCGAGAGAATGGGCCCGGCTTGTGGCGCCCTGAGTGCAGGGGGCTAGAACCAAATTTTTACCCCAGGAAGATGCATATGTTAGCGGCCGGGACGCTGAAAACATGCCATTTCTAACAGCACGAACCACCTGCAGCTCACTCAAGCTCTGGCGGTAAGGGAGGAGGAAAAAAGAGACTGCACCAACACGCCACACCCGCACGTCAGCCCGAGTACCGAGGAGCTTGATGTGCCATTTGACTTTTGCCTTGTGATTTGCCAGTAGTTACCTGTAAGCTGACTCTCTCTGTCGACTTGCCTTTCCATGGCCAGCTGAGAGATATCACGGCGCTGAGAGCGCGTGTTCGTCGTAATAGCCTACATTTTTCATTAATACGAGATGTTGTACCCAAAAGATGATTTATCCTTTTCGTGAGATATCTATGCTTGTCATGCCCAGAAGGCTAATAATGCCTTTGCTTGTGTGAAGGGCTCCAGCTACAACATCGTGCTTTACGCACTGGCCATCCTTGCTACGTTTCCCGCATCGCGCAAAAAAGCAAACTTGACCTGGATGGACAGTATCATTGACTGACCTTTCACATGCCTTTGGCATGCAGCCGCTGCTGGATCAAACATACACACACCACGGAACGCAAAAAGGCAAAAATGAAAGACACCCGATGCGAGGGTCGAACTCGCAGCCTTGGGATACCCTCAAGAGTGAATAAAAGTCCCACGCTCTAGCCAATTGAGCTAACCGGGTCGTCAAGGAATTTTTGCGCTTATTTCTCCTGATATGGGCAGTTCATTCGTGGAGATCCAGGAACCTGTTCCCCATCTTCGAGCCCACTGAACTCAGTCCACTAATAAACTCATCCTATCCACTGAAGTCGCACTCTACAGGCAGCTTCCCACTGGAAGAATGACGAGCATGGGGCGCTAAAATATTGATGCCCATGAAAAGCTGTAGTGGTACACCGGCTACTCGAATTTTCCATCCACCAAGTGCCTAATCACAAGTATCTAGTACTTCTACCTGATAAGCTTCAATTTTCAACTTATCGTGCACTTTTCTAGACACTTGAGCTGGAGGGTTTACAGGACATCGACACCAAAGAGGGTGAATCTCAACTTGTGTCAGTCGTTCATTAGGAATTCTAGCCTCGTGTTGATATTCTCCCCAAGGCTGGCGCATTCTTTCATTTAGCGAGCATACCAGCGGCAAAGCGCTCTCTCCCTCAGGCGCAACTATGAGGAACCTTCGCAATATCCGCTATGAGACGGCCAGGTGTGCAGCTGATATCACCTCAGCTTGCTGGGACGCCGCCTCTGACGAGGTCCTCGTCACATTCGGGCCGGACGAGAACGACGGCAAGATCGAGTTGGCCAGGGTGGCGAACGGCACAGCTCCGAGGCCGTGGGATCTGTATGTGTCAAGCCCTCGCAACCACGTTGATCAAGACTAACATGCACATAGCCAATGTCGGACGGTAGCCTCCTGGGATACCCCTAGTCCGAACCCAGACTTGGCTGTGGACAGGGTCGTGAGCCTTCATCACTTCAGTGACAATCTCACGACATGTGTTGTCCTGGCCGGGGGTGACATCGTCGTCGTTCAGGAGGATAATGCCGGTGTCGCTTCTGAAAATGTCCACATTGAGATTGTAGGTTCGATAGATGCGGGGATCACTGCTGCACGCTGGTCGCCCGATGAGGACTTGTTGGTCATCGCCACGTCCGCCGGCACGGTCGTCTACATGAGCCGCAGCTTCGACGGTATTGCTGAGGCCACCATGGCGGCCGAGGATCTCAAGATGTCAAAGCATGTCTCTGTTGGATGGGGCAAGAAGGAGACGCAGTTTCAAGGGCGCGGTGCCAAAGCCCTTCGAGACCCCACAATACCAGAAAAGGTCGACCAAGGTGTGCTCAGCCCTCAAGATGACCGACGGACGACAATCAGCTGGCGTGGTGACGGTGCCTTCGTTGCCGTCAACAGCCTAGAGGCCTCTGAAAGGAGGGTCATCCGCGTCTACAGCCGGGAGGGCGTGCTCGACAGCGTAAGCGAGCCCGTTGACGGCCTAGAGGGTGCCCTAAGCTGGAGGCCGGCTGGCAACCTCATGGCCGGCATTCAGGCTGTTGGCGGTGGCGCGGATGTTGTCTTCTTTGAGAGGAACGGACTGCGGCACGGGAATTTCACCCTCCGGTCTCCTCATCAGGTCGACAACACTGGAGTACCCCTCGAGCTGGAATGGAATTCTGACTCGACCGTTCTGGCTGTCAAGTACGAGAGTGTTGTCCAGCTATGGACCATGGGAAATTACCACTGGTACCTCAAACAGGAGATCTTCACCGGTCCAGGATGTTCGCACGTTGTATGGCATCCCGAGAAGTCATTACGCCTTGCTACGGCGGCCTCTGGTCAGTTTTATCTATCAACCCCAACTTTGAACTTGCAACTGACCGCTCCCAGATAACCTTCTGTCTACTGAACACATCTTCCACATTGCAAGGGGTCCACTGACTGAGCCCAATGACCACGGAGCGGTAGCCGTCATTGACGGTTCTACTGTTAAACTCACACCCTTGAGAACGGGAAATGTTCCGCCGCCGATGGCTCTTTTCGAAATCACTGACGCTGCCTCCAGCGTGGTCGATGTCGCTTTCTCGAAAGACCATTCTACGATGGCAGTACTCCATCAGACCGGAGTCAATTTCTATGCCTGGCAGACCAAAGGTGCCCGAAGTTTGGCCCCTAAGTTGATCGGCCAGGTCGAGTTTGAGGAGACAGAACGGCGTTTGTTCGAGCGTCCGGTTTTTCAAATATGTTTCTCAGAAGGAGAAGCCGCCCACGTTCTATATGGGGGCGAAGGCCCACAGATCAGTCTTTGCCGCCCTGGCATGACCGAAAAGCTGACTCTGGAGGGTCTCGAGCAGAACGAGATCGTCTCATTTGTGACCTCATCTTCGGAGGACTCGACGGCGATTGGTCAATCGCGAAGCGGGCAGTTATTCAGGATCTCGAACGAGGAACAAGAGACGCTCCCTATAAAATTCCCCTTGCAACTTCCTTGGGCAGAAGTTGTGTCATATGGCGAGAGCCCTATTGCGTTCGGGTTGTCAAGGAGTGGGCATCTGTATGCCAATTCTCGGCTGCTGACCAAAAATTGTACATCCTTTGTGGTCACTAGGGAGCACCTTATCCTGACTACTAGCAATCACTTCCTCAAGTTTGTGCATCTTGACGATGTTGAAGGTAAGTCTTGAAACATCCTCTCTCGTGTCGTATGGAGCAAACGTAAACTAAGCCTTTGCAGAGCTCAGCATGCCCGGCGATGACCCAGAAAACGATGAACGGTGCCGAAGCATTGAGCGAGGAGCTCGCTTGGTGACTGCAATGCCCACGAACATGAGTGTCGTGCTTCAGATGCCCCGGGGCAATCTTGAAACCATCTATCCTAGGGCCATGGTGCTTGCAGGCATCAGACGCCTCATCGAGGAGAAGGACTACGGCAAGGCTTTCATGACATGTCGCTCCCAGCGAGTCGACATGAACATCTTGTACGACCACAGGCCCGAGCAATTGCTCTCCAATGTCAAATTGTTCTTGGATCAGCTGAAAGATGTCACTTACGTTGACTTGTTCTTGTCGTCTCTAAAGTAAGGCCCCTTCACTTTGGGCGGCTGACACACATGCTAATGTCTATCAGGGAGGAGGATGTGACGCAGACCATGTACAAAGACACGAGGCCCGTGAAGAGCCAGGAGGTACCCGGCCTTCTCAACCCAGTCGCCGCTGTGCCGGCTGCGAAACCAGCAGGCTCTAAAGTAAACGTGGTCTGCGATGCGGTGCTGGCTAGTCTGCACACTCAGAAGAACGCCAATCTACAGAACATCATTACGGCGCACGTCTGCAAGAATCCTCCTGCCCTCGACGACGGCCTCCAGGTCGTTGCCGAGCTCATGAAAGAGGACGAGTCCCTGGCTGAGCGGGCAGTCGAACATATCTGCTTCCTGGCTGATGTAAACCAGCTCTATGACCAGGCGCTTGGCCTTTACAACCTAGACCTCACGCTCCTGGTAGCCCAGCAATCGCAAAGAGACCCTCGAGAGTATCTGCCTTTCATTCAAGGGCTTCACCAGTTGCCCGAGCTGCGACGAAAATTCACCATTGATGATTACCTCAACCACCGCCAGAAGGCGCTCGCGCACCTTCATGCCCTGAACGTCTTTGACGAAGTGAGAGACTACACCGCAAAGTACGAGCTCTACCAGACAGCGCTGGGGTTGTACAAGTACGAGACGGAGCGGCACAACATCTTGATGGACATGTATGCCGAGTTCCTGGCGTCGAGGTCCAAGAACAGGGAGGCCGGGCTCGCCTACGAATCCCTCGGCAACTATGCCAAGGCCGCGGTGTGCTACCGCGCAGCGGGCGCCACTTGCTGGCGGGAGTGCCTCTTCGCGGCCCAGCAGCAGCAGGACCCGCCCCTCTCGGCAACCGCCTTCTCGGAGCTGGCCACGACCCTCGCGGAGGCCCTCTACGAGGCCAAGGACTACAGCTCGGCGGCGACGGTGCACCTCGACTACCTCTCGTCGGTCGAGTCGGCCGTGCGCTGCCTCTGCAGGGGTTACCACTTCGCCGACGCAATGCGGGTCGTCGCCCTGCGGGGGCGGCCGGACCTGCTGGCGTCGGGCGTCGACGCGGGGCTCGCGGACGCGCTGTCCTCGTCGACGGAGCTGCTCGCCGACTGCAAGGCCCAGCTGAGGGCGCAGGTGCCGCGCATCCTCGAGCTGCAGCGCAAGGCCGTCGAGGACCCGCTCGGCTTCTACGAGGGCGACGACCAGCGCGCCGCCGGCGCCGGCGGAGACGTGCCCGACGACGTCTCCGTCGCGGCGTCGTCGCGCGCCGCCAGCACCTCGGCCAGCCTGTTCACGCGGTACACGGGCAAGGCCGGCAGCGTGGGCACGGCCGGCACGGGCGTCAGCCGCGCGACGCACAAGAACCGCCGGCGCGAGGAGAAGAAGCGCGCGAGGGGGCGCAAGGGCACCGTCTACGAGGAGGAGTACCTCGTCAACAGCGTGCGGCGGCTCGTGGAGCGGGTCGGCGCCGCGGGGCCCGAGGTCGAGCGGCTCGTGGCCGGGCTGGCGCGGCGGGGCATGCAGGAGAGGGCGCGGGCGGCGGAGGCGCTCATGGCCGAGGTCGTCGAGGGCTGCCGGGCTGCCGTGGCGGAGATCTGGGCCGCGGACAAGGCGGGGCCGGAGGGTGGCAAGGGGCCCTCTCCCGATGGCGAGGCTACTGGTGGTGGTGGCGGTGGTCCGCAGGAGGAGTATGCGCGGTTGCTTGGTGGGGAAGCGGTGCTGGCTGAGAGCCTGGAGGCTATGAAGTCGAGGCAGACGCCGCCTGTGGTCAAGGACTTTGCGAGATTGTCGCTGCTGGGTTAGACTAGAGCAAGGTACGGGGTTTATAGAGTGTAGTGAGACATGTTCACTATGGCCATCCCACTGCATATCGAGGCTTCTTGCTAGATGACTAGTCAAAAATGAATTGTACAAGGTAGGATTTCTATGCTGTCCTTGAGAAGCATTACACATCTTTACAGCTTCTCTTCTTACACAAAGGTGCCACATTTGATACATATTTTTGGGTCTATAATACAAGAATACTGCGCCCCCTTCATCATGACTCCGGCGCAGAGGTCGCAGGAGGAGCGACCTCGCTCGCCCCGACAGCCGCCAGCGTCCTCTCCTTGTTCCTGGCGATGACCTGGCCGATGCGCTCGAGCATCTCGTCCGACAGGGCGGGCTGGCCGCGCGCGAGGCGGGCCCTCTTGGTCTCGGCGTGGAACTCCTGCAGCGGCGTGCGCATCGTGCTCGCCAGCGCGGCGCGCGCGGCGGCGGCCTCGGCCTCGGCCTCCTTGCGCGCGACGTACTCGGGCTCGTGGCGGGTGCGGAACTTGGAGTAGCGGTTGCGCAGCTCGTCGATGACGGCGGCGGGGACGGGCGGCTTAAGCAGGGTGGGCACGTACGTCTTGCGCTCGACGTCGACGCGCAGCGTGTCGCACTTGTGGTCCGTGTAGGTCTGGGCTTCGCGCTTGGGCCAGGGGATCTGGATGTTGAGCCCCGGGACGAGGCGCTGCCAGCCGACGTAGCGGGACTGGCGGTCGAAGGTGATGTTGTGGGGCACGAGCTCGCGGATGATGGCGTCCCTGAGGGCGCCCGTCTTGGGGTCCGGGATGGGGTGGACGAGGCGCAGGGAGGAGATGGGGATGGCGTACTCCATGGGCTGGACGGGCTCTTCTGCGCTGGGCATGATGAACTCGGGGAGGTGGATGTTGGCCTGTCGTGAAGGGGGAGGAGGAAGAGCCGTCAGTATTGTATTTTTTGCTCGAACTGATAAGAGCGTTGGTATGCAAATGCAAAACGTAAACCACTTACCACGCCGACGTTGTTCAGCACAGCCCACCCCTTCTCGGCATTGACCTCCTTCACGGTGCCGATGCGCCCCTTCTCGGGGCCCTCGAGCACGACGGCGCGGTCGCCGACGGCGAGGCACAGGTGCTTGGTGCCGCCGGCCCAGGCGCAGCGGGCCTCGGCCTCAAAGTCGCGCAGCCTGCTCTCGGGCTTGAGCCTCTCGGGGCCGATGGACCCGTAGTACAGGCCCTGGGCGCTGCTGCGGCCGTCGCCGGCGGCGCTGTTGCGCCTGGGCGCGAGCGGGCCCTGCTCCCAGTCCTCGCGGCGGGCGACGCGGGCGGCGGCGCGCTCGCCGCGCAGGTCCCGGGCGATGCGGGCCTCCTGGTGGATGCGCGTCCACTTGGCCGACTTGTCCTCGACGGCCTGCTTGCGGGCGGCGCGGCGGGCGGCCTGCCGCTCGGCCATGGCCGTGCGGCGGGCGAGCTTGAGCATGGCTTCTCGGTTTGTCGAGGGGGGTGGTTCAGTTCGGTTACTCGACTGGCTGTTCTGCTCGGTCTGGGCTGGTGGTGACTCGCTGGAGTCGAAGGGGAAGCCGGGAGTTTGGTCGAGGGGTTCCGGCGTCCAGAGGGGGCGGCGAGTCCTCGGTCGTGTGGTCGTCGGATTGGGCGGGCGGTGATGCTCGTGTGTCCTGATGAGGTCCGTCGGTTTCGCAGCAGACCACCTGCCGTGAACTTTTTTTGTGGGTTCCCATTGGCCTGGCCTCATTGATCAATCTCAAATGGTGAAGCACGGGCCATTCATTCATTGTGTGGCAGAGGCTCCACTACGTAAGCTTCAACACGAGCTTGGGTTCAAGACGGCAGGTTCCAGCATGATTTAAACACAATATTTATGATTTGTTCGATGCAATCAACGATGCACTGCTCCTGTCACCAGAATTAGTTATGTTACAGGCCGTATTCAACCTGTTAGGTACCCAAGGAATCATTGGGTGTGCTGAAGCGATCCCCGGCAATCCTCTTCCGTGCCCTTTTGTAAGATGACGGGCAAAGACTTCTTTCAGGTCAAGGTTGGAATGCCTCTCGGCTTGGAAAATGTTCGGACTGGCGAAGCACAAGAAGATATGAGAGCTCGGTCAACCAATTTGTGTGATTCAGAGCATGCAGGGCTGGCAGGGTTGGGCTGCATGCATGCATGTACAAATAGGCGTCCGCCTAGGGAGTACAGCCTACAAGTACAGGCACACATCTCGGTAACACAAGACATCCATGGAGAAAAAAAGTCCTACCGGGACGACTGACCTGCTAGGACTTGGGAGGCGGATCTGCATGGGGATGGATGGGAAGGATGCGGGAGGACAGGCGGACAGGCTCACGCGGCTCAGAGACCACTAATCCAAGTACAAGTACCTACCTCCTCTAGGTAACTGCCTACTTACTCCGTGAGTTACCTAGGTAGATGGTGGTTTCGAGCTAGCGCGGATCGTGTTGAGGCGTCCCCAAGATTTGTTAGGTTTCAGATGCTTGAAGAGCTGACGTTGGCCGTCCGGCCCTGCTCCACTCTCAAAGCCTCCTTTCCACTACTTGTACAAGCACAGCTGGTCTAGCACTTCCAGCTCTCGCTCTCGCATCCAGGAGGCTCGGAACCGTGGAGGCTTTGATGATATGTAGAGGCAAACGAGTATTTTCTGGGCGTATAGCAGAGGCGAGTAGTTACTTCGTGGTTGTGGCCAGAAGTGCATGGCTTTGTAACCTATCGAAAGTTGCTCTGTCGCTCGCCGCCCGAAAGGGAAACGATAAGCAGCCGAGGGACAATGTCGAGATGGCATCTGTTTGATAGCTGTCGCAACGACCGTCTTGGTCTGGGTCCTGGTCGCCGGGCAAGGCGAGTGCATAATGGAACCATCACATGCGAGAAACAGGATAACTGACCAGCTCGCTCACTCTCCTGACATCACTACTTGTACTCGACCATCCATGCCGGGCTGATATTGCTTGTAGCTTGCTGAAGGGGGGCCCTGCTGCTGATCCTCGCATGCTGTCCGTCTCTGGGTCAGTTCAATGTTCTCCAGTGGGTTCAGCGGGCTGTCGCCACCCCATGGCCCGTCTGCCGCGCCGCCCATTCTTGCGCCGGGTGGAGCCCCAACCCCTTCACAGCCTTCACAGCCCCCCTGGCCAATGTCCATATCTCGCTATTCCTTTGGCGAACAAAAGTGTCGTTCGAGGTGTGCGTGTGCGTGTGTGTGTGTGTGTGTGTGTCGAGGCGGCGGCGACATGTGCAGTTTGGCTGAGGCCTCTCGACTGGACGACGTGGATATGAGAACATGGAATTCCAGTCCCGTACCTGTCTATCTCCGAAAGGTTGGAAAGTGGCGGTTGTTCCATGCTGGATCTGCATAAAGATGACAGCCCATAGATAGCCCAGTACCAATACCAATGCTCGAGCAGGAAGGAGAGATAAGCAAGTCCTGACCAAGCTAGGACCAAAGGCCGCATGGCCCTTTGTTTCCGTCGCCTTGTCGCCCGCCACTTTGGGATCGCTGTGGTTGGTGTTTTGGGCTGGAGACGGTGGAGATTTGCAGGCAGCACCACGGGCGTCCCTCGGACCTCCAGCGGCCAGGACACCTGAAAGGAGGGCCTAGCACTTATCTTGGAGAGGGGCCTCCACAGCGCTACCGCAATCGCTCCAGCGCCCGAAAACACCTGGTTATAGTGGTGCTGCAGGGAGTCCACGGTAGGTAGGTCAGGTGGTAGAGCCAAGCACGTAAACTACAATTGCACCCTGCGCCTCGAAGCTCCGGGCGTCCCAACAGGCCGAGAAGGGAGAAATGAACGCGAGGCCGAGAGTCCTGCCAAGGCTAGGTGGGCTAGGTAGATAATGTAGGTACCTTGGGTCTGGAGAGCTCTGCTTTGGTGATTCTGTGTTTGATGGCTGCTTTGTCACCGGCCATCGATTGAAGAGTGCCCGCCTACATAATTCCCTGCGAACCTGAATTTAAATAAAAAAAAAGAGGCCGACCACCAGCAAGCAACCACGCACGCACTCTGGCGGCCTTTGTAGTTACCTAACCAACTAACCCAGCACTCCGCTACCACACTCCCAGCGCTACCACACAGCACTGCTCCTCTTCCCCCATTGCATTGCTTTCATTCTCCTTTGCCCCATAACAAAAAACCCACTCCCGCCGTTGCTCGCTCGCTCCGTCGCCTGCCTTTCTCCTCTGCCCTTTTCCCCCATCGCGACCTTTGACTCTTTTTGATTAAACTACTTACGCCATCCTCTTCTCCCTCCTTAAACTTCTTGTCCATCTCCATCTCCACCGCCCAGAAAAACCACCCCTGATTCCCTCTGTCCACTCTCTTTACTTGTTGTTTACCTCTTCCCGCAGCCTCTCACGCACCTCCTCAACAACAACAAATAATCAGACAACCATGGCTGAGATCCGTCGTAAGCTCGTCATCGTCGGCGACGGTGCCTGCGGTAAAACCTGCTTGTTGATGTAGGTACCTGTCCATCCCCCAAACCCCATCTCCATCTCCATCTCCATCACCACCCGCCTCCCGAACCCCCGACGACGCCTGGCTTTCCAGCTCGCCAACCCGATGGGCCATCATCGCCAAACTCATCGCTCTCTACCGCATCACTGCCTGCTCTTTTCATCCATCTCGCTCTTACTAACTCATTCCCAGTGTTTTCTCCAAGGGTACCTTCCCTGAGGTAAGATCTCCCCTGACAGCTACCCGATTTCACCCCCCCTTCGAAACTCCGAAATTCGTCATCCCTCCTTTATTGCCTCGTCATCTCGACGCCATCGCTCCCCAAAGCGCCATTTCAACAAGGCAATTCGTCTCGACTATCAGTGCATCACTCCCTTTCGCCGTTGGCCGCAACCCGCCTCGCCCGTTGCGACCGGACAACGAACCCGAAACGTCGGTCAGGAAACAAAGATACTAACACGTGCCCTCCAGGTCTACGTCCCCACCGTCTTCGAGAACTATGTTGCCGATGTCGAGGTTGATGGAAAGCACGTCGAGCTAGCCCTATGGGATACGGCTGGTCAGGAGGATTACGACCGTCTCCGTCCCCTTTCCTACCCCGACTCCCACGTCATCCTCATCTGCTTCGCCGTCGACTCGCCTGATTCCCTCGACAACGTCCAAGAGAAGGTAAGGCCGTCCTCACCGTCGCCTCCTCAGGCACACCCCTCGTCTCGCCCGAGGTAGCTGGAGCAGCAGCTGATTCTTGTCTCTCTGTCTATAGTGGATCTCCGAGGTTCTGCACTTCTGCCAGGGCCTCCCCATCATCCTCGTCGGTTGCAAGAAGGATCTGCGTTACGACCAGAAGACCATTGAGGAGCTGCGCAAGACGAGCCAGAAGCCCGTCACTCCCGAGGAGGTACGTTGATCAACCCCCGTTCTCGAGCCGGAACAGGCTCTACACCGACCGATGGTGGTAGCCTGGAGCCGGATCCCGAGTCATCGAAACCGGGGCTCACAGCGGAATGTGTTTTTGCTGACGATATTTGCCTTTCAGGGTGAGGAGGTTCGCAAGAAGATTGGTGCCTACAAGTACCTCGAGTGCTCAGCCAAGACGAACGAGGGCGTCCGCGAGGTCTTTGAGCACGCTACCCGGGCTGCTCTGCTCTCCCGCACCAAGGGCCGAGGAGGCAAGCGCAGCAAGTGCCTGGTCCTGTAAAGGATCGATCCATCTGATCAAGCGTCCTGTCAACCCATTACGATGATGACTCCACTGCTGACGGTTCGCGATCCGTCTGTCACCGTCACTGATACAACCATGGTGGTGGAAGCATCGTCAGTGCGAGCAGGGTTGCGGCGATCTCTTCGGCGGACCGGGCCGGCGGTTACCCCGTTGTCCCAGCCTGCGGAGGGGCTCTGAGAGAGATACATGTTCCTACTATTGCGTGCTCGTCATATCACCTATCTTCATTGGACCGGCGTGTCATATTTGGTTGGGTTTCTCACATACACACGGCGGGGTCTTTTTAATCTCCCTTCGATACGAAAGCAGGGAACAGTGAGAAATTAGTTTTGTTTTGCTCGCATTCGACAAACGGCGAGAAGACACGGGGAGAGCAAGTAGCGGGGTTGAGAAGAAGGCTCGAACTGCGCGCTGGTCGTCTTTGCGAAAGTGCGTGAAAGAGTTGCATCTTTGTGTGTTTTGGCCCAAGAAGAGACAAGAGTGAGATGGGTGACGTGGTTGTGTGAGCTCGGTCGTGTTTTGTGTTAACTAGTTAAACGGTGTTGGGACCGCGTGGTTCGTGCTGCCTGCTGCTGCGAGACGGGTTCTTCATCCGGAGAGAGGCTATATCATACATCTTTATTTCCTTCTTCCCTCATGCACACCTACACCTGCTCTGCCGTCCGATGAGGCTGTGACGTCTGTGCTCTGGGAAACTGTGTCTTGTTACTACGATGCCCGCTGGATCGGGAAAGGCTGCGGACTTGGCCTCCATCATGTCACATTTTGTCTCCTGGCCAAGGGACATTGCTCGACCGAGTACTGGTTTCGAAAAAGGAGGGATGGTATATTATATCTCAGGGCATTCAGTAAAAAAACCGAAAACTCGTTGTGCCCCTACAAAATCCACACAATCTAATGAAAGATCACCTCTCCCCGACCAGCCCGCAAAACACGAACTCTCTCTCTCTCTCCACAATGCACCCGCACGCTCCTCGACTCCTCGTCACCCCCACAACTGCCTCTCGCCGCCCGTGATGCATTTCACTCTCGGAAAACAGCCCCAAGTAAAGGAGATAAATTCGCCCCATAGAACCCATATCATAAGCTCATCTTTCCGGCAGAATCACACGTCTCTTTCCTAGACAGGGCAGCTCTGTTTGGAGGGGGGGATATATCGGGTCAGTATTGGGCAGGGAAGAGACGGAGCAGAAGAAGGGCAGAAGCAGTAGAAGGGGACGAGATGAGAGACAGAAAGAGAAGAGAGTTGGGCACGAGAACTTACAGCGCCGCAGGAGCCGCACGACTTGCTGGAGCCGCTGTACGCCGCACCGCACTTGGGGCAGTTGGATCCGTGCATCTCGTCGCTTTGGAGGGACGGTGTTTCGTCTGTTTTGCAGAATAATATGGTCTCGGGTTGGAGGGAGCAAGAAATGATATCTCTTCAGGTTTGTATTGTTTCGGGAAAGGGAAGGGAAGGGAAGGAAAGGGAAAGAGCAAAAGGTCGTTTGTGACGAAAGGCGGGGGGGGTTTTGACGGACGGGGGGCTTATAAGTGGAAAGGGCTCACATGCACGATCAGAGGTTAACGAGAGGGAAGGAACAAGTCAAGCCATACACTGGCTGCCTATTTCGTGATTACCCGCTGTAAGCAGCAGACTTTATCGTACATGTGTACGCTCGTGGTCACAATCTTGGTCTCCCCCGCTTCCGAAATCCTGTACGGGGGGGGCTTCAATGTTCCAGTCAAAAGAGAAGCGCTTTCCGAAGGTGGGTTCGGCTTGGGATGCTGCTGCTGGCTTAGATCCCGATGACAAGAGATGCATGAGAGTGTTGCTAAGTGGGTGGGGGGGGGCGCTGAGCGGATGGGTGTGTGGTTCTGGACCCTGTGATTTGTATATAATCCCGAACTGAAGCGGAATAGCAAATGGCAGCCAAGTGCGTATGCATCTCGCTCTGTGTGTGTGTGTGTGTGTGGTACAATCTATTGTGTGGATGGGGGAACTTTCAAGAGCTTTGTGTGACCCTGTTTCTGCTGCCACTTTTTGCAACACTCTGCTGGCGTGCAGCCTCCTCTGAAGACGGGGATGAAAGCCCGACTTGCAAGATACCGTTCTCAACTTACTGTCTCACCGAGGGTCTATGGAGTGAAGAGGGCTGTTTTGATCACACTATCATGTTTAAAAGATGAGCATTGAACGTTCCAGATACTTCCCTCTTATAGAGACGTAGGCTGGTGAATGATGTAGGATCATCAAGTGATGTTGGTTCTTATGGATCACAGAGGCCTTCATGCTTCCTTACCTTATCCTTGTCTCTATGTAACACCAACATTGAACACTCTATTTCCTCTGTTCAGAGGCCACCCCGACTCCTATCTGCAACCACCTCAACAATCATTTCTCGGCAGCCAACTTTGCTTCCGCCCATGCAATGTCTCTTCCGGTCTATCTCGTAGAATCCCTCGGGGCGCCTCGGAACCACCACGCCCTGTTCGTCGAGCTCGACCCCAGACACGAATCCGGCATGCTCTTCCACGTCACGGGCAACATACAGGAAGGGATGGACTTTGAGAAGAGGCCGACCGAGTACCCGAAGCTCGAGAACACATACGTGGCTCACCGCCTGCTCGGAACTCTATCCAGCTCCGACCTCGACACGATGGAGGCCGTGTGCCGGTCCAATCCTCCTCCCGAGAAGCAGTTCGACGGCCCAAGGCGCATCGACCGCAAGAAGCCGCTCCGGAAGTGCCAGGAGTGGACGGCTGAGACGATCCGGCTGCTAGAGCAGCAGGGCATCCTGCGGCCGGCATCAGGGGCAGCCTCCTCCTCCTCAACTTCCGGGTCGCACACTCAGCCTTCTACGGATCGATAGAAGGCCCCCCCTGGTGGGTTCTGGACCTAGAGTGATCGGGGTAGCGGTCGATCCGTCTACGATAGCAACTGTGTTCATATCACACGGGAAAACACTTGTGGCATGTTGATATCATCTTGTTTTCATTTTGTGTTTTGTTTTTTTTGTGATGTGCTGGTGTTGTTCCTCCCATCCTAGCTCTCGTGGAAGAATCCCAGTCCTTGTATGTCCCATCCGTGAAAGCATGCTATGCCCACGCTGTGTAGTGGTAGTAATAGTAGTAGTAGTAGCTAGAAATACAAAAACGATTAAACAGCAGTATCGTCAATATCCAATGTCTCCTCTTTTGTAGTGATGGTGGTCGTCGATAGTGATAGTGTAGTAACACATTATCAAGAAACACCCGTTTGCCACTTTTGAAGTATCATATATCGTGCTCTAAACACACTGTGCCATGCCGCCCTCGCCTATATATTCACATCATCCAGTTAGCAAAAACAAGGGATACATACACACACGACACACAAAAGACCAGCAGATGAACGCAAGGAAAAAGAAAGGAGAAAACTCACCGCTCACAATCTTGGCCACGGCCTGCACGACGCTGATGACCATGACGGCGCACCCAAACACCACGACCGCGCCGGCCGCGTACGTCCTCCAGTCGCGGCGCGCCGTGAGCTTGACGTAGCACAGCGGCGGCAGGATGTACGCCATGGCGCACGCGCTCGTCGCGCCCACGAGCTCGAAGATGACGCCCAGGTCGCAGGTGAAGAGGCTCAGCGCCGTGGCCGCGGCGACGAGCCCTGTGCTCAGCAGCACGTGCAGGCGCAGGTCGAACGCCGCGCCGCGCCACCAGTAGTCGAGCATGACCTCGCGGCACACGAAGCCCTCGAGCGGCAGCGTCGTCAGCATGTTGAGCCCGAAGCAGAGCCGCGCGACGTTGACCATGGCGTTGTCCGAGGGGAAGTTGTTGAGCACGTTGCCCAGCGTGCGGTCGCCAAAGGTCAGGAAGCCGGCCAGGGCCATGAGCATGCAGGCCAGCATCGAGACGCCCGTCGAGTAGTGCGTCACGCGCGAGAAGCGGTCGATGGTCGGCGTCTTGAGGGAGCCGTAGATGAGGAGCGAGTTGTGGTGGCAGACGAAGGCTGCCGTCTGGGTGTTAGATTGCGCGCGTCTATGCCAAAATTGCAAAAGCAGATCACAAAAGCGACAGATTAGCAAAAAACGTACCAAATGATATAACGCCAATGGCTTGGAATATGCCCGAGTTGATCGTGAGCAGCGGCGCGCTGAAGGAGCCCCTCTCGGCGCGGGGCGTCAGGATGCCCTGCACCACGACGGTGACGCAGATGACCATCATGCTGATGAGAGCAAAGGTGCTGGCTTTGGAGAGCTATATAGAACAAAAAAAATATCCCATGTTAGCATAAACCATTTTGACTCGCCTATCCTAGATCTCCGCCCTCCCTCTCCCTTCCTTCCTTCCAATGCCGTGAGTACTGGGAGGCTCTCCTCACCTTTGCGATGTCCCGGTACAAAGTCAGCGGGTAGCTGACGCCGATGACAAACACCACGATGGCGACCCTCCTGTTGGCCAGCAGGCCGACGACGGGCACGTCGCGGATCGACGGCCACACCGCCAGCAGCACGTGCGGTATGCTGTCGCCGACGATGACGCAAAAGGCCACCATGCCGCCGAACGCAAACAGCCACTGCGCGAGGCTGACGGCGACGAGGCCCGGGCGGCCGAAGCAGCGCTCCACCGTGCCCTGGAAGCTCGAGGCGCCGCTGAGCTTGCTGTTGACGACGATGAGGCAGATGGTCCAGTCGACCATGACGGTGAGGCCGACGAGCAGCGCGACGCCGGCCACGAGCCCGGCCTGCCGGAAGGCGTACGGCTGGCCGATGATGCCCGCCCCGATGATGCTGTTGGCCATGTTCATGAAGGCGCTGCGCAGCCCGGACTTGGGCCGCAGGCGCTCCTCCTCCGCCGCCAGCTCGGCCGACGAGTCCTGCCCGTCCTCCCCCGCCGCGGCGGGCCCCCTGCCCCTCGGCGTCGGCGAGAGGCGGCCCGAGTTGGCGAGCGCGACGGCGGGGGCCTCGAGGCCCGTGAGCAAGGGGCGCGAGGCGAGCGGGTCGCGCGACAGCAGCGCCGCGTCGTCGTCGTCCGAGTCGTCGCTAAAGTACTCGTCGCCACCGTCGTCGGCGACGCCGAGCGCCTCGCGCGGGTGCCCGTTGGCGTGGCCGTTCGCGGCGGCGGTAGGCGGTGGTGGCAGGTCGAAGCGGACGTGGCCCGGCGTGCGGGGCGGGGAGGAAGTGTCGCGGCCCTTGGGCTCCTCCTCGGCGCCGCCGGGCAGGATCACGAGGTCGTCGTCGTCGTCGTCGATGTCGGCGTGGGCGTGCAGGAGGCCGATGTCCTCCTCGCCGTCGTCCGGGGCGGCGGCGCGGCTGAAGCCATCATCGTGGTCGTCCGGCCGGGGCGGCGCGTCGTTGGTGCTGCTGCTCGCCGGGTTCGTGGCGCCGTGGGATGTGGCCTGGGGCATGACGGAGCTGGCTGTCTCTTATTGCCAGCACATTGTCGCGCGGCAGGGCCCGGTTGTGTCGTGACGTAGAACTCCTCGACCCTCCTGACGGGCTTGTTCCTCAGGGCGTACGTGTGCCAAGGACAGCTTGTGACGATCGCAGTATGGTCGATGAACGTGGGCCCGGGGGTCTTCAAGAGTGAAACTGCATGCACAGGTCGTAGAGAGAGCGAGGTGGCTAGCCGGAAACTTGATTCATCGAGAACAAAAGGCATACAATCCCCCAATGGACATTTGGCGTTTCAGTACATTCGTAAATTCGATGTTCTCGCTTCTTGGGTTGGCCTGTTACAGGGAAGAATAGCCCCTTGCCTGATAGGTCGATAAGCATTGCACTGTGCTTTAGGTGACGCTCCCCGCTGGGAAGCCCGCTCCTAGCCGGGCTCACCGGCGCTGCTCATTTGCCCCTATTTAGGTAGTCCATGGGGTACGCTCGACTCTCCTCCTTTGTCTCCCAACGAGACATTCTTGCCCGTCGATATTCTGTGTGTCGAAGGTTTAGTAGGTAGTTAGAGACAGTTTGGCCACATGTAAGAGACGCGATACTTTTTCAAGAGCCTCTCCCCCTCCATGACATAAAGCCAGTCTTGGCAGTCAGTAATGTGGGAATCGAAACATTCTTTTTATTACATAACGATTAAGTACAAAGGTCATGGGAGTCTTCTGTATCCTCAGCCCAACAGAAGCTCTCCTCCCAGACAAAAATCCTATTTGTTTCCTTTCTTCCTCTGGGTATCATGTGCGTCAAAGTGGTTGTTCTTGGTCCATGCATAGACTTCCCCATCGCTATTTGTTATCATGGCAGTAAAAACAGTGCGACGGGGGCCTATGGCAGACCATTTCGCTGCGGCCTGTGCCCTCTCCTCCGAGCAAGCCAAGTGTTCCCGTGTCTCACGCGGGGCATTCCGCCGCGTGCATCATAGCCCGTCTCAACAGGGCAAAAGATCTAGTATATAAATAAATATGCTCCAGGGGCACGGCACCCGCAAAGACAAGTGCCTATCATGCCGCGAGAGCGATGGCGACCACCATGCAGATCATTGTGACATATCTGTTGCCCTCGAGCTGCTCTCCCGGCGACTTGTGTGTCGGCGTGGCAACTGCTGGGGAGGCGTCGGCTGCAGCCGTCGCAGACGTTTCATGCCCGCTCAGTCCGGGGATATCTGCCGGAGTCGAAGAGGACCCAGACTTGGAAGTTGTGGGGCTGGGGGTGATCATCGTAGATAGAGTCGACGATCCTTGCGGGTTCGAGTTCGTAGAGCCCGCCGTGCTGGTCGGGACACTCGAGCTTGTTGAAGAGGTAGGCTGAGGTTTGGCAGCAAATCCTGAGCATCTTGTGTTAGCGGTGAGAGCGGTGAAGGCAGCCACGGGCTCAAGAAGAAAGGCTCACCAATTCTGGTTTGATCCATGTCAAAGACAGCATAGACATTCTTGAGGAACAGGTCACCCAGCAGCCACTGGCCCTTGACAACCTCGTGGCCGTAGATGTTGCTCGTGCAATCGCCATTGCCGTTGGGGCCCGAGTGCCATTCCTTGGCAGAGATGGCGTACTTGACGCCCGAGAAGATGACAGTGATGGGCTTGTTGTTGTCGCACGGAACCGTGTAGGTGACACCGTCTCCGCTCTTGGCGCCGGGAATCTGCTTGTGCAGGGCGGCAACGTCGCTCGAGGGCCCAAAGACGTAGCTGGTACCCGTGTCGATGTAGGCAAGCTTGCCCGTGATGCCCGCCTTGTTGCCGTCAAACTCAAAGTCATCCAGCGGGATGGCCCAGTCGCCATGGGCGTCGGACGAGACGGGGGTGTACGAGATGTCACCCGTGAATTTTGCCGGGTTGGTGGCACCAAAGGTTATTTCACCGTTGTTGGGCCCGTCCGAGTTCCGGTTCAGCGACACGGCAAACATGTTGGCCCCGATGAGCTTCTCGCTCTTGACCATGTCCAAGAAATTGTCCGTGGCGCCCTTGGCCATGCTCAGGCCCAGAATGCCGTCAAACGGAAAGTGCTCAAAGTCGTCCGACGTCGTGTCGGCCACACCGAAAGACATGGTCGCCTTCATGCCAGCCACGCTGAGCGTGTCCGAGGCGAGGCTGCCCACGACTTTCCCGGAGCCATAGGCGATGGAGAAGGTCTTTGTTGACGCAACTAGACTCGTGGAATCCGACGGGCCGAATCGGCTGTGCATTGTGCACGCGGGGGTCTGGCAGGAAGAGCCCATCACCCAGGTCGTGCCGGCACCAGAGTCAAGCAGCATGTACATGGGTGTCTGCTTCGAGCCAACTCCGACCTGCACGAAGTACGAGATGTCTCCGCCATCTTGGGCGATGCCAGCACTGTTGCTTTGCGTTGGGGCCGCAGCAGTCACTATCTTGAACTGGTTCTGTCGCTTGTCGAGATCCGAGGAAGCTTCACGGGCCTTGGAGACACCAGCCGGCGCGTACTTTCGTGCCAGTCGGTCGGCAGCCTGGGCGACTTGGGCACCGCGAGGTTGGTCAGACTGGTTGCATTCAAGGTCAGCCACCAGAGTTTTGCACGGGATTTGTGAATATGGCAGAGGACGTACGCTGGCTTTCCTCTGCTTCAACGGCAAGGTCAGGCCTTGTCCGGAAGCATCCCGAACCTCGGCAACACGCCCGTCGGCGTCGGCTCGTCTCGAGCTCTTCTTTATAGCATCGATGTTCCCGCTCTCACCGTTCTCGTTGGGGAACCACGGGAAGAAGGCCTGAATGGAGGTGACCCATAGTGCAAGCTGCAATAGGATGGTGGTCCAAAGCATGTTGGCAACACAAAGGGGCCGAGCTTTCCGTCCTGCACCACCGTTCTCTTGTCCTGGCAGGCCGAGATGCCTTGTTACCGTGAGGGACAAGAAGACCAAGTGGCGAGAAGCGACGGATGGGCCGGTATCGTCTGGCAGACGAGCAGGAGGCACGCAAGTGAATGGGCCCTGCTTGTTGCTGCCGGTTTGTCCGTCGAGAGCAGAGCAAACTTGGCAGTCCGGCGACGAGATCGACTGGAGTGAACGAGCGTTGCTGGACCTCGAGTTCCAGACCCAGGCCCGGTATTATAGCGATTAGAGATTATATGAACAGCATTGGTGAGCAAGACGAGAATGAAAACAGACGGCCACCGGAGCGTTTTCGACGACGTTGGCCAACCTGTGTGCAATTGGCCAGAGCTGTATCCAAATAAAAGGTGTCGACTTGGCTGGAATGCAAACCCGAGCGGAAATTTGGGGGCGCCGTGCAATGGTGAGCTAAATCGGCCGATGGAATTTCAGAGGACGCAATGATGCCGCTAGAGATGATTACAATAGCCAAACAAGAGTCGAAAGACACGAGACAAGAGAGGAAAAGATCCGATTTCGTAGTAAGAGACAAGAGAGACGAGATAGGAGGAGGTTGGATAGTCGAATTGGTGGAGAGAAAGCGTCGAGGTCTGGTGGCAGCCCAAGGAAGAGCGGGCAGAGGCGGCACCTCGTATAATAACCCGGAGCTCAAAAAGGAAAGAAAGCAAGCAGATGCGCGATGATGATGACCGCAAAGGACGATGCCAGGCCTTCAAATGCCCAATTGCAAAGAGGAGAAACGAGGAGGCTGCAACGATGGTAGAGAAGACACCTACGACCCCGATGCTCAATGGCGAGGCAAGCAGGAGGTGGAGGAGGGGAGCGAGGCGGGTAGAGAAGGTGAAGGTCAAGGTGCCCGGCGATGGCGGGTAGGTAAGAGGAGGTCCGGTAAAGAGAGACACACGAGGCCCGGGCCCGCTTGGTGGCTAGCCAGGTAGGACCCTCATCTACGGCTAGGCTAGGAGGAGTAACTAGCGCAGAGCTAGGGAGGAGGAGGAGAGGCACAAACGAGCAGCTGGATGCACTGGGGGTAGCATGTGGAGTGGATGCTGTGGTGGTGGTTGGCTTGTGTTGAAGGACTCCACGATGAATGGCCGTTGGCATCGCCAAGGCCCCCTTGTCCCTTTGGCGAAAGCGCAGTACGAAGCATCTGGGATTCTCCTTTGCAGTTCTGTCGATCACCGCCGGGGGTCTCTTTTGCAAAAGCACCGAACAGACACCCCCAGAAGCTGCGGCCGGCGAAGTGGACGGGATCGAAACGCCATGATCACCAGGTACGCAAAGCACATGATTCTCGACGAGGTGTCCCCGTCCCGGACAAGAATACCCACCTCGGACTTGCTTTGTCCACTCGTTCATGACTGTGGCTCCCAGGCCATAACGTCACAGATGCTCCATAATCCACCAACAAGCTCTTCTCGCTCTGGCTCCGGCGCCGGCGGGAGCACTGTAGGCTCCCCTTCGCTCGATAGAAGGCAATGGCAGACCCCGTGGCGTCATCCTTGGCCGGAGGGATGGCGGTCTAATTCGTCTCGAGTGACCTGGACGATACTGCATAGGTGAAATAACGAGCGACAGATTTGGCGGGCGCGGAGAGCTGTGGAGCGAGTCGAGATAAGGTAGATTCTCAAAACGGAAGATCTTTAATTTAAGAAACCCCCTGATCCATGGCGGAACCTGGGCATCCTGTCATCATGATTGGGCCAGGGTCAGCGCCTCCGACAGGGGTTGGACCGCTGTCCTTCCAGAGGTCCAGCCCGCCTGACTGTTGTTCTGTGGGTGTGTGCTTTTCTAACCTCTGCTGCGAACGGAGCACCGAGACTACGACGTATCGTCAAAACTTTGTTTCGTGAAGCGTCAGCGCAGACCAGCAGTGAAATGTCTCTCGCTTCTCTTCTTCCTTTGCTGACGAGAGCAATATTGGATCCCGAAACCCGCATCTCCGTAGTGAGATCTGACCAGTAATTTCGTGCCTGATTCAGCCAGAGGGCAACGGGATTCGAATGTAACCTGGCTTGTCAAAGCCATTGTTGTGAGGGAGATATCATTATCCCCCCTTTCCTCTGCATCTGGGGTCGGGTGGGGAGGATGATCAGGAACCTGGAAGCGCCGGAGCTTTTCTTCAGTGATACCTACCTACCTAGCCTGATAGGTAGGCCTGCTTGCCCTGTGCGGTGGCGTGCATCTTTGCAACGAAATGAACCTGGCCTGGCTGCCTGGCTGCCAGGGAACAGAGTGCCCAACCTGGAAACCCCCAACTGACATGCGGAGGCGAACCGGGTATCTGACGCGGGTTGTCTTTTGCCAAGCGCCCTGCTCCTCACCCCGAAAAAGCCCTTGTAAGTGATCCAGAACAGCAAGACATCCATCTCACCGCGAGTCTGTACCTATTGAAACGGCCTCCGCGTTCGTTCTCGGCGGGTTGATGGGGCGCAGAGGCGCTACCCAGTAGCCAATTCCACAACGGTCTCAGCGGCCTGAAACATTAGCATACCGGCTAGTCTTGGTAGCCACTCTGCACATGCACGCATACGAGCCTCTAGTGAGCCTCTAATGTCGTGATTGTCTCTGATACACGCGTACAGCCAGCCATGGCGGCATGGCAAGAGCTGAAGGCTGAAACCAGTGCCCGTTGGGCAATCGATCGCCCCAACTTATTGTCGGGACCGCATTCGCGCTTGGATCATGAAGCCGGCCACCATCATTCATTGCTTTTTGAAGTAGGTACGCTCCTCACCACCAACGGAGAGTTGGAGTTCGGGGTGGTGGCGGCTGAATAGGCTCTCGCATAATTCCAAGATTAAATCCGAGCCATAAGAGCTTCTTGTGAGGGAGCTGTCTGCCATGGCTGAAGCTCTCCCAGATCAATGAGCCCCAGATGTTAGAAATTGCCGATTCCTAACAAGCTACTGTTGCTTGCTCCACGCCTCTCTCTGGTTCATGCCTGTTCCGTGTTGTGACAAGTGATGGCCAGATGAGTTGACAGACTGCTAACAGAAGCACTTGACTATCCATCAAACTCGTCGGTTTGAGGTATTGGGATAGCCCTTCCGAGCATGAGGGCAAGGATATGTATTGGTAACATCGAGGTAGCTCCCGATTAACTTCCGTCCACTATTCTGACCCTCACCTGTGTGAGTAATGGCTTTGAGAATCAAGGCCTGAAGTAGATGATTACTACGTCCTGGGTGCCTGGAAATAATTTCCTCCTTCATGGTCAAGGACTTGGGCACGGCAGTTGCTTGTCGATCTTGAACCCTGGAAGTCAATGAGGAGACCGATCTGCTATATCGGCGTTTGAGGTGCTGGAGATCGGTGGCGCTGCTGCCGTGGCGATCACAGCCACTTGTCTCCATACCAATCTCTGCCATCTGAGATTGTCGCTGTTTGCATAACCAAGCCAAGGGATAGACCATGAAAACCACGCTGCAGCGAGCAAGATATGATATTGGTCTCATCAGTCGATCTTCAGTCTTTTGATTTGATGCTGCTCATTTGATGCGGGTGATTCAGGCTCGACAAATGACCACATTGTAGGATTGGCGATGATTGTCATCGACCAAACCCAACTTTTCTTGGTAGGTTTGCCAGTAATGCATCAACTAGTGACACGGTAGGTCTCGGCCCAGGTCCTGGCCTTGTCCAAGACACTCAAATCTTCTGGGTTGGACCCAATCGAGCTCTTCAGGGCCTCGAGCTTGTCGTTAAAGACATCATACTCGTTCCGACTCATCTGTCCTGACGATATGAGGCTGCGCAGAAACACCCATACCGTCTCGTTGGACCACCGTAGGGACGTGGCCAGCTGTATCACATCCGTGAAGATATCTGAGCAATGCTCTCGCAGAGCAGAGTCCCGGACAACAAGGAGGAAGAAGAGAAATGTCCAGCCGGAGATATCAGTGTGGTGAGCAGTACACCACTGCTTGGCCAGCTCGAGAATGCGTTTCTCTTCAGCCTGGAAATCATGCTGGGATCGATAGGCAGTGTCCGACATGATATCCATGAGAAGCCGTGCATGGCACCAAGAATAGTAATTGCGCGGGTGTCTCTGGGCAGAGACAAAGACCACATTGACAAAGTCTGCTGGGACATCAATGAGAGACATGCAAGATGCCCTCGCCGTTTGGAGGAGCCATCGACGGTGAGACCAGAGGGTCGGTGATTTGGAGTGCCGATGCAAGGGGCTGGTGAGGAAGCTATCCGTGAAACACTTTTCTCTCTGGACGAGATCCAGCAACGGTGCACCAAGCTCAAATTGCTGCTGAAGAAGCCTCTTGCGAGTGTTGGCGGCAGTGAGATACTCGGGATCCATGAGCAAGATGACTGCCGTAGCTGCAGATATATCATCGACTTGCGCTGAAGCATGGTCCGCCTGATACTGCATGAGCAACTGCCGGGCTACCAGAAATGCCTGGACAAGGGACAACTTTGAGACTCCTACGGCATTCTCGTCTTTCAGGAGGTGTACCCCGGGCGGGAGAGGATGGCTCCGTCCAAGTATCTCGATCTCTAGCAGAGTGTCGCCTTTGACGGTCAGGGCACTTGCTATGGCCTGGTAAGCCTCGTTCGGGTCGCTCTGCCTCAAAGAAGCAAGAAGCTCCTTTTCGAGTGCCCTGGACATGGCAAAAATGGCATTGTCCCCTCGATAATGCCTGTGAGCTCTGGCCGGATCCGTGGCTGAAGGTTGGACTCTGCTTTCGAGGGAGCGAGGGCAATGGAGCCCCACTAAAACAGCTGGAGATGTATGTGTAAGTGGGCCACCACAACCACAACGCCTGAGGCAGCGAACAGTGAGTGATGCAACAGCTGGCAGCTCTCCATTTGGCGGGGCCACATTCAATCCTCGAGTTCCCGATGCATTGCACAGCTTCAAAGCTCTACATAAACCCAACGATAGAGGACCTTACCGATTGTGGCTGCTCAAAGAGGGAACGATGCCTTCTCTCCTGGTCCTGATCTTCGTCGTCGAGCTGGCTGTCCAGCTCATCAACACCATCGGCGCAACCACCATCAACAACCTCGTGCGTGACCATTTCAACTGAACCGGTGTTCCTGATAGATGCCTTGGCTAACGCATTTTTTTTGTTGCCCTGCAGCTCTGGAGCCTCGTTACCTCTGTGCCGACAGACCTCTCTCGAGAGTACTCGGCCCAGCGCAAGCTGCAGCAAGAGTTCCTCAAAGTCCGGCGCGACCTCAACGCCACGAGCAGCCAGGATGAGTTTGCCAAGTGGGCGAAGCTGCGGCGCCAGCACGACAAGCTGCTGAGCGAACTGGAGAAGAAGAGTACGAGAAGCGTTGCCTGGAGGGGGAAAAATGCTTCTTGATGCAGTGCGCTGACCCAGACATGGCGTTCTGCAGAATCCTCTCTCGACGGCACGCGAGCCAAGTTCGACCGTTACTTGACGACGATCCGCCTCATCCTCACCCGTGGCATGCAGTACTTCCTACCCTTCTGGTATGCGAAAGAGCCCATGTTCTGGCTGCCCCACGGGTGGTTCCCGTACTACGCAGAATGGCTCCTGTCGTTTCCCAGAGCGCCCATGGGCAGCGTGAGCATCACGTCGTGGCAGGTGGCCTGCACGGGAGCCCTCTCCATCATAACCGACACCATCATGGCCGTGATCGGCCTGGTCTGGGGAGCCAAGCAGCCACAGGCCACACCTGTGTCGGCAAAGGGAGGCAAGGCCAAGGAAGGGGCACAGTCGGAAAAGAAGGAGCTGTAGACATCAGGCCTGTGTTTGCATTGCATGATAAGGCGCATAGATTACGATACGAAATTCAACTAAAATAAACACATGTCTCTCATCCATTTGACGCAAAGTCCTTCATGGCTTGCGCTGGGACACTGCAACACTACGTGAGATGACTCTTGGCAGAGTACTTGGGCTCCTTATAGGCAACTTTTTGACTCTGACGACCATTGGTCCTGGAAAGGAGATCGCTAAAGCTTCGAAAGTGCCAACTGACTGCTGGTGGATGAGGCAGGCTTCCTCCAGCAAACACCGGCAAGACCTACCGTAGGCTGCATTTCAATAACGAGATTGTCTTGAGCGAAATCAAGCGCAAGATGGCAGCAGATGTATGTAGGCAAGGGTATCTTGCGAGATAGGCTCGTTCATACAAGCGTAGACGGTCTCAAGCAGAGGCAAGAGAATGCGAGTTTGGATTGTGAAAAGGTTCAAAAAAAATTTGAGGACCAGAAGGTCAAGGTCCTTTAAAACACAAACGACCAGGGCCTAAATTTAGCGCGTGGGACCCCTGGCAGTGATAGGTGGGTCACCGGGTCACCACCTGCACCGCTCAAGCTACCCTCTACCTTAGGTACGTAACTGCAGCCACGTCTCTTTGTTCATCAGCCTTGCCATCGCGACTGTCAGCAATGCCTTCTCGATCCTCACCGAAAACATAACGCACTCGATCACGAGAGGCATAAGAAAGGAACGGGAGACACCTGCTTCCCAAGCTCTGAAGCCAAAGAACATCCGTATAGCCTGCACCTTGCGGCCCGGAGTCTATCAACATGGCCATCTCCTGGGGGACGTAAGTGGACTCTTCGTACTCTCTCTTATACGACACAGCTAGACAGACACCCGGCCTGCCAGAACCTCCCTCCCTGACTGCTTTCACAGTATCAAGTCCCTCACCCTCTTCTTCGGGCCCATCCTCGTGCCCAAGGCCATAAGCTACTACCGCAGCGTCCGCTCCGCCCCGGGCCGCCACGGCCTCGCCGTCCGCCCGTGCCCGGAGCCCACCCGCCGCGCGATCCTGCTCCTCGCCCTCTGCGCCGCCATCCTGCTCGTGCGCTCCCTGCCCGTCTTCGCCCCCGAGAACGTCTTCGTCGCCACGCAGTCCCGCCTCCAGGCCCCGACGGACGTGCTGTTCAACCGGCTGTCGGCCCTCCGCGCCGCGTCCGCCGGCTCCCCCGACGTCGGCGGCGCCGCGGCCCTCACCCCCGCGGACGAGGCCCTGCGCGCCCGCTTCGTCAACCTCGAGTCCCGCCTGCTCTACGCCCAGTTTGGCCCGGACCCCCTGTCCACCTGCCCCTTCTGCTCCTCGGACGACCCGAGGTCCTACCTGTACTACGCCGCGCCCGCCCTCGTGGCCCCCCACCTCGTCAACCTCGCCGTCCTGGCCCTGGCCACCGCGGCCTCCCCCGCCATCTTCGGCCGCGACGCCCGCTCCCACGGTGCCCCTACTCCCTCCGCCTCCGGGTGGCGCTCGACCGCCACCCTCGCCGCCTGCGCCCTCGCCGCCGCCGACATCTACCTCGTCTCCAGCTACTCGCACCAGCTCAACGCGCGCGCCCTGCGCCTCGCCGACGTCGACTTCTTCTTCTGGCGCGCCCGCGCGCGGCGCCTGCTCGCCCTCGCCGCCCTCGACGCCCTGGCGGCCGCCCTGCTCTGGCTCACGGCCACGAACCGCGCCTTCGCGTCCCCCCCCACGCCCGCCGCCCGGCTCGAGTCGGTCTCGCGCGCCCTCGCCGTCGCCAAGTCGCGCCTCAGCGCCGCGGGCATCGTCAAGAACACGGCCGCGCGCGACGAGGACCTGCGCGGCCGGTCGCAGGCCTACTGGGCCCACGAGGGGCGCCTCATGCGCGAGGTCATGGAGGAGCGCGAGGTCGTCGAGGGCGTCAACGACGCGCTGGCCAACCGCATCGACATCGGCACCATCACCCGCGACGCCGAGGCCTATGCCGCGAGCGTGATTGAGCCGCTGCAGCCGCCGGTGGGTTGAGGTGAGATTGAAAATGAGAGAAGAGGGTTTCCAATTTGTGCATAAGCAGCGTCGAACGCTATCCCTTCTAGCTTGGAAAATAGGTCATGCCAGCCAAGTCGGAGCGAGCATATTTATGATCATGAAATGAAATGTGTTGCCACGTCCCGGAATCAGATTGTGAAAATACAAGAAGGGTGAAATACATGCAATCTATTCGTAGCCAACGGTACGTGATTTCACTATGCCATCTTCCAGGACATACACGCGTTGCCTTTCTGTCCCGTGAGCTGCAGAAGAATATTACGGTTCAAATGGCCAAAACCCACAGGTCAAAGCAAGTTCTGGTCTTCTCTTTCTTTCTTGATCTCTAACCAACCCCGTCCAGATGTGGGAACAATTATTGTACCTAGAGTGATCTTCCCTGTCGTCCGCTCTCTCTTCCATCTTTCTCATACAGCGCCGCCACCCGCAGGCAGTCAGTCGAGGCAGATCTGCTCGTTCAAACCAGGTCTCCTGTTTTCCACTCCTCATGCCAACATGGGCTTCTTCCCCATCCATCCCTCTCTACAATGAGAGGAAAGCCAGTTCCTTCAACCCCTCGTATCCGGCCTCCCCCCGCCCGCGCCTCCCCCGGGCGGCGGCGGGCCCATAGCGAGGCTCGCGTCGCTGCCCTTGCGCGACGCCGCGGCCGCCGTCTCGGCAGCCGCCTCCTCGACGCTGCGCTCGAGGAACCCGGCCCACAGGTCCGACAGCGACTCCTTGGTCGACGACGTGGGCGTCGGCTCCGAGAAGAACTCGGTGTTGAGCGAGGGCGTGCTCGGCGTGCGGTGGAAGGGCGACGAGGGCAGGCGCAGGGAGCTGTGGCTCGCCGTGCCGGGCCGCGCGAGCCCGGCCTGCTCCTTCTGCTCCTCGGTCCAGTTGAGCATGCCGGCGATGACCTGCAGGACCTGGAACTTCTTCGGGTCCGACCTGTCGAGGCCCAGGAACTGGAGGAAGAGGTTTGTAACAACGGCTCTGAGTTTGAAGTTAGCATAAGCATGGCAGCAGATAGTGACTCGTTCAAAGGTCGCGGCATACCTGTCGACGTTCTCCTCTGGCCTGTTCTTCTTGATGTACTTGAGCGCCTTGGTGAGGTGGTCGTTGAGCACAATGGCCTCGTGCCGCAGCTTGCCAATGAGCAGGTTCTTCTCCTTGACCTCCTTCTCGAACGGCGCCGTGCGCTCCAGCTCCTTGACCAGCGCGTCCTTGGCCGACTCGGCCTCGGCGGCCTTGGAGTCTGCCTCTTGCACCCGCTTCTTCATGGCCTCGAGCTGCTCCTCGGACGACTCGACCATCTCGCGCAGCTCCTTCTTGCGCGCGTCTTGGATGTCCTGCAAGGCCCGTTGCAGGCCGTCAATGGCCTGGGACTGTGTGTCGCGCTCCGACGCCGCACGCTCAAATGCCTCCCGCGCCGAGGCGAGCTGCTCCTCGAGGTCGCCGACCTTATCCTGCAGACTCTCTCTTACGGACCGCTCCTCCATGGCGATGACCTCCCACTCGCCCATGGCGTTGCTCGTCGACTCGAGCTCGTTCTTGAGGTGCTGCATCTGGCGGACCATGTCGTCGCGCTCCTTGACCCAGTTCTGCTGCGACAGGTTGCTCCGGCTGCGCAGCGTCGTCAGCTCCCCGTTGGACTCGCGCAGCTCCTCCTTGAGCCTCGAGATGTCGGCCTCGTACGCCTGCGAGCCCTTGGCCAGCTCCTCGTTCTGCGACTCGAGCTCGTCGATGCGGTCCTTGGCCTCCTCCAGCTCCTGCCGGTCCCGTTTTAGCCGCTCGCCCAGCGTCTCTCTGATCTCCTTGACGCGGCCGAGCAGGTTCTGGTACTGCTCCTCGGCCTGCTCCTTGGCGGCCTCGCTCTCCTCGAGGTCCGACTTGAGCTGCGTCGTCTCGGCATTGTGCTTCTCCTGTATCGACTCGAGCTGTTTCCGCAGCTGCTCCACCTCGGACCGCAGCGCCTCTCTCTCCTGGGACATGGCCTCCAGCTTGGCGCTCGTGTCGGAAGACGAGCTCGAGGACTTTACCGGTTCGCCATTCGCCGCTCCCTTGGAGGCATGACCGTTTGAATTGGCGTCGTCCTTGGCAGGGCTCTCTGGTTTTGAGGCTGCTGCTTCTTCCTCTTTCGGACCGTCCTGTAGCACATGTGTCAGTATTCAGCACGGATTGTCTCGGTACAGTCCAGCGATGTTCGAGATAGGGAACAGCCATACTGTGACCGGTGTCTCTGGAACGTCAGACTGCTCCTCAGTCTCGGCTTGCGCGGTCGTTGTCGTTGTCGTCGTGTCCTTGTCTGTCTCTACCGCCTTTGGCTTGTTGCCCTTCTTCTTTTTGTTGTTCTTCTTCTTTGACCCTGTATATAGAGAGAGGTGAAGGAGAGCTATGCGTCAGCACAGGCCATCGTTACCGACGCTCGGGGCAAAGTGCCATATGCAGTGGGGGTCTACAAGCAGACAAATGGGAAGGGGTCCCGGGGTACGAAACTCACCTTGCGATGCGGACTGCGCCACGTCGGCGGGCGCCCCAGAAGACATGATCAATTGGGGGTTTGCGAGTGTGGCAGGGCTATTGAGCGATATGCATCAGGAAAGAGGAGGCAGAGGGAGACGCTGTCCTGTGTCCCAAAAGGTGTTGCTATTCAGACAAGAGAAAAGAAGCCCACCCCCCACGATGTTTACATGTGTCAACCACGAAACGGACGGCAGAGGAATTGTGTGGTGTCGAGAAGTCCGGCCGCCCACCTTTGATTCAATGTTGCGTCTGCAGCTGCCAGTAAACTCGAGGTCGGGTGCTACTTGCTAGCGACTTCAGGCTTACGTGGTGGGTGTGCTAGCGAGCCTGGGCGCTGGAAGCGGGTCGGTAGTTGGCAGTTGTTGGCCACCTTTTTTTCTTTTCCAGGTGGAATCTGTCCAGTCCTCTTGTCATACCTCGGGAGGGATGATGAAAATGCCAATGCTTTTCAGCTCTTGTCTATGTGGGTTCATCAAGGGATCAGTTATTTGGAATATCACTAATAATCATGCAAAGCATCATTCTTAACTCAAGAGATCCAAGTGCAGGTCTACAGAAGGCCTTCAGGGCTGCTAAGGTACATGTACATGTACGGAGTAGCTAATTAGCACTGCGATAAGAGGCTTATCGACCAGCACCAGCGTCGCAAATATCAATCGAATTTTCGACCTGCCCGTTTTCTTCCTTTTCCCTCTCTTTCTTCTTCATACATATTACCCTTCGCCATTAGAAGCGGGACAGGCCAGAAACACCAGGTTTCACTTGCTCAAGATGGTTTGTTTCGTAATTTAGACGAAGCAGAAAGAGCTCACGCACTTTATAATCCCGACGTTGGCCCTGTGTTTTCACGCTCTGCTTGAATTCAAAACCTCCAACGGGCACGTTGGGTTCGCTATGTGCACACATTCCCTCACATCAATGTCTTTGGTTGGGGAGAGGACTGTATCAGCCTTGCTTTTGACTTGCGTCTAACCATGATACTTTGACTGCAAGACCCTCTTCTCGTTACAAAGAGAACCCTTTACGAAACGCCAATCAATGAAATAAGACAAAACACTTTGTAGACGGCCAATTGCACCTCATGCCTTGACCTTCTTCCCCTTGGCGCCCTTCTTGGCCTTCGCCGCTGGCTTGGCCTTGGTCTTGGGCGCCGCGGCTACTGCCTCCTCCTCCTCCTCCTCATCCTTCTGAGCCTCCTCGGCAGCCGGCGGCGCCTCGATCGCCTCGGGCGCCTCCGTAGCATCGCCGTTCTCCAGCGCCGCCGCCGGGGCCGGAGTGTCCTTGACAGCCTCGGCCGCGGCCTTGAGCTGCGGCGCCTCGTACTCGTAGCCCAGCGCCTTGAGCTTGTCGGCCCTCGACGCCCGCCTCTTGGCCTCCTTGTCGATCTTCTTGCCCCACGCCGTCTCTGTCTGCGCCTGCTCGAGCTGCCGGCCGGCCATCTTGTTCCACGGCACCTTCTTGAACCGCCGGTTGGCGCCCTTGAAGAGCGACTCGTGCACCTGGCCGGGGGCCACGACCTTGCACTTGAGCAGGTGGCCGAAGAGCAGGTAGTTGTCCATCGTCTTGGCCACGATGTCGGCCGTGCTGGCCTCGGCGAACTCGACAAAGGCGTAGTGCCGCGAGGCGCCCGTCTTCTTGTTGCGCGACAGCCGCAGGCGCGTGATCTCGCCAAACTGCGACAGGTACGCGCGCATCTCGTGCTCGTAGAAGCCGTGCGGTATCCTCGAGATGTACACCACGCCGGACTCCTCCTTGTCTCCGCCCGCGTGCTTGAGCAGGGCGCCCTTCTTCACCTTGTCCTTGACCTCGGGGATCCGGCCGACGTCCTGGCCCGGTGAGAAGCCCTCGTCCTCTGCGTCGTCGCTGTCGCTGTCGTCGTCGAGCACGCGGGCCAGGGCCTTGGTCTGCTCGTCCTCCTCTTCCTCCTGGTCCTCGGTCTTGTCGGCGGGTGCGGCGGCCTTCTTGGCGGAGGACTTCTTGACCTCCTTCTTAGTGGAAGTAGTAGAACCGTTCACGGCCTTCTTGCTCGTGGCCTTGTCTGATACCGACTTTTGCTTCTTGGCTGCTACGGGAGAGGCCTGCTCGGGGGCTGTATTCCAGTGTCAATGGCTTTGCGTCTGTGAAGGAACTCATAAATGTCGCTTCTGACATACCTTTCCTCTTTCCAGCAGCGACCGCCTTGGTCTTCTTCTGGGCAGCATCTTCCTGCTCCTCCTTCTTGGCCGGGACTGCTTGTTGGAGGAACAATTAGCGTGAATTTGGATAAGGCTTTGAATTTTCCAAGACAACCGTACCTTGTGCCTTCTTTTTGCGAAGTTCTGGTGCCATTGTTGCGAATTCTGTCGAGGACTCACTAGGTATGCTTGCAAGAATCTCTAGCACACCAGCAATCCTGTGGTGGGGATGTGCACCTTGAACGATAAAAAAAATTCGGGATTCTGCCCGCCTCTGACAAGGCGGTCAAGATTTAACCTAGCAGAGTGACCATCCCCCAACCACCTGTGAAGACCCCTAGAATAGCATATCCAAACACGGAGTGTGAGCCCTCGTCGAACTATCTGGGGCACCCGCCTACACCAATTTCTAGCCGAATCAACAGGGAAAAATGAATCAAGAACATTTCCACAATGGTACGTGCGAGTTTCCCTTCTGAAGAACAGAAACACCAAAACAAGGGAAAGAATAAAAAAAAAAAAAAAAAGCAGAAAGGCAAAAAGAACGTACAACACCAGGCATTCGCTGGTCGTCACCGACCCAACTACTACTCCGGCGATCAGCAGCTTATCTATGGGAGAGCGGACGGGATCCCGAGTTCTCTACTGTCTATGGTCGTACGTGACAGATGATCCAGTCGAATCACTTTATAGTGCCTGTGTCTGTGAAATACTCCATGGTCAAGACTGCTGCGATCCATACATCATGTTGTGAATGCCCTCATTGACAAGTGAAATTCTCTCCCATGAAACGCTGGGAACTCATAAAATCAAGGCTCGATTCTCATATCCGGGATATCATCAATACAAGTGCATCCGTCCCACCTTCATTCGGTCGTCGTGTCGTCCCAGGGGGTATCCTCCTCAACGCCTCATATGTCATCGTGTGCTCGGGGAAACATCCCGTCAACCCATCAGCGAAGATATCCCATCTCTTGCCAAAACCGTGTGACCTCGGCAGCCCGCCGACCCGTAAAAAGCAGCCTCCTTTTCCAGTCGTAGTAAAAGCCCATACCCGTGACGAGGCTCATTCATCCCCATCCCCCTCCCGGTCCTCGACCAAGATCACCACCGTCAGCGTAGCAGCGTACGCCTCGCGGATCGCACACGCAGCACTGTACAAAAAAAAAAACCATTAGCGTCCAGGGCTCAACCTCTCACCCCCTCTCCCAGATCTCCGAGCCATCAGGGGGTGTTCTGTTCAAGACAAAATTTCACAGAAGAGGAAGCAGAAAGAAAAAGAAAAAAACTCACCAGGTCCGCCCAACATCCGCCACGACCGCACTCAGCCCCCAGTGCGCACACCACGCCCGCGCCAGCACCTCGTTGTCGGGGACCCCAAACGCCTCGACGACGAGCACCTTCTCGTCGTCCCCGCCCTTGCTGACGACGGGCGGCGGCCGGCTACTCCCACGGCGCGCTGCCGGCGGCGGCGACAGCCGATCCGCGCTACTGCCGCTGCCGCCGCTACTGCCGTTGTTGCTCGCCAGCGCGCCCGGCACCCCCCACTCCCGCACGTCGACGACCTCGTCCGCCCGCACGGTGGCGTACGTGTAGTCGAAGAACAAGGGGTGCGGCCCCGCGCGGCACGGCCAGGCGCACACAAACTCGACGTCGTACGCGAGCCGCAGCGGCCAGCTGACCCCGTCGATGGCGAACTGCACCGACGCGTCGCACCACGCGGGGCCCGGCTCCGACGCCCTGTCCGGCGCGGGCCGCAGGGACAGCATCTCGATGCGCACCGTGTCGACGGGGTCCTCGTGGCGGCGGCGGTGGTGGCGGTGGCGGTCGCCGGCGGCAGCCAGGTCGTCGTCGGCGACGAGCGCGTACTCCTTCACGGGGAAGACCTGCGTCGGCGGGCCGAGGGGGTCCGACCGCTCGGCCATCGACTTGACGTCCTCGGCCGACATGGCCGACTGCCGCGGCCGGCGGGAGCGGATGCGCGCGATCTGCGAGCGGGACAGGTCGACCGTCGGCCGCGCGGGCCCCACCCAGCCCCCGACCTCGCGGCACGTCGGCGCGAGGACCTTGCCGACGACCGACGCCGACGTCCAGTACGTGTAGCTGTTGCGGTGCTGGAACCCGCAGTGCGGGTGCAGGTGCGTCAGCAGCGCGAGGTCGTCGGTCGCGGGGTCCGGGTCGACGTCGATGAGCGAGTTCATCATGACGAAGGGGAACGTGGGGCCCGGCATGACGAGCCCGCTGAAGAAGGCCATGGCGTGCGAGCTGATGGCGTCGAGGCTCGAGTCCGCGTCGCGCTGCTTGAGCGCCGCGACCGTGGCCGCGAGGTTGGGCCACTTCATGATCTGCGCGAAGCGCTTGAGCATCTTGACCTGCCTCCGCCGGAGCTTGAGGCGGAGGCGGACCTGGTCGGCCGTCTTGCCAAAGGCCTCGACGCGCACAAAGTCGCGCCACCTGCGCGAGAGGGCCAGCCCCCACTGTATGGTGGGCGGCAGCGCCTGCAGCAGCTTCTCCTTGGCCCAGTCGCCGTGCTGCTTCGAGTTGATGCGCAGGTCCAGCTCGAGCGTCAGCAGCAGCTGGTGGAAGAACTTGACATACTGTTGGTGGTTCGTATGGCCCGTGTCAAAGATGAAGCGCGTGACGATCTGGTTGCGCGGGTTGGTAAAATCGATCCAGTCTGGCCGCGACAGCACCATGATCAAGTCCGTGATCTGCTTGTCTAGTGTCTTGTGCGGGTTGAGGAACTTGTCCGGGTCCTTGAGAAGCTTGCGGTACAGGTTCCTGTACATCAGCTCCTCATCATCGTCCTCGAGTCCTCTCTCGAGATCCTTCAGCCTCTGGAAGATCTGCGCCAAGTCTACCTCCCTCGGCGCAACGCCCGAATCTCGCAGCGCGATCGATGGGGGCACCACACTCCCCATGGCCGCCCATCGATTCAGCGTCACGGTTCCCGGGCGATCCCCAAACCAGAAAGCATAACTCGGCTGCTCGAGCGTCTCCCACGGGTGCTCCGGTCGGTGGCCTTTACCCGATGCGCCACCGAGCTTAAGGGTCATAAGCTGGGTCATGGCTTCGTGAGAATCAGCCGCGTCCGTGGCTTCGCCTTCCTCGTCTCCATCATCTCGTCGATGCCCGGGACCGGCCGTCTTTGCGAAAAGTGCGTAATAGTGGTCCGAGGCATGCGGGATAGGCCGTTTGTGACCGCGGTGCACGGGCACGCCGCGCGAGATGAGCTCCATGGCCTGGCCGAGGGTGAGCTCCTCGTCGCTGTTGATGCCCAAGGGCGGCCACTCGGTCAGCGGAACGTGTTGTTCGTAGGACCGGCTGTGACCGTTGGCTGTGTCGAGGCCCTTGCCTTTGACCGTCTCCGACTTGGGTCGCCGGGGCCGGCGCCTGGAGCTGGTAACCTCTGCAGGCGGCGAGGATGTCCGCCTGCGATCCCTCCTAGATGGTGATCCATTGCTGCCTCCGTTTACCCTCCCAGGCCTGTCTCTGCCCTATTGTGCGTGTCAGTATGAGTATGGCGATTTTTATCGGAGCAAGCGCATATAAGAATAGCCTACTGATTTCGTGAGCTTCCGGCTCAGGGTTCCACCCCGAAATAACCCCCAGAAGCCCGTCTTCTCTTTCTCTTTCTCTTCGCTCATTATTGCGGTGGTATCGTTTTCATTGAATGTCATAAAATCATATCCTGTCGTACTCCCTCTGTGTTGTTGGCCCCCCGAAACTCGGAGGAACAGGCCAGCTCGGCGCACAGGGATAAATGATAAGGGTTGAAAGCGCTGCAGGCGGCTAGGCAGGCGAGAAAGAAAATAAATCTGGTCAACGCGACTTGACGCGAACCCTGAAATGCGATATGCCGTTATTCTGCTCCTGCATAACTAGATGCGACGTTTTGGTCCGGAGTCTGGCGGGAGTGGTGTGGCAGCGGCGATCCATGGATGGCTGAGTGCCGGCGTCCGCGTCATGAGGTGTCGGGCAGCACCGCCAGCGCTCATGAGCTGACGTAGCTGTAGCTGGGGCTGGAGAAATGCAAGGAGGCGATACAATAGGTTATAGTAGGAAAATGGGCTGCCTCTCAGAGTTTTGGCAATATGCAGTGTCTTTTCTTCTGCAGCGCCCTACCTAAGGGAGGGTTGGTATGCTTTAGGGTAAGGGGGAGAAAACTCAAGGGCGAAGTTGGAGGAGTTGCTGAGTTGCTGAGTTGCCGAGGATTGATATTTTCGGTGGTGCGTGATCGCAAGCAAGCGGTCTGCGCGGCAACGTGAGAATGAGCAAGTGTGAATCTGATTGAGGTTGGAAGCCGAGCAAATGAATAACGAACACTGCAGCAATCTGCAGGTGGCCACATGCCCAAAGCCCGCCACCACTTCAAACTCCAAGGAGCCACCACGCTGCGTTCTGCCATTGACGATTGCCAGCTCCCATCTCCCAAGTGCAAGAAGTGGTGGTGCATGCAGCCCTGACACACATGCAAAGGCCACATGAGACATGTCACACTGAAACAAATCCTTGATTGACAGCAGCCACTCACCCCATGCCGGGGGAGCTGTCCGAGGCTTCCTTTAGGCATGAATAGAACCCCGAGTAATCGATTGGCTACCTGGTCCAGACACCTATAAATCGAGAATTAAGCCATCCAGATTCATTGTAAGCACTTTGTCTTTAAGAAATGCACCTTCGGCCCATTCTGGTAGACTCGACATCATGAACAGTACTGGGTACAAACTGCAGATTCAATTCTTTTATGTTTCTTTTGTTAATTTTCCTCGCCATGCTATGCCTGGTTCTTCACAATCCTACCCCACGAAAGCAGGTGAACAACAATTTACAAAAGCCTCCTGTAGCGCACTCGGAAGGCATAGCCGTGTAATCCAATGCAGTCTAGATATTCACACCACCTGACACATGAACAAGCCAAAAGGGTAGACTCTGGCCCTTGACAGACAGAGTCTCGATGACCCTTAAGCTTCATCCGCTTCCCTCGTAGTTTTACAGTTCGTCGACAAAAGGCAGTGCCGAGGTCTCGTTGAACCCAGCTCCCTTGTTGGCCTCGTCCCACTTCTCAAACGCCGATTTGTACTGTATCATCAAGACGTTAGCAAAGAGGTTCGCCTCATCGTGGACAGTCTGCTACCCAGCGAGTATGTACTTACAGCAAAGACAAAGTTCAGAATCAGGGCCACCATCAACGCCACGCTGATCACCAGCGGGCCAAACATGTTGTCAAAGTCCTTGCCGCTGCGGCCGACGATCATCTGCCTCCTAGTCTGCATCATGTAGTAGCCCCAGAGACCGGCAAAGACGGCAATCACAATGTAGGCGATGCCCATCATCTCGGCCAGGAAGTTCTCGCCCGCCGCCGTGTAGAGCGCGACGGCCAGGCCGCCCAGCAGGATGCAGATGTGCTGCCACTTGAGGAACGTGCGCTCGTTCGCCAGCCACACCTTGGGCTCGATCTGCAGCGGGCCAGTGTTCTTGATCCATTCCGTCGGCTCTTCGACGCCCTCCGGCAGCGGCTGGCTCTGGGCGCGCTTCCACTTGGAGTACCTCGTGAGAGAGAAGGAGGGCAACACTGACGAGGTTGCGCCGTAGTTCTGGGAAGACTCTTCTGCCACCGTCGTCTCGTCGTCGACGGCCTGGGAATACCTCCTCACGCTTTCCGGTGTAGGCTTGGCGGCGTCTTCGGCGGCGCGCTCTGCGAGGTACGACTTGGCGATGGGCGAGCTCTTGGACGGTTTGAATGACCCGGCCTTGGCCAACAAGCTACTCACACCCACAGCCAATTCATCAGTAGCCCTCTGGGATCTCCTCTTCTCTTCCTCTTCAAAGGCAACCTGAGGGTCTTTACGGATATCCGTTTCCAGGTCGCTGAGCCAGAAAGGCAGCCGGTTGACATAGTCATCGAAGAGCACGGCAACGCCGTGCACAAATTTGGAGAAGAGAGGGCTCGGGTGCAGAAGATGAGATGCCATGAGGTCCTCGATCCAGGCCGCTCGCCTCTTGTTGCTGCCGTCCTTCAGCTTGATCTCCAAGACGGCGAAGGGGAACCTCGAGATGTCGCCGGACGCGAGGTCCTTGAAGGGATAGGTCAGGTTCCTATTATCAATATCCCTGCGGTGCCACTCGGACGGTTCACGGCAGGGACGTCGCTCGTCCAGGGTGTCCTCGCGGATGAAGGCCAAGTCAGTGTCAATGGAGATGCGAACTCGGTCGTCATTGGGCTTCTGGAACGCGCTCCGAACGTAGTTGGCGCGAAGAACGGGGTCGAGTTTCTTGTCCTGGACGAAGCTCTGGATGGCGTCCACCGTAGTCTTAAATTCGTCAACTTCCTTGGTCGTCTCGCCCTGCCTCTCCATCTTGGAGACGGTCTTCTCCATCCTGTATTCGCCATCCAGGAATTGCTTGACGTATTTCTCCTTGATGTCAAACTTGAGCTCCTCGCTCACGCCATTATCCTGGACGATCTTTCGCTCGATGTGGATGTCGGGCTTGTTAGAGAGCTGCCCGTACCATCGGAGGCGGACAGATGACCTTATTCCGGTACGTTCCACCTTATTGGTGTACAACTCGAAGTTGGAGTTATCAAAATACAACGAGGTCAGGGTAGGGTCCGTGCTAGCATCGGGCTCCTTGGCTGACGAGTCGCTGTAGACGAGGGCAGGTAGATGTCTAAGAATCATGGTCTTGACCTCTAGCAAGTTATCGGGATGGATCCAGACTGTGCAATACATTGCATTAGCATGACACGATTCATCGTCGAGTGAGCTGAGGCGGTGTCGTCAAGACTTACATTTGTAGGCAGTATACCTCTCGCCGTTGTGGGTTTCGGGCTGGCTGCCGAGGTCGACGGGGAGTGTCTCCTCGTCGTCGAGGTACTGGTGGATAGCCTCGTACATGACCGACAGCTTGCTCAGGAGCGGGGCGTAGCCCTTCTCCGAGTTGAAGGGCCGCCTGGCCAGGCTCACCTGCATCATGGGGCGGATCCGGTAGTGGCTGCCGCGCTTCCGGTCGTGCTTCTTAGCAATCTTGAGGAAGCCGGTGTAGTTGAGGTTGCTGTACTTCTTCAGCTCGCGAACCTCGTCCACGATCTGGTCGAGCTCCTTCTCGATATCCTTGAGGCGCTGGACGGTGATCTCGCTCTTCTCCTTGCCCTTGCCTGCGGCGGTGCTGCTACTGGCGGCGGCCTGGTCGGGCTGCGCGCCCTCATCGGGGGATGGGGTCAGCTCGCGCAGGCGCTCAAAGTTGGTATCGACCCGTTCTCGGAGGCTGCGGACGGTGTCCTCCTGGAACATGGCGACCTTTTCGAGCTGGGCGTTGAACAGCTCATCACAGAAGCGGTTCTCGTCCTCCTCGGTCCAGTCCGAGTCATCTTCATCGGCCTTGTCGTCACGAAGCAGCTGCTTGAGCTTGGCGTAGTCAATATACTTGTCCTTCCACGGCTGATACGTGGAGGTACGCAAAGTCTTGCCGAAGCGCATGATGGGCAGCGGGCGCTCAGCAGTGCTGGCAGTCCGTACCACGGGGGCCCGACAAGTGATGCTCGCGACAGGTACTGTGTGTTGGTCGAACTTCCTCAATTGCAATTGGCAGTGCCTACAGCGATTGAAGCAGAGGATCGACGTCACAAGCAACAGCAGGCCCTGCGCCGATGGAGGCAAGACCAAGAATCAAGGTATGGATGACGAGGGAGGTGCGAATTGAAACAGAGAAAAGATAAGAAAAGAACAAGACAGGAACAGAGGTCAAGCCACAGGTTTGAGTTGTTAGTAGCATGCCCATCTATCGTGAGCTGGAGGGTACATGAACCAGCGGCTAGTGAGGCAGACCTGGCGTTCTGCCGGCAGGCTAGCACATGCGTGGAGCTCGAAGAGGGCCCCAATCGCCCGCTAGCAGAAAAGAAAACCCCCACCTACACCTTTTGGCGCACTTGGGAGCCATTGGCCTATCACAGCCTTGTATTTGAAGCACGTGTGCTGTTGCTGCTCGAGAACTGTCAAAGAACGAGACAAGGGTCCCTCCCATTTGACCTGACATCCAGAAACCACGCGTTCCATTCAGTTATAATAACCTTACCCAGCGTGGCAGCGGATCGCGACGATGAGGCTAATAAGGATTTTCGGCCCATCGACGTCGGTACGGAGCATGTAACTAGATACCTACCAGATCTTAGGTACTACGGTCCAGGAATCTGAACACACAGTGGAGGGCTGAAACTCTAATGACGGCCAACCACAACGTCATGTGCCACCTGAGGAAACTCTGGACAAGTAGGGAGCCAGCTCTTTGCTTTTAAACGGTCGAGCAGAACCGGGAGAGAAAGAAGAAGGAAGGGAAAGCACGAGATATAGAAGAGGGAAGCAAGATGTCCCTATCGGCAGTCAAAGACCAGAGCATGACAACTCCTCGTGGCGATCACTAGAAGCCTGGACATATCAAACTCAGCAGTCGACTTCCAAGAACTTGTATGTCTTATATTGGATGAGAGTCTGTCTGCCTTGGCCCATCTCAAGCAGCTGATCCAAGGCCACCATGTCTCTGTCGAGCGCCCTTCGTCCATAGCAATCACAAGGTACAAAGTCACGAATATAAAAGCCCACATGCAAGATAGTATGCTATCCACCTAGGTATGTCTTATTTTCAAGCAAAGGCTGAAGAATACATACACGATTCGGAAACAATTCTTTTTTTTTCAAGATGACCGCGAAAATAAAAATGCACGCAGAATCGCGAAACAAGATCCGGAACCATGCAGCGTAAAAAGGACAGGACATACAAAACTGATCAAAACACACAAGGACATGGTTGCTATCTCTCTTGCTTGCTCTCTTCCCTTTCTCCGGTCTCGAAAAGCGCGCCAACTCCCAAAGACGAGGAATCTGTGCCCGGTGACAAGTGGTATCAAGCGCAAAAAAAGATGGGATACGATGGGGAAAATGCGATGAAAGGAAAAAGAAAACAAGCCTGCCTCCCTATATCTGCGCCCTGACGTGTCTAGTCATTTTCTCATTCTCCTATTTCATTCCTTTAAGCAGTCCACCCTTCTCAAGCAGCAATGACGCTGAAGATCTCCTGGGCGGTGCGCTTGACGATACCGCCGGTGACAGGCAGGCTGGTGCAGTGCTCCAGGAACAGATCGACCTCGCGGGCAGCCTGGCGACCCTCATTGATGCCCCTGTGATATCACGTATTAGTAAATCTTGAGTCCAAAAGAGAAAGCCGGTGAGGCAAGTGAAAAGGAAAACTTACCAAACAATCAGCGACTGTCCGCGGCGGCAGTCGCCGGCGGCAAAGATGCCAGGGACGTTGGTGCAGTACTGCCCGGGCGGGGTCTTGACGTTCTTGCGCCCGTCCTTCTCGATCTCGTCGCCGAGCACGCGCGCCTCGGGCCCGAGGAAGCCCATGGACAGCAGGACGAGGTCGGCGGGGAAGAACTGCTGCGAGCCCTCGACCTTCTTCATGTCCCAGCCGCCCGAGGCCGACTTGGTCCACTCGACGCGCACCGTGCTGATCCCTTTGACCCTGCCGGCGCCGTCGTCGACAAACTCCTCCGACATGATGCAGTACTCGCGCGGGTCCTTGCCCATGTGCTGCCGGACCTCGGTGTGGCCGTAGTCGACGCGGTAGACGCGCGGCCACTGCGGCCAGGGGTTGTCGCGCGCGCGCTCCTGCGGCGGCTGCGGCAGCAGCTCAAAGTTGATGACCGACTTGGCGCCGTGGCGCACCGACGTGCCGATGCAGTCGTTGCCCGTGTCGCCGCCGCCGATGACGACGACGTGCTTGTCCTTGGCCGAGAGGTAGGCCCCGTCGGCGAGCTCCGAGTCGAGCAGCGACTTGGTGTTCTTGTGCAGGAACTCCATGGCGAAGTGGATGCCCTCGAGGTTGCGGTTCTTGATGGGCAGGTCGCGCGCGACCGTGGCGCCCGTGGCGATGATGACGGCGTCGTGCTGCGCCTTGAGCTCCATGAGCGTCACGTCGTCGCCGACGCTGACGCCCGTCTTGAACTGCACGCCCTCGGCGGCCATGAAGTCGGTGCGCCGCTTGACGATGCGCTTGTCCAGCTTCATGTTGGGGATGCCGTACATCAGCAGGCCGCCGAGGCGGTCGGCACGCTCGTAGACGGTGACGAGGTGGCCGGCGCGGTTGAGCTGGTCGGCGGCGGCCAGGCCGGCGGGGCCGGAACCGATGATGGCAACCTGCTTGCCGGTGCGGACCTTGGGAGGGTTCGGCACCATCCAGCCCATCTCGAAGCCGCGGTCGATGATGGCGCACTCGATCGACTTGATGCCGACGGGGTCCTCGTTGATGCCCAGAACGCAGGCACCCTCGCAGGGGGCAGGGCAGACGCGGCCTGTGAACTCGGGGAAGTTGTTGGTCATGAGCAGCCGGTTCAGGGCGTCCTTCCACTGGTTCTGGAAGACGAGCTCGTTCCACTTGGGGATGATGTTGGAGATGGGGCAGCCGGTCTCGGACTGGCAGAAGGGGACACCGCAGTCCATGCAGCGCGCCGACTGGTACTTGAGCTCGTCCTCATCCAGGCGGCTGGACAGCTCAGCCCAGTCCTTGGTGCGGGTCTTGGCGTTGCGGTACTTCTCCGCACGGCGCTGGTACTTCATGAAGCCCTTGGTCTTGTCCAGGACGAGCGCCTTCTTCTTGTCTCGAGCAACGTCGCCGACAGAGTCCTCCAGATCCTGGAGCTTGGCGGCCTTCTCCTTCTCCTTCTTGGCCTGGACGCCGGAGACGATGGGAAGGTTGTACTCGGCACGCTTGGCCTCGGCGGCCTTGGCAGCCTCCTCCTGAAGCACGCGCTTGTAGTCGACAGGAAGAACCTTGACGAAGCGGGGGAGGGCACGGTTGAAGTCCACAAGGATGCGGGCCGCGAGTTCGGAGCCGGTGTAGTGGTGGTGATCCTCGATCAAGCCACGCAGGAAAGCAATCTCCTCGGGCTCCTCGACGCCAGAGGCCTCGACCATCTCCATGTTGAGCTTGGACATGAAGTCCTGATGGATGTCGAGAACGTAGGCGATACCTCCAGACATACCGGCAGCGAAGTTGCGTCCAGTGCTGCCCAGGATGACGACGCGACCGCCAGTCATGTACTCGCAACCGTGGTCACCGACACCCTCGACGACGGCCGTCGCACCGGAGTTGCGCACGGCGAATCGCTCGGCGGCGACACCGCGGAAGAAGCAGGTACCGTTGGTGGCACCGTACAAGCAGACGTTGCCGACCAGGATGTTCTCCTCGGCCTTGAAGACAGCAGCCCGGGGCGGGTAGACGATCAGGCGACCGCCTGACAGACCCTTGCCGACGTAATCGTTCGCGTCACCCTCCAGCTCGAGGGTGACACCGGGCGCCAGGAAGGCACCGAAGGACTGACCTGCGGAACCCTTGATGTTGACATGGACGGTATCCATGGGCAGACCGGCCTCGCCGTAGCGCTTGGAGATCTGGTACGAGAGGGAGGTACCCATGGCTCGGTCGGTGTTGACAATGTCGCACTCGATGCGCGAGGGAAGACCCTTGTCCAGCGTCAACTCGGCCTCGGAGATCAGCTTGTTGTCGAGGCGGACGTAGAGGCGGTGGTCCTGCTTGCGGACGTTGAAGGTCGCGACGCCGGGGCGGAGCTTGTGGGCCGGGGTCAGGATCAGAGACAGATCGATGTTCTGCGTCTTGTTCGTGCGGAGCTCCTCGTTGATCTTGAGCACCTCGACGTGGCCAACCATCTCGTTGATGGTGCGGAAACCAAGCCTGGCCATGATGGCACGGAGCTCGTTGGCGATGTAGTAGAAGAAGTTGATGACGTGCTCAGGGGTGCCCTGGAACTTCTTCCGCAGCTCGGGGTCCTGGGTGGCAATGCCGACAGGGCAAGTGTTCAAGTGGCACTTGCGCATCATGATGCAGCCCATGGCAATCAGGGGGGTCGTGGCGAAGCCCCACTCCTCGGCGCCGAGCAGACAGGCGATGGCGACATCACGGCCGGTACGGAGCTGACCGTCGGTCTGCACAACGACACGACCACGGAGGTCGTTGAGGACCAGAGTCTGGTGGGTCTCGGCCAGACCCAGCTCCCAGGGGAGACCGGCGTACTTGATACCGGTCCAGCGGGAGGCACCGGTACCGCCATCGTGACCGGAGATCAGGATGTGGTCGGCCTTGGCCTTGGCGACGCCGGAAGCGACGATACCGACACCAGTCTCGGAGACAAGCTTGACGGAGACGCGGGAGCGGGGGCTGGAGCACTTTAGGTCGTAGATCAGCTGCTTGAGATCCTCAATGGAGTAAATATCGTGGTGAGGAGGAGGCGAGATCAGACCGACACCAGGGGTGGAGTGGCGGGTGCGCGCAATGGACTGCGACACCTTGTGACCGGGCAGCTCGCCGCCCTCACCGGGCTTGGCACCCTGGGCCATCTTGATCTGGAGCTCGTCCGAGTCGGCGAGGTAGGCCGAGGTGACACCGAAGCGGCCAGAGGCGACCTGCTTGATGGCGGAGCGCATGGTGTCGCCGTTGGGCAGCCTCTGGGATCGCTCCGGGTCCTCACCACCCTCGCCGGTGTTGGACTTGCCGCCGAGACGGTTCATGGCAACGGCAAGAGTCGAGTGAGACTCCATGGAGATGGATCCGTAGGACATGGCGCCCGTGCAGAAGCGGCGGACAATCTCGGTCCAGGGCTCGACCTGGTCGATGGGCACGGGAGTGCGGTCCTCGAACTTGAAGTCGAGCATGCCACGGAGGGTGCAAGCCTTGATCTGCTCGTACTCGGAGCGGGAGTAGGCCTCGTAGGACTTGTCATTCTTAGTGCGGACAGCATCCTGGATGTTGGCAATGGATGCGGGATCGTTGATGTGGGCTTCGCCACCGTCTCGCCAGTGGTACTCGCCAGACTCGGTCAGGCCGGGGATGGAGACCGTGCTGCGGGAGGGGAAACCCTTCTCGTGGAAGCGGAAAGCATCCTCGGCGATGGCCTCGAAGGTCACGCCCTTGATACGAGAAGCAGTGCCCTTGAAGCAGCGCTCGACCACAGTGTCGTCGACACCCAGAGCCTCGAAGATCTGAGCACCCTTGTAACTGGCCAGGGTCGAGATACCCATCTTGCTCATGACCTTGAGAATGCCTCCGTCGCACGAGTGCTTGTAGTTGCGGATGAGCACGTCGTCAGTGAGCTTCTTCTTGATGAGCTTCTCGCGGTTGAGCTTGAGGATGCACTCCATAGCAAGGTAGGGGTTGATGGCATCAGCTCCGTAGCCGAGGAGGACACACATGTGGTGGACCTCACGAGCCTCAGCAGTCTCGAGGACAATAGCAGCCATGGCTCGCCACTTGTTGTTAACCAAGTGGTGGTGGACCATACCGGAAGCAAGCAGAGCCGAGACAGGAACACGGTCAGCAGAGGTCTTGCGGTCAGACAGAACGATAATGCGGTCCCGCGCCTCGATAGCGGCCGTGGTCTCGTTGCAGATGTAATCGAGGTGCTTGATGTAGCCCTGAATGCCATCCTTCTTGGGGAAGGTAAGGTCAATGGTCTTGACAGTCCACTCGGGGTGGAGCTTCGACATGTTCTTCAGAGCATTGAACTCGGGGATGGAGAGGATGGGGCTCGGGAGGAGCAGGCGACCACACTGCGTGGAGTCCATCTCGAGCAGGTTGCCCTGAGGACCGACGTAGCACTCGAGCGACATGACGATGGATTCACGGATAGGATCAATGGGAGGGTTGGTGACCTGGGCGAAGAGCTGACGGAAATACTCGTAGAGTAGGCGCGGCGCCTGGGCGAGACAGGCCAGAGGTGCATCGTTACCCATGGAGCCAAGAGCCTCCTTCTCATCGGAGGCCATGGGTGCCAGGAGAAGACCGACTTGTTCAAAGGTGTAGCCGAAAGCGTGCAGCATGGGATCCTCTTGCAGCGCGACGGTATCCGGCTTCGCCTCCAAGCTCAACTCTGCGTCGTTGGAGAGAGTGTCGAGGACCTTGGGCATCGTGATAAGTTCGTTGTCAAGCCATGACCGGAAGTCCTGACGGCTGGAGACAGCCTCCTTGAGCTCGGAGTCATCAATGATGCGACCAGCCTTGGTGTCGACCAGCAACATGCGACCAGGCTGAAGACGGCCCTTCTGGATGACACGCTCGGGCTCAACAGGAATAGTGCCGACCTCGGAGGCACAAATGATGCGGTCATCATCCATGACGTAGAATCGGCAAGGTCTCAGACCGTTCCGGTCCAGGTTGGCACCGCAGAAACGGCCATCGGCGAAAGTGAACAGGGCGGGGCCATCCCAGGGTTCCATCTGGCACGCAGCCCACTCGTAGAAGGCAGCCTTCTTGGGGTCCATGAGCGTGTTTCCTTGCCATGCCTCGGGAACCATGAGCATGACAGCCTCGGGCAGCGAGAGCACTCCGTTGATGGAGAGCAGTTCGAGAACGTTGTCAAAGGCGGCAGAGTCGGAACCACCATCCTCGACAATGGGGTAGAGCTGCTCAAGCTCATCGCCAAAGAGGTTGGACGACATGACACCTTCACGGGCACGCATCCAGTTCTTGTTTCCACGCAGGGTGTTGATCTCACCGTTGTGGGCAGCCCAGCGAAGGGGCTGGGCACGGTCCCAAGACGGGAAGGTGTTGGTGGAGAAACGAGAGTGGACGAGGGCAAAGTGAGCCTCGTAGTCGGCGTTGACCAGATCATGGTAGTACTGGTAGACCTGGATGGGAGCAAGCTGACCCTTGTACACAATGTTCTTGTTGGAAAGGGAGCAGAGGTAGAACCAGTTCTGCAGGCCAATAGTGTGCGTGGCGCGCTTGCGCAGAACGTAGAGCTGCCTCTCGAAAAGTCTCTCGTCGAACTTCTCCGGGTCGGTCATCTCCGGGGCGTTGCCGGGGCCGTACGCGGAAGCGAGGACGACAAAGGGCTGCATGATGATGGGCTCGCGAGAAGAAGCGGCAGGACCAAGGAGGGTGGAGTCTACGGGAGGCTCTCGCCATCCCAAAACGCGCAGGCCCAGCGATTCGGCAATGTCTTCCAACTGCCTCTTGGACTCCTGGAGTGTCTCGGGATCAGGCTTGAAGAACAAGTTTCCCACAGCGTACTGGCCCAGAGGGGGCAGCTTGATCCCCTCCTCCCGCTCAAAGTTCTTGATGAAGAACTTGTGGGGGATGGAGGTCATGACACCGGCTCCATCACCGTCTCGTGCATCTGAACCCACAGCACCGCGATGGGTCATGTTGCACAGAAGGTTGCGAGCTAACAAGGAACAAAATCAGCAACTCGAAGGACAGAGAGTCTCAAGGGCGAGATGAGCTTACCATCGCTAACAATCTTGTGGCTAGGCTTGCCCTTGATGTGGCTATGGGCGGTATTAGAAAGGCTGTCTGGATTTCCAGGAGTGTCGGAGACGGTGATCTTACCAAGCAAAGCCTACACCACAAGCATCTTTCTCCAAAGAAGGATCATAAAGACCCCTAACAACACATGTCAGCGGCAAAGCGGATTCGAACGGGAAGCCCAGGAGACGTACTGCTTCACCGGCAAGGCTCCAGCCCAGGAGCCATTGTTCTCCGTCTGGTACTCATAAGGATGATACTCCTCAGATTCAGCCTCGATGTGTGTTTGTCGGTCGTCGAAGTCCACAGCCAGGCCCATGCTAGGCGACTGTTGAGTGCGATAGACAGAGAGAGGTTGGGAAAATGGGAGGGAATCGACGAGGAGTGTCGACGTCGGCTTAGAGGAGGGAGGAGCAGCGGTGCTGCTCTAGCCACAGCGTTACTAGAGAGAGGAGCAGTTTAGTAAGTGTCAAGTACGAAGGCAATGATTTTGTGGTTCGCAGTTGATGTATTCAAGACTCCGATGGCGCGGGTTCAAGATCCGGATACGTTTCATATGAATGTCGTCTCGTGCAGGCCAGTCTTCCGACTGTCGTGAGTTTATTAAAGTACCTCGGGGGGGCGAGACATTGCGTTGCGAGAAGGAAAGGAGACGGATGAGAAGGTTTGCAGGAAATCGAGATTTGTTCTCGATGGATCCCTCCTCCCGCCCACAATCCAGACCTTTTGTTCTCGCAAACCTGATAGCACACAACTCAGGTCCTCATTGCAGACCAAGATGTATCCCACAAACTCCGGAAAGTGAGGGTTTGCACTGTTCACTACCACCAATCACCCAACAGCCCTTTTCTCCCAAAGAACCAGCACGCTATGCTCGGCAAACTGCCCCACCATCGGCCGGACACATAGATGATGAGACATGCGATCATATCTATGCACAGCTCATTGGCAGCAGCGCCTGCTCGAGCAACGCGTCCATCAGCAGTAAAATGGCCGGATGAACTCTCGTTGGCGATTTTGGTGGGGAAGGCATCCGCATCTGGCCCGAGGTCCACTCTGGTATCTTTTTTTTTTCGGGCGGGTGCTTCTTTTGCGTGGGATGCAGACGCAGCGACAGGCCCCGTTCGAGCCAATTAGGGCGGGCCTAATGCATGTGCAAATGCGGCTTTGGGAAAGGGCGCTGATAGGGCGATAAAATGGCATATGTGTGTCCATTTCGAGCCAGAACCAGTCGAGAATGCTTGATTCTGGCTGCCGACGTAATCTGGCATGCCCCGGTTCGAGTGGGATTATTTTGAGTGGCAGCTGCAGTTCTGCGCCCACGGTCCAGGCCGCGCACAGTCCAAGGCTTGCCATCTCTCTCGGTCGCATGTGTGACGGCTTTTGGTTTGAATCATGGCATGCGCCAATTGAGAGGCCGGGGGATTTCGCGGTGGTCTTTGGAGGCAATTGCCCGTCCCCGAGGCGCTTCCAATTCGGGGCTTGTGTGTGTACGACTCGCAACACTCAAGGCAGCCATTTTGGTGGAGTGGCAGTATGAGACGACCCATGGGTCTCCATGGGTCTCGTCTCGTCAGCGCCCCGGAGTTGCGCTTCAAACCCCAGTCGGGAGTCGACGGTGCCTTTCGCAACGGCGATATTTGGGCAAATTGCCCTCATGGCTCGAGTTGATCGTGATCGTCTCCTCCGGAATCTCTTCCGGAGATTCCAGGCGTCCCGTCGGAGTCTTGATACATCATGTTTGGACCGGGCGGTGGTGGGGAGGGCGAGGACACGGCGGGCATACAACTTACCAGTAGAGTCTATCCGCAGTCTTCACAGAAGGATATAGGCAATGTATTGTTCAAAAAGCACCAGGGTCCGAGGGGGCCTGCTAAGCTATGAATCGTGAGAGCGAAGCAGAGATTGTGCAAGAGGGAGGAAGAGAGGAAAGGAGGGGGGAGAGGAAGGAGGGTGTGGCGATGTAGGTATTTATGATGGATTTCACTGTGCAAACCAGCGGCCAAGGCTACGGGGGGCATGGATTGGCAGCGGGAGGAGGAGGAGGAGGAGGAGGAGGAGGAGGATCAAGGTCGATTCAGCACCACACAAGAGTTAACCCGCAAGGTTTTGGGACTGGAGAATGTACCCTGGATGGCATTGGAGAGGGACGACCTCGGAGGAGAGGGAAGCAGATGGCTTGGCGGGGCCCTGCTGGATGGCACGACTGCTTTGCCGCTAACGACAGGCGCCAGAGGGAGAAAGAAAAAAAAAGTGACGGAGAGAGAGATAGACGACGGTAACTAGGGCTGCTAGGGACCAGCATGTGGCAGCTAAGAGACGGAGCTAACAGCAAAGTGGGGGGTGGTGGGGAGCCCTGAAAGTTCCAAGGTTTCGCTCTGGCATGGCCTGAAAGCCCACCAGGAAAGCAGGGGCCCCGGAGCGGTGTTTGGCCAGAAACGAACCGGGCGCAGTGCAATGTCAGCCAAGAGATAATCTGGCGTCCATCCATTTTCGGGCGATGAGCAAAGTCGCAGTACGAAAATCAATGACAACTCTTTGATCGCCGTTGATAATCTCACGGCTAATTCGTCCCCTTCCTTGGCACTCTCCCGTGTCTACAGAGCACTTTTACCAGGCAACGAGAAGTGGCGGGCGAGAAAAGAGTCGAGCAGGGGGACCAGCCAGGTCGCTCAAACATCTCGCCATACCGGCCCTCAGGTCAGGCTACATTTCCTCCAAAGAACAGCCCACCATGCTGCGTGCTACTAACCAGCTTGGCTTGAAACGCCGATGTCGACGAGGGCCATCCATCTGCGTCGCTTGGGAAATATGCTCTATGACGAAGGGCTTTTATTTCATTATATTTTTTTCCCTTTTACGTCTTGAGCTAACCAGCCTTCCCACCACCATGGCTGTACCCCAAATTCAGCACACACTAGCATCACATGTCAATTGGATAGGGAGTTGCCCTACGACAACTTATTTTTTTTTTCGTTTCTCGCTGTTCGCCCTCCAGATTTGTCTTTGGTCCACGACTGCTGGGGAAACTCACCCCGCAAGTGTGCCACCACCCCCTCTCAGATCATCATCGCACGAGACGGTGGCATTGCCTCACACATTCATCCGCTTTGGTGTGAGCTGCGTGGTTCACGGGCAAATTGAGGCTCTGGCGTACCCCGCCAGTCGAGTAAAAAAAACAATTACGAGCGTACCAGGTCGTTTCAGCGTGCAAAATAGCCTTGAGTAACGAAAACTCACCCTCCAATACGTTCTGCTCTTCCAGCGACTCATGGATGTACCCCACATGCAGACGCAATTGCGACAAGGTTCACCCATGCGCGGCAGGGATCTGGAGCTCAATCTGCAGGCTAAGGCTACGGGACCCTGGTCTGCCCTTGGGGCTAGACGGAGTGGTGGACGTCAAGCTCGACGCACTTCTGGAGCTCCCTGCCCAATCACAGCCCTGTCTTTTCAATGGGAGAACGGCCGATGTCGCCCACCAAGCACGTTCCTGGTGTGAGTGCTGGAGATCCCCTAGCCGAGGAATGGGCAAAGCTGATGGGACCCTTATCGTATTGCGCCGCGACGCAGCACAGTCCTGAGCGAACGGTGCCTTTGGGGTCCCTTGGGTCCCTCCTCGAGGTACCTACCTACTTGCCCTACATGCGCTGCAAATTAATTCAAATACAGTCTTAGCCTGGATCCGTCTGCATATCATTGCCTCCGCAACCTCGGAGTCATTCACGACGGCCAGCCGGAAGCTTTAAGTCGCAGCGCTACTGGTGCGGGAGACGCTTACCTCTGTAGATTTCCCAGCAACAGCCATCGGTGATCGATCCTGTGAATGGTCCTCGCTCGACACGTTTGGATTCCCCCGCTCTCAGTGGTAGGTTCAGAGGTACCTACCTATGCTCCTCCAGCAGTGAGATGGTCTTTATCCTTGCGGCTCTCAGAGGCCACACCTCCCTGCCCCAGATTCAGTCCAACCACGGAACATACTCCGTGGAAGTACAAGAACCCACTCCGGACTTTGCACTGCTGAAGAACTTCTGGCTGGGCAGGAATTACCTGGACCAACTAGGTAGGAGGACATACCACCTCCCCCCGTGCGATCTGTACGTGCCATGTCGTGCTACAGGATGCAATGCGCCTGTTGCGGAACGGGGCAGGAGGGAGGACGACACATGCATCCGCACAATGCGACGCTAAATTCCGACATCTCGTGTGCTTTGGCAGCATCTGTGGTGGCCCTGGTGGGATACCCTTACCCAAGGCCAATACTTTGTTGCCGTAAAAGAATCGACATCAGAAAATAAAAACAGGCAGCCAATCACGGCTCTAGCCGCAGTCCGCAGTCATCTCTTATCTCAGGCCAACAAGAGGGCGATGCCGCCATTTTAGCTTGGAAACAACCGCAACCCCCCACTGTACAAGTACCTCGCCCGTCCGAAGAGATGAGATCCCCCGCTCGCGCACATATGTACCTACTCACGCACACGCATTATCAGCCATAGTGGTGGCTCGCCTTGGTCTGCGTGGACTGGAGCCGAACTGGGCTTGGTGTGCAGATGGGGATCTCTTGGACTGCTGCGAACGCTCTGTACGAAGCCAGGCTGGTGTGTGCCAGGAGCGAGGTTGCAGGCCCCCTGCTCCGCATGGCATCCCACACGACGTGACCTGCCACCAATGCACACTTGTAACTGTCCTAAATTCTGCTCTGGGGGGATGACGATATGGACAGAGGCGGGGTTCAGGCTGCTGGTCAGTGGTGTTCCCTACAAAAGGCGAAGAGACGGTCAACGTTAAGACACTGAGCACTGGCTGAAACGGCCTGCGTCCGCAGAGGTCTCATCTTACCGCCGTTGTACAACGCTCCTCGAGGAAAATCCCACATACGATCTACATGCCTACTTCGCAAGGCACTCAAACATACATAGCATCACGACTTCCCGGGCTCTTGGCGAGTCTCTGTTGCCGTTCAGCGCCCTGTTTTGCCGAAATCGGCTTTTCCGGCAATGTTGCAACGCTCAGGATGCGGCCAGCGTCCTCCACGGCGGTTGCAGAAGGCACCTTTCCAATATCCAGCGTAGTCGGTGGAGATGCAGGAGGCAAACAGAAGCGTGTGTGTGTAAATTTTATGACCACTCCATAATAAGCATGCGACCAGCAGCAGTGCCAACTCCGTAGTGCTGTTTGGTGTCGCTGGACGGATCCTGGGCTCTCTTGGTTGTCCTCCCGAAAACACCCGAAATTGCCCCTGGTCTAGCGCCGAGCTGGAAAAGTCAGGGAGTCGCACAGTCACACCGCCAGGCCAGGACAGCGTCGCAAATAGAGCGAGCATTGCCCTGCGATCTGCAGTTGCTCACAGCTCCCACCCAATGGATGAAGAGACACAACTTACAGCCCGGTTACTTGGTTGTGAGAGGCTGACAGCCCCATGGACGTCACTTTTCAAGGGTCTTGTTGAATTAACGTTGCAGCCATGCTTTGCTATTACCTCACAGAAACTCTCATTGCCAGTGCCCCTGCCCCGGGTCTCCGCGCCCGGGAGAGCGACTAGGGGAAGGGGGACAAGACCAGACTGGGGACCGCTGGGCCGCTCACTCCACCCAGAAGCCCTCTTGCATCGTGGCGCCCCTCGGCAGCCTGGAGTTGTCAGAGACAAGTTCCCGACGGACCTTGGTCAAACCCGCTGGGGGGGATTCAGCGTCGGAACCAATGGCGGAAGTTGCATTTGTGTACTCTTGCTCCTCCCTTTCTTAAGTCCAGACCGCAAAACCCGAACCGAGCGAGCGGCGGTCGGTCGGTCGGTCGGATGGGGTATTTCATTTTTGCCAGGGTAAGGACAGCCCGTACAGGATTGGATCCAGAAGATCGAACCACAAGTCACAAGTCAACAGAAGAGGGATGACAAAAGGCATACAGGGCCCGGCCCATTGAAGGGAACGAGGAAGTGCTGGCCGATTTGCCGGAGTAGCCCAGGTTAGTACGGCGACTGGTGATCCATTCTGCGTTGCTAAACATCAGAACACCGCCCCCCTCCTCAAGGCCTGCCATTTCAACCCGTCAAAAGAATTATTATTTCATTTTCCACTTCTTGGTGTTTTGTGGCCTGTCTATATTTCAGCATGGAATTCTCCGGCCGGGCCCTGGTTCAGGACCCACGCACAGACCAGGTCTATTCTCGCAGACACGCGCGCTTGCGCTTAAGTGGGGGATCGAAGCGCACCTCTCCATTCTCTTAGGTACCAATGTACACTTTTGTCAACATCGTGACCGCCTTGGCATTATGTGAACGCGTTGCTTTTCCAACATTCTGTGACAATTGCTGCACACCCGGTGCAGTTGTGGCCAGCAAGACGCGTGACGCCTGAATTTCAGGACGAAAGCTGCCCGGCAGCCTTGGATCTCAGGATCATGACCAGACCGAAGACTATACCCTCCTGAGCAAACACCCAATCCGACAAGCACTACCCCGCCAACCAAGATGTTCTCCATGCTCCCAGATTTGACGCCGAGCGATGTGCGTTTTCCCTTCTAGATCCCCAACCTTATTCTCTCAGCCAGGAAGCCGGCTAATTTCCAGATCTCTCTCAACAGTCTCATTCGCTTTGGTACACCTCCTCCCGCTACCCCCTCGCCCAGCCCAACCCGGAGCTCCTCAGCGCGGATGCCGCCGCCGCCGCAGCAGGCGGACCCGCCACCTCCTCCCGCCGCCAGAACCAGGCCCTCCTGGAGCGCACGCCGCTGGCCCGCCTGCGCTACGACGAGGCCCAGCAGGCGCGCCGCAAGCTCAACGTCGCCAACTTTGGCGCCGCGTGGCTGCGGCCCCCCGGCGTGGCCAAGACGCTGTACCAGATGCGCGAGGAGCGCCGGGAGCAGGAGGAGCACGCCGAGGCCATGCGCCGCGAGCAGCTCGCCCAGCAGCTCGCCGAGGCCGAGGCCGAGGCCGGCGGCAACACCACCATGGAGGGCATAGCGCCGCCGCCCGGCGGGATGATGCTGGGTCCGGACGGCGAGCCCATGGACGCCGACGAGATGGCCATGGGCATGGGCGACGAGGAGCGCGACCTCGACGACGAGATCCCCGACGCGGACCTGTCGGGCGGGTTCGGCTACGACGGCGTGGACAGCGACGAGGAAGGGTCCGACTCGTCGTCCGAGGCAGCGGACGACGACGACGACCGCAGCAACAACGCCGGCGACGCGGGCGGTGCAGGCCAGAGGCGGGAGGTGCGGCACGCGCGCGCCAACGAGGACCGCGTGCGCGAGATGATGGCGCGCGGCGAGCACGGCCAGGCCGCCGAGGACGCGTCCGAGATGTACGGCGCCGAGGCGGGGGACCTCGACGACGAGGACGCGGCGCAGATGCTCGAGGAGGACGACCTCGTGCGCCTGCACCCGCGCCGCGGGCTCGAGACGGGCGCCGGCGGGCTAGGCGGGCTCGTCGGCGACGACGACGACGACCACATGGACATGGAGGCCGACCTCGACGACGACATCCCCTCGGCGGCCTCGGGCGGCGGGCTCAGTCTCGGCGGCTACGAGCACACGGATACCGAGGCCGAGCTGAGCAGCAGCGAGGACGGCGGCAATGCCGGCCACCAGGAGTCGAGCTGGGTGGCGGCGACGAGGGCGCCGCAGCGCGGCAACACGGCGCGGTTCCGGGGCAGCCTGACGCGGAGCGATCGGAACAGCCTCGACATCAGCGGGTTCCTGTCCCGGGACGGCAGTAGTGTCATTGGGAGCAGTCCTCAGATGCGGCGGCGGGGTTGAGGTTAGATGGGCCTGGAGGGTGATGTTCCGTCACGGATCGTGTTGGAAGAAGCGTTCAATGTCGCCAAAAAAAACCCTACACCTGTTGGCTTGATTCACTTTCAAGTGAGCCGCGAGTCTCAAACCGGTCGTCCCGCCTCTACCCAGCCCACACACCCGAGCTAAGAGCTAAGAGCTCCTTTCTCTACCTGCTACGATACTAAATGCCGCCGTCATTCACGAATAGATCACTCACTATTAGATAGTCTGGCTGCTTCACAGCCTGGGCTAATTATACCCACACAGAGTCATGTATTACAATGCTATTAACCCACGGGTGGTGGGTGTTTTCTCAAACAGAAAAAAAAAACGAATCGGTGCTCGTTGCGTGAATTATTACAACATGATAATGTCTCGGGACTTTGTGTCGATCGGCCTGCCCCTTTTTTTCCAACCTCGGAGCCCTGATATATGATCCCTTCTTTGTTTCCCCCGGCCTCTTCCGTCTCCGCGCTCTTATCTCGTTGCCCGCAGAGTAAAATACAAGAGTTCGTAGACCGAAATCAGAAGACGCGCCTTGAACACCGGTGTTGCCATGCTCTTCGCAGTGAATCTCTCGTTGTAGTAAAAAAAACCAAAGGATAGGTTATGATGAATTCGTGGTTCGTTGTCGGCGTACTGTGTGTGTTTCGTGCTGGACGGTTAATCCTCCTCCGCCCTCGGCACCCCCATCCATCCATCCATCCATCCATCCATCTTTGCCCCGTTGAGCAAAGTGACACATGAAAAGCAAGCACATCTCTTCTCGTTTGATCCATACTTCCGGGGGCTTAAAAGAGCCACACGTACGTGAAGAGCAGGCAGACGGCGGCGAAGAAGCCGAGCCAGACCTTCCAGCTGACGCCGGTGCGCTCGGCCATGACGAGCATGCGGTTCATGGTGCCGCGCAGGCGCAGGCGCGTCTTGTCGAACTGGTCGTTCATCTTCTCCGCCAGCGCCGAAGACTCCCTGATCTCGTCGCCGATGGCCACCGTCATCTGGTTTTTTTTCATGTCTTCTCGTCAGTCTTCTTCTTCTCTTGTATAGGCATCTCCCGAACGGGCATATCGCGACAATGCGCCGAAAAACACAGGTCCCCCGTCCGCTGGGAGGTCAAAAAAAAAAAGACAAAAAGACTCACGTCCTTGAGCACCCGCACCTTGCCCAGGATGCCCTCCACGTGCTGGTCGTTCTGGCTCTCGAGCTCGTTGAGCACCGCATCGCTGTACTGGCCCCTATACCACGTCGCGCGGCGCGCCGCATCGTCAGCACCTCCAGTTCCCTCTTGACCGCCCCCCTCCCCCGCCCCTTCTCTTCCATTCCTTCCCCTTCCCCCCCACCACCGTCTCCAAGAAGGGAGGACTTGGCTTACTTCCTGTTCGGCGTCGCCGGCCTGTATCCCCCGTTCTGCTGCACGCCCAGGTGGCCCTGCGACGACGACCCGGAGTTCGAGGGAAGGCCGTAGCCGTACCCGCCGAGGGGGCTCGCCGTCGACCGCCGCGAGGCGTCGCTGCCGCCGCCGGTGTAGCCGTCGAAGAGGGCGCTGCGCGAGTCGCGCTGGTGCAGGTGTGAGTTTGGATATCTGCGTCCGTCCGCTTGTGTGTTAGAGAGAAATGTCTGCTCTTGTGTACCCCCCGCGATTGCGATGCGATGCGACAGATTGTATTTTCAGGAGCGTGGGAGGCCGAGGCGCGAAGAGTGCTGGCGGGCGGCGGGCTGTCGGGTGTTGCTTTTCGTCCATCCAACACCCAGACCCAAAGATGTCGTCACTCGTGTGCTTCGGCGCGCCCCAAAAGCCCCTGCTCCAGAAAGGGTCGTATGATGGGGATGGGAAAGGTCTCACTCACCTCGATGCCATGGCGTGTGTGAACGATCTTGTCGAAAAGGGTAGGGGAGGGGAGAAGAGAGAAGAAAAGAGACGTGACGACAAATGTAGACCTGTACCTATCAAAGGGCCATTCTCGTCAGTTCGCGGAACCCCCTTCTTTTTCCAAAGGTGTAAAGGTCGCTGATAACTCAAAGGTGTCCCTATTTTTTCCCTCTAGTTGTTCGTCTCGCGCAGTGCTAATCTGCCTTAATGCCTGTTCCCTCCACTGTAAAAAGGTGTCCAGCGCCTCTGGTTGGTCCGATCTGATGACGCGCGGGCGGCTTTTCAGGCGGGTAATAGGGGGCTCGTCTCCGCTGAAAATCCAAGCCTCGACTCCACTGGTTTCTTGGTTTCCAGGAATCGCAGCTGTTTACAAGCGACGATGGTGGGTTTTAGGTGAGGAGCGTGCTCAAGGGGCATGGATGTAAACAGATCCAGCAAGTCTAGGGATGATGGGTCCGCAGTCAAGCAGTGTTGCCCGTTTGTATGCTGATCAGCATCGTCTCTGAACAACTTCAACATGCAGGCAAAGGTCATGGAAAGCTGCCAGTGTCCTCCTGGTCGGATTATCAAGCATGTCAGCAGTTCAAACTCTGTTTTTTCGGATGCATGTTTTCATTTCTCGTATGTATGTTCCTCTAAGCCCAACCGCAATATCACGAAACCCTCCCATGGCGGCGAACCGATCATGTCTAGGCCCTAGCAGTAATGGCAGGCAAAACAAAAACTTTTACTCGTGGACGATGCTCTCATAGCCTGAAAGGATAAGAGAGGACATGGCATCCAATGATCCCAATGCTTGACCGCAAGATGATATCCCCAGGTCCCCTTTCTGGTATGTGGGTTCACAGAGCCGACTAAACGCCTCCATACATAATGCAATGAATGCCAGCATTCGCAATGGACAAAGCGCCTCAGGGAAATGCCTTCTAGTCCTCATCCATCTTGCTGTTGTCAGGGTCCTCGAAGTCATCATCCTCGTCCTCGTCATCCTCATCCTCGGGCGCAGGGTTCTCCTCGGCGGCCTTGGCGAAGTCGATGACCTTGCCACGGGTGCGGCGACCGACGACGTTGTCGAGGTCGATCTCCTGCATGTCGTCGTCGTCCTCGGCGTCATCTGGGGAAAAAGTCAGTACTCAAGTCATGATCGCGCCTAGGTAGAGTATCTGCTCCGAGAGAGAGCGCATTACCATCGTCGTCGTCGTTCTGTGAAAGAAGAGTGGTCAGTACTCGACAAGAGGAAGCATGCGCCTGAGCGCGGTGAGGAGCAATGCGTGACCTACCTCGGCGGCGTCCTCATCCTCATCGTCGTCGTCGTCCTCATCCATGGCAGTATCGCCCTTCAGGTCCTGCTCGCTGGCGACAGCCTTGCCCTTGCCCTTGGACTCGGCGAACTCGCCGCCCTGGGCGTTGGTGGGGTCCTGCGCCATGGTGGAGTCTCCGTTCTGGTGGTCAGCCATTGTTGGTGATAAGGGAGGATGTGTAAGAGGTGAGTTGATTGAGTGTGTAGACGAGGCAGTCTGCGATTGGCACGGGGTCGTCTGGAATAAGTGGGAAGGAGATGTGGTGGAAGAAGTGAGAGAAGACTGAGAGATCGTTGGTTCGAGTGGACGGACTTTTGGCCTGGTCTTGCCGCTGCAGCTTTGCTTCGCGCCTCTGGGAGCTTGTGTTTGTGGGGCCAATCATCATCCTCAGGGAAACAGTGAGGCGCTAGGCCGAATTTGGGCCTCCCGTGCTTGCTTCTTGTCGCATTGTCCTATTGTCCCGTGCGTGATGGACACAGTGCACAATAGCTTACTTTGTAATTATTAATACTGTACATCGAGAACTCCCAGGCCTGGCATGTGATCTTTTCAAGACTTTGAGGATAGCAGCCAAAGCATACTCCTAAAGCTTGCTGCCATTTGACGCCGTTGTTGCTAGGCCATATTATACTGGAAACTGAGCATGCATGGTCCTGGTGGCGTTCAAACTATAAGAGGTCGCTCTCGATTACAGCGTCGTCGTGGAAAGAATGGGCGAGGAGCATCGGCAAGTAGCCTGGTCACTTGGGCATGCAATACACCTGTAGGTAGTGTATAGTCAGAGCCATCACTACGACAGCGGGTAGAGAGATAGAGGCGCAACCCGATATTGCGAGATTCCCATCAATCCTGTTCACATATGGCACGCCAATTCCACGTTCCTGGAGATGGAAACCCATGACAAGCCCAGGCATAGATAGGAGCCAGCAAGCTTGCCAACATTTCTCTTTTTGCATCGTACAACAAGATACCTCTAAGCTCCCTCTCATTTGTCTCCTCCCCCGCCAGTAGCCAACAGCAGGACACCAACGCCGATCAACCACCAGTACCTGCGAAGCAGCAGTTAGCATCATCACATCCACGACGGCACAACTCCCAGAGACAACAGCAGCAACAACATACTTTTGCAAAAACGTCTTCTCCTGCTCCGGCTGCACCTTCCTGCCCTCGGGGCTCAGCACCACGGGCTTGTTCAGGTCGGGCTGCTTGCCCTGCGCCGCGACCACGACCCGCGCCTGCGGGCCAAAGTCCCTCGTGGCGCCGGCGTCGATGCGCACGCCCCGGCACGCCGCGCCGAGGTAGCTGCCCCGCGCGTCGACCGACAGCGTCAGGTGCGGGCTGTACCCCTTGGCGAAGTTGCGCGCCGCGGCGACCGACGTCGAGCCCGCCCAGCGCCTCGTCTTGGCGTCCCAGACGCCCACGCGCACGAGGCCGTCGCCGTCGTCGGGCAGGTAGGGCGCCTCGTAGGCCGAGACCTCGGCGGAGGAGGGGTCGAGCGCGTCGTACCTGACCTCGGCGAGCAGGGCCGGCTTTTTGGCCGCGGCGCCGCTGCCGATGGGCTGGATGTAGATGGATGCGGTGCGGACGTCTGCGCTGACGAGCGCGGCGCCGAGGAGGGCGAGGAGCAGGATGAACTGCCTCATTTCGACGACCGAGCTGGTACCCTGACAAGGTTTGTCGATCGAGAAGAGAGATTGACGGACCGAGGTGGCGTTGTTGGGAGTGGTCAAGTCAGGTTGTGGGCAGCTGGGTCTTGTAGGTTTGGGAAGCTTTGACGTTGAAGGGGGCACCTAAAAGGATGGACCCGGTTTTATTACTTCAAGCCTCCTGCGAAACAGCCTCAAATTGACTGCACGCACTTATTCAACTTTCTGGTCCGTGACCATCTCATGAAAGATGAGCAAATAGTACAAGGCCATTCTTAAGGGGAAGAGAAATCGTTTTCAAAATTGTTATTCGAAATGCAAATGCTACCAAAACGCTTGAATGATATGATGGCACTGAGCCAAAAAGCCATGAATGGAATCAAACCCCAAAGTTCCCATGCCCGGAACACCAGCCTGCCCACCACTGTCCATAACCCCCTGTCTAAATGTCATGACGCTCCTCTATGTATTCCGCTGCGTTCTGACAACCCGTCGGATCGATTGCTCTTGAATCGTCCGAGCCTCTAATTGCAAGCTCAAACCTGCTCGTACCACATGGCTAAGTCGTTTGTGCGATGTTCGATGTTGATCCAGATGCTGATGTTTGTGGTTCATCTGTGATTAGGTCGTCGTCATCCCCGATGTCGTCCGAGTCCTCTTCGTCACCATCCTCTAGCTCCTCGTCGTCTTGGCCTTCCTCGCCTTCCAGCACATATCCTGGAGCGCGCTCCACCAGTCCGCGATAATAAGCCACTAGAACCTCTGGATTTGGAACTATCTTCCAATCCACCCTGTAGAGAAACTCAAGCTCTAACAGCCTCAGTTCAGCCAATTTGACTCCTCCAACCCTGGCGTAGGTGGAGTTGTTCCAGAAGGAGTCCGACAGGCCCTTGGCTGCGACCGTGGCCGCCGTGATAAGGAAGCGGTGGACAGTGAGTGTGTTGATTGTGAAGTCCGGGTATAGAGCGCATAGCCGGTCGATATAATACACCATTGCAAGGAGCAGCGGCGGGGATAAAGTGGCATGCCTTGCTAGACGGTTCAGATAGTCCAGTACTGAGATGCCCGGTGCAGTCCTGCAAGATCTGTCAGCTTATGCATGGCCGTGAACTCATTCAGGAGGATAGTCTCATACCGTGAATGAAACCTGGTCAAGTTGCCGGACTGAAGGGCCAGAGGATCATTGGTTTCGATCAGTTCGCCCAGCATATGAGCGATCAGAATCACTATATCCTCCACGGAGCAGAGCTCGTATCTTTGTGGCAGGACTTTGGGTGCTGGTGCCGCTGGCCTGGCCCTCTTAGAACCGGTCGCCGGGTTCTGTGCCATAGGAGCAGTGGATGGCGAGTTCCTCCTCTTGATCGTGTCGGCTCTCTGTGACGCAGGTTGTTGCTGGTGCGCGCTCCCCTCGGCAGCCGCATTTGCAACCGTAGCTGGGACTGCAGCGGTCTCATTTGTCGGACCGCCTGTCGTGTCCATCGGTGTAGGCCCGGGAGGTGTTGGCGGCGGATCGGTTGGTGCAGGCGCTGCCGTCGCCCCTGCTGACTGCGCCGACGAGCCGTTATCTGCGGATGCCATGGGCCTCATGGAAGGAGAAATTTGTTGCTGCCTTGGCCGCGCCTGAGACGGCGTGTCTGAAGACATCGCGGGCGACGGTTGAGACCGTCGCCGCAAGCTGCCAATCGATGCGCGGGGAGATTGGTGAGGAGAGAGGTTGGGCGCATAGTGAAAGCCATGAAAGTTGGGCGACGAGTTGGCAGATCGTGAGGGGACTGTTGGAGACCGGGTCAACATGGTCTTTACAGCATCATGGCCATCGCAGGTCGCAGCGCAGGGCAGCGGGCAGGAGTGACCGTGCTGCTGCCACCGAGTCGCGACAGCAGTGGAAAGCGGGCGGAGATGGGCGACGACGGAGGAACGATCGTCGCCGGGACCTAGGGCCAAGCCTCGTGGGTAGAGAAAAGATTGACACCCGAATATCACTGCAGAGCAGGCTCGATGGTTAGGTCCAGGTCACAAGAGGAACGAAGAGGACAAAGCCCTTTGCTCAATCGCTCGTCATTGCTAGAAAGAGCTTTGGTGTGGGTGCTGAAAGGCCGGGCTGCGCAGGCGGGATTGCGTACTTTCGAGAAGTTTGCGCAGATTGTGCCCGCAGATTGTGCCCACCCACTATTGCGTTCCCCGTCGTGGTGAGAATGGCATTCTGATTTGTGGGATGCGGCGCGAGGCCGGGGGAGGCGCCTCATTAGCTCAGCTTTCGGGGAAAAGAAAACGTAATATTGTACAATGTACCCCGCCCCCCGGGCCTCAGTACCCACGCTGGAAGGCTGTATCGACGAATATTTAGGCAGCGCGATACCTCAACTCCTTTCTTGAGGATTTCAATCTGAAAACAGTGCATTGGGGCGCGATGTGTGGTGCGGCGGCCCTCTAGCCGGTAATCTCCCAATGCTGGCGCACACCGAGTCAGTCGCCTGCATCCTCACTTGCTGTATGTGCACTGGCATGTAAGGTAAGGACTGAACACTCCGGTCCAGCAGTCCATGCTTTCTGTTGACATGTGCAACAAGTCAGCGAAAGTGTTTCAGTGCCCCCGTAGCAGACAGGAGAACACCTGCGCCGGGCGAGGCTTCTCATTGGCTCGAGAAGGGGTGAAGATCATATATCTCCAAGGTTCAAGGCTCAAGATTCAAAGACGATAAGAGCAGCCTCCTGCCGACACGGGGGCAATACATAGTGGCTCTAATACAGACTGGCACGACTGGGTGACTTACTAAACAATTTGGAGATCTCAGACAACGAACAGGGGTGATCGGAGCTTGCCTTTCATCAAGCGAGAAAGCAGCTAGATGTACTCTGCATCAAATTAAATACCTAATAGCATGAGGAGAAAAGGCGCCAAGGCATGGCCCACGAGGCTGAGAACTCCAACCAGGCACCTTACTGTAAGTAGGGAAAGTAGGGCAGTACCTACCTATGCTCAGGTCATCGGGTGTTTGACCTTTATGATCACGGGTACCGCAGTGCAACGAGCTCCCAGCGTCTGAAAATGCTCCATTGGTGCTAATGGTACCAGCTGCATGGTCCGTGACTCCGCTGTGCCAATGACTGGCCAGCGCTGGAAGGGCCCTGGCTTACCTGGCCGCCGCCCTTCTATTTTACAGTGGAGAAGATCGCCCGGCATTGATTGGCAGAAGTTCAGCCTTGACGCCATCGCCTGCTATTGTTCACGACTTCATATTGGCCCTGTATCAACGCCCGGTCGCATCAACGTCGCCGTGTCCATCCTGTGAACACTTCCTTTTCAGAACATAGCGACGACTTGTATGATCTATTAATTGTTAATCCAGCTCCGCGATCAGTGGTCGCATCTGAGCAGATTGCCACGCTTAGAGGCAAGGGTGACCGATACCACCACTCGCTCTTTGAGCCGCGAAGCAATCGCTTTGACCAAGCCCATCATACATCCATACACTCCGCATCTCTCTGTCAGATACCGTACAGCTGGCATCGATGCCGGTCCTGTTTCTTGCGACTGAACCTATCTTCTAGACCACCGTCTGGCAGCGGACGCACGATCCGATGGCTCTCGCCGATCCTCCTCCGATCCTAGCGCAGTTGACCAGCGCAAGGTCATGTGCCGAACAAATAGCTGCTCTCAAGGCTCTCAAAAACGACGTTATAGGCCATATACAAAAGAAGGAGCAGTGGGTTGAGCTTGGTGTCTTGGAACCTCTGGTCAGGGTTCTGGATGCGGATCGTCCCCAGACGCAGCTCAATGGCAAATTGAGTCGTGGCGAGGCTCAGCGAGCACTCGGCGAGGAGGAACAACTGCGTCTTCACGCGCTCGAGCTTCTTGCCGCCTTTGCTAGCGGTAAGCCCATCTGAAATATCGCATTGCAATCATCTGCTGACTACTATCCAACCGTTAGGCGGCCCTCCTTTCCTCTTCCCCTTGCACGCGGTCGATGCATTGTCTGTAATTCTGTCGAGTGTCGACCCGACGGAAACCCACCCGAAGCTTGTCCTAGCGGCTTTGCGAGCATTACTGAATCTTTCAGAAGCTTCGTTGCTTGCAGCACCGCTTTCGCCATACGATACGACGAGCCTGGCGACCGGGATCTTCACTCCACGAAATTTGGAAGCGCTGCGAGCCATTCTCTCGTCTTCCGATGATTCTTTGGTTCAGGCTTCTCTGGTAAATGCTGCTGCGTCGCTCATTGCAAGGCTCTGCAAGGATGAGCAGCACCAGGTTGCTCTTGCAGATACCGGAGTGCTAGACGCCCTCGCGACTCAGCTGGCGGGCTTCATCGTCGCCAAGGGGCATGTCATCCCAGGTGCAGATGTTGCTGCCCAGAATGAAGGCTTGTCCGGAGGCATACCTAACGCGGCATCTCCGGGAACAAGTCTCCTCACTATCATGGACGCAATATCAGCCGTCATTGCCGATTCCCGTCTGCGAGCCTGCATGCTCATCCACTCCCCTGCAATTCTCTCCACACTGCCACACATAAAATTGGACACGCCAAGTCAAGACGTTCCAGCTATCTGGAACTCGCTTTATGCCCAGGGTCTCAGCACTTACCAGTGGCAGAACTTTGGAGCCATGGATTTTCTACTGCCTGCTGTTCCTGGTCACCATACTCGATTTTCTGCCTCTCAAATCTCGTCTTTCCCGCCCCTTGGCACATCGCATTCTGGAGAGAATCTAAGCGGCTATCAACAGAACCCTTCCGGTCGGCTGGACGTTGAAACGAGCAAATGGGGCACTTCTTTTCTCGACATCCTGAACCAGATTGGCGATCGGAGTTTGGAAGAGCCAGAGAGCCCCCTGATCCCGTGGCTCTTCACCCTGGTCAGGGAGTCAGAGGAGTTGGAGAGGTTTATGGCAGCCTCGATATTGTCCTCGCTCTACAAAGCGGGCTTCGCAAGCCGATCCCGTGAACCAGCGCTGGCGATGCTCATAGTACCTCTCCTGCTTCACACTCTCTATATACTTGGTCCTGAAATACCTCAAAATGGGTCGACGTGGATCGACTCTGAAGCTGCTGAAGATTGGGACAGGACACAGCTTACTCTGACGGTTCTAGCTCGTCTTGTGACCGACAGCGAACTAGTGCAAAAGGCCGCTTTTGAATGCGATGCTGTCAAGGTGATTGGCAAGTTACTGAAAGATTCTTACGAGCCTCTGAACACAAGGTCACAGCCCAAGACCTGGAGCCCATGTCCCCAAGATGACAGCGCCATGGCCGCCGAGGGCGGACCCGGACATCGTGTCTTGGGCCCTCCCGGCCAGCTGGCGTTGCACGCTTACCGGGCTAAGCTGAGGGAGAGTGCCCTCAAGGCGGTCGCAGCGATTGTTTCCTTCAAGGAAGAGTATCGCAAAGCCTTCGTTGAAGAAGACGTCATGCCTTACATCGTCGAATCTCTGACTGAACATCCTACGAAACCTTCAAAGTCAAAGGATCGGGCGAAATCTTCAAAAGATGGGAGCGAGCTTACAGCAGCGCAAGCTGAGGCTCTCTATGGCAATAACCCCATCAGCGTTCTCATTGCCGCATGCCATACAATTCGCATGTTGTCGCGCTCGGTCAGCATTCTCCGGACCGCTTTGGTCGATGCCGGGGTTGCCCAGCCTATCTTCAACCTACTTCGACATCCCGAATTGGAGGTCCAAGTCGCAGCCACCGGGGCCATTTGCAATCTAGTCCTAGATGTTAGCCCCATGAAGGAGGTGAGTAACCAGACAACCTAGTGTTCACGCATACGACTAACGGTCTACAGCGACTGGTTGAGCTCGGGATCATGAAGGTGCTTTGCGAGCACGCCCACTCACAACATGCGCCGCTCAGGCTGAATGCGCTCTGGGCTCTGAAACACTTTGTCGATGGGGTGGGTGCCGAAACGAAGAAGGCTTGTGTGGATGAGCTCGAGCCTGGCTGGCTCGTGCGTCTGATTTGCGATGACACCGAGGATGAGGCCCTCTACGCGCGAATGAAGAGCGAAAGGCAGACACCAGCACCCAGGGGAGACGGCATGGACGAGGACGTCGAGATGGACCAAGAGGAGGAAGCCAGATCATGGGACTCTTCGTCTCTACATAGGGCCAGCTTCCCTAAGACAAGTCACGAGAGAACCAAGACTCTACGGGTACGGCAAGCAGAGAGCAGGCTGGCGGCCCTGCGCGAAGCCGAGCTCAACCCGGTCCGGCGCGCAAGGAGCGATGACCTCGCCATCCAAGAGCAGGGACTCGACTTTATCCGGAACCTCCTTGGGCCGGCTGGGTCCAGCAACATGGACGCGCAGCAGGAGACGACCGAGATGATCGACTACCTGTTCAGCGAGCTGGGCCAGGACCGGCTGTTTGGGATCCTGGCCAGCAAGCTGCGGGTCAAGGTGCTGCACCCGTTCGGGCGGCGGACGGCGGCGGGGATCCAGAACTCGCGCGTGCTGTACCCGCAGCCCAAGATCGTCGAGGCGGTCATGTACGTGCTGGTGCACATCGCGGCGAGCGTGCCGCGGCACCGGCAGCTCGTGATCGCGCAGACGGACCTGCTCAAGCTGCTGAGCAACCACTTCACCAACAAGGACAAGAACGTGCGGCTGGCGCTGTGCCACCTCATGGCCAACCTCACGTGGCGGGACGGCACGACGGACACGCAGAGCTCGTCGCAGCGGGCGCACGAGCTCAAGCGGCTCGGCATGCTGAGCAAGATCGAGAAGCTGGCAGCCGACGACGCCGAGCTCGACGTCAGGGAGCGGGCCAAGTCGGCCAAGTGGCAGATCTCGCAGTCGAATAATGAGTACTAAGAGCAGAGGGCGGGGGAGTGGGTTGGTATAGAGTCCCTGTCGCACTACAACGCAACATGTACATTCACACACAACGCATCGCATAGTTTCAGTCGCCGAGGAGTACTTCCTCGAGGGGCACTACGGCAGTGCGACTTATTGGGATTTGACTAGCGAATGGAAAGCGAGACCGCGCGCTTTGCCTCTCTTTCATCTTTATGATCGGTATAGGCTAGGCCATTATAGGGCCTGATCTGAGTCTGCTGCAGCCTGTGCCGTTCCATCCAAAGACATAGCTGCATGCATGCATTGCAAAAAGTGCCTCTCACAAAAGGACGGATCCCCTCACGAAGTCCGAGCTCTTCACTGTGATATGAGGCTTTCCCCCCCGGAAGCCGCGGAGATGGTCTCAGGCAAACGTGCGATCCATGCGACGATCATTCGTTTCTTCCGACCCGAGCTCCGTTGTGACTGAGGAGGTAGGGGACTGCAGGTATCACATGCAGGGCTGACAAAACCTGCCAACGGCGACATTTGGCTCTGCCCTGAACCCAAAAGAGGTTTGGTTGAGCAGGTACTAGCAAGATTGGGGAGGGTGGCATGACCAGCAAAAAGACTCCATCGCTCCACCAAGATCCTAAAACTTGAACATCTACGCACTTGATTTATGATGGACGGGGGAGCCTGACGAGGATTGGGAGGAGCCTACCGGCACCGGAGCTCTTTTGTTGCTGGCCCCGCGATACTCTATTTGGTTTCCTGACGTAAGAATTTCTTCCCTGATAGGATGAGTCCTTCAGTATGTTAGTGCGAAGGGCGCGCGCGTTTGCTTCCGGATGTTGCGGAAGTATCCCGGTCCGTCTTTGCTGAGGGTAATAAGAGCAAAGAGCAGATATCTAGTCCAATGCAACATGATGTCGCACTTCTGCGGGCATGAAGTCAAATTTCCATCACTCTCTCTCCTCCTCTGCTCTTCGCCTCTGAGAGAACAACGTGGTTGATGATAGGTCGGGATGCCGCATGGAGTGCTCTGCAGGGCTAGCTCCCCGGCAGTTGAGGTGTGGTCGGATAGCCCAGGGTCCACACCTCCACAACCGGCGGCCGGTTAGCGGCCGGGAGAGGAAGAGTGATCATCATGATTGAAGTGGTCGCATCACACCGGCATAGTCGAATACGCGAGAGAGAGCATAAGAAAGCTTCTGAAGCTACGTGACTCATTCTAGCCAAGGACCGAGGAGGACTGAGGCTGAGAAGATGCGCTTGACGGATTGTCCGCACTTACACAACTACGTGCGTGCGATTAGACAGTAAATTAACGACGGATTTAAAGGTTAAACATGGACGATCACACATGGTTCCACATCGTACGGTTCCATCAGATTATAGGGCTCTTCCCAGTCCCCAGTCCGGGGGAAGGAGGGTCGATGAGAAGGGCATCTTCGAGCGAGGACGCGATTCAGTCTGATTGTCCCGGCTGTTGCATGGATTTGCCAACTGCTGTGAGCTCTGTGCAGACATACTGCAGCGTGACGTGCTTGTGCGGTCAACGTCGAGAAAAGCATATGGTTGTTTCATTTGCTTGACAGCGCCACTTTTTCTCCATCTGATATGACCTCAAGCTGATGATTCGGCTTGCAGAAGCTAAAGCATCCCGCCTGATGAACAGCTAACCCGGCGGTAACTTTCGCACGAGCGCCAACTCTAATTAATCAGCATGATAGTAAGCATGATACTTGTCCGGCACCCTACAGTGCCCCGCCGATCTCTCTGTGAGGCTCTCCGACTTTTTGCTGCAGGAATGCCTGGGCCAGGCAGGCCAAGATGGTCATCCGGCCAACCAAGACGTCCTATCCCGCAAGTGCCCAAGCCTGTTCGTTTCTGTTTGTCTTTGTCCGGTATCTTCGGGCGCCCGTCTTACATCGACGATGAGAAGCTGGGCACGATTCATGCAGCTTTTCGTTCCTGCTGGCCAGTCGAAACTCACCGTGGTGCCCATCATGCCTCCATTCGCTTCGCACAGCTGCATGTGCTGCAACAAGGCCGGCGGGGATGGAGATGCAGGACTTTTGAGTGAGACCCCCCCTGTCGTGCCACTGAAGCGCGGAGCTCTTGCAGGGTGTTTGCTCCCGGTCGAAACCGGAGACATCACGACATTTGGCAAAGAAAAAAAAATATAAGGCAATTATGGGGCCGGGGTGGTGGTTCTTAATAATGATGGCGTTTGGGGTCTCATGACTCCGGAGGGTTCCAGGCCCCACTCTCCGGGACGGCACCAGCTCCACCGCACTTCTCTCGGGATCTGCCCTTTCTAGAACCAACCACACTTCACGGCCTGACCAGGGGGGTCTCGATTTCTCTCTCTGGTGCCGCGAGACCTCCAGACCTCCAGACCTCCTCTGCGCTGTTGCTTTCGCTTCGGCCTCTCGCGTCATTGGCGATCACGGACGCTCGTGCTTCTTACTCGCGCCCGCATTCTCCTCGGAGGGTTCGGATTTGCGAGAAGCTTCTCAGCTGCTGCGGCCCCATATTACCTTAGCTTCCAATCACCGGCATGATGCTGATGATGTGACAGGCCTAAATGGAAGAGGAGCCAGGCAGGTCCCAACCGGTTTAGCTGGCCGTGGTGATGTCCGGGAGCCCTGTATAAGAGGACGGTCCGTCCTCCCCTTACACAGCCACGACTGACTCACTTCACAATATCATCATCGCTGAGATATTACGCACTTTTGCACAGTGTTCTCACTTCAATACCTGTTGGTCGTTGACCACATATCAGAAATAATACACATCATTATCAGGGAGTGATCCCCAGATATCATCCACCAGCCACTTACTTGCCTCTCGTCAGATACAAACGAGTCTGACTCTTTTGTGTGAAGACCAAATCTAATCCCTTCTTTACTCCTACCAATACAAGCTCTCAACCACGGCGCCAGTATTGAATATGGCCGTTCTGCTCTCCCGTGGAAACGATGCCCTCCGCATCAACCCGCCCGCGGGTGACCAGCGCCTCGCCACCCACGGCTCCGACTGGCTGTGGGCCGTGACGGCCGTCTACTGTCTCTCGTTCCTCGTCTTCGTCGCGCTGACCTACGTCGCGCGGGCCGGCGAGAAGATCTTCCACTACCTCTTCACCATCGCCCTGCTCGTCGGCTCCATCGCCTACTTCGCCCAGGCCTCCGACCTGGGCTGGGCCGTCGTCCGGGCCGCCAACGAGGTCAGCCGCGGCGCCACGCGCCAGATCTTCTACGCCAAGTACGTCAACTGGGTCGTCGCCTTCCCGACCATGTCCATCGCCCTCGGCCTGCTCTCGGGCGTCTCGTGGGCCACCATCGTCTACAACGTCTTCCTGGGCTGGGCCTGGGTCGTGTCCTACCTGCTCGGCGCCTTCGTCCAGACCAACTACAAGTGGGGCTTCTTCGTCTTCGGCACCTGCGCCTGGTTCCTGCTCGCCTTCAACACGCTCTTCGAGGGCCACCGCGGCGCCACGCGCGTCGGCGTCGCCAGCGACCACATGATGCTCGCCGGCTGGCTCAACCTGCTCTGGCTGCTGTACCCCATCGCCTGGGGCGTCAGCGACGGCGGCAACTACATCAAGGTCACCTCGGGCTTCGTCTACTTTGGCATCCTCGATATCCTCATGATCCCCCTCATGGGCTTCGCCATCGTCGTCCTGTCGCGCCGCTGGGACTACGGCCGCCTCAACATCGCCTTCACCCAGTACGGCCGTGTGAACGCCCCGGCCGGCACCTTCCCTGAGAAGGCGGCCCCTGCCGCCACCGCCCCTGCTGGCGGCCCCGTCGCCGGCGCGCCTGCTGGCGGCCCCGTCGCCGGCGAGACCGCTGTCTAAAGGGGTTGTTGATCGTCAAGCTTGGGAGAGAACGCAGCTCAATATCCTTTCCTCCCCCCTTGATCTCTTTTCGAGGGTTCCAGAGAGTCTCGTTGCATACGAACGACACTCTCGAATCGACTGATCGTACCACAACACCAAAAATCATCCTATCTTTGATAATAGTAATAGAGTCGCTCATTCCCTGTGTCTTCTCTCCTCAACGACGCACTCACACGGTCTCGGCGACACGCTCAGGCACTTGTTTGTCTATTCACGAAACAGACGGCTGGGTTGTTCTTGTTGTTCTTCTGGCGCTTCTGGTGTTGCGTCTTACTTTACTGGAACGGCTTCACGATGGCACATGATACCCTCATTCGCTAAGGGGTTTTCTTTTACCACCTGGCTTTGATACCCATGCCTTTTTTTTCTTCGCTTCGATGTCGTCGCAAAGCTACTTGTGAAGAAGAGTAGTGTAGCTATTGTGTAAGGCCCTCGTGGCTGGGCCATTTACGGTCTACCGGGAGAGGTCACGCTACTTTTAATGTATAATAATAGGGGAAGCAGTACAAGAAAATAAAACTAAACTATACAGATATCAATATGGCTACTATCTTTGATAACATTACATGTGAAGATGATATCCAAGTATTATACAACATTTGTTAGCTAGCAACGTTTAACAAGAAGCCGAACAATCTTTCACGTCGGAACACAACATACGCAATCATCCAGTCAAAATGACTCGTTACCGTAGACTCTTATAGATATGGCGATATACGGACCTGATGCAATCTCCACGTCGAATCTGACAGTATATTGTCCTTGATGCGTAGAGGTTTACGTCTTCCAAGCCGCCATAGTTACTCGAAGAATGCCAGATGGTCAAACTAGAGCTTTTCCTTGAGTCTTCTCGGTTCCTTCACCGTAAGCCCTAGCTCTTTTTTAAGCAACTGCACACAGGTATGCACAAGAGCGCGAGGGACACTCCGAGAGTATGCAAGTCGCTTGATATTCCCGTCCGGTCCCAGGATAGCTTTCTCAACGGCTGTGTATCTGCTCACTCACCCGTAGCATTCCTATCCAAAAAGAGACTGCGGCTGGTACTACACAAGCAACGACTTCTCCCCCCCGAACTTCTGGGTCAAGAATTACAATATAATCTGGATGGAGAGAGTATAAATAGGCTAGAGCCAAGAGTATACAGACTCCGCCGTTCGTGCCACTTGACAACTCTGCGTCGGCCGGAAAAAGCTTGCTCAATAGAAGTATGCCAAGTCGTTGCCGTTGAACCTTGTATCACTCTGGCCTTAGGAGAAAAGAAATCTTGTTCACCTGCCATGCATCAATGACATCCATCAGAGTCAATAACTTGGACTTGATAGATCCCGTACTTTTGTCAACAGCCACCAGCATCACCCGCTTCGGAGTCAAGGTGCGCCTTCTGGCCGCCAGCCGCCCCCCTGGTCAACGAGACCTTGGGAGTCGATCCAAGAGAACATTGTTCGCGCAAAATGGCGTTGAAAGCAAGCTCAAGGGTGGTATCAGTTTCCTCTAGAGCGCAGCTGTACCTAGGAACGGCGGACAACCGTTTCTCAACAGGCGAGGTAGTGAATGGCTATGCTCACCGTCATAATCTCTCTTGTGACCGAACGCTTATTGCTAAGGGGCTAACAAGTCTGATCGGTACGACGTGCTTCTGATGGCGGAGAATAAGCCGGGCCCATGCAACATGAGGGAATGAATGAAAAGGGGGTGGTCACCCGCCGTTACAGGTACTTTGTCGAGAACCTTTTCCCTCCAGATTGTATCCGTCATGGAGAAAGCATCAGCCTTTCTGTTCTATAAAACCCAAACATTAGAGTTGTGCGCCCCCCCCCCCGACGAAACCGTCCACGGGATACGTGACACGGCATCGCGCGCGCACCATCTCCGGTCGTCCTACGCAGTGCTACAGCTGTGAGTAAGTGACGGAGGTTCTACAAGGGAACACGGCAATCATTTAGCCACATTCACACAACAGAAGGCTCGCTAGATCAAACGTCTGGCTGCCGCCGAGGCCCTGCGGTGCGCGACAAGAGCCGCAAGGATACACTCCTCCCCCCCCTTACCGCCCCTTTCCCGGAAGGGCGGTCTGCCACCATTGCACGACATCGAGGCAGCGGCGCGTGACCGAGGAGAACTCTTTGGCTTCTGATGGCCTCAGGTCGTGACATACCAAAAAGAAAAGAAAAGAAAAGAAAAGCAACACGCACATGCAGCAGACGAGGTTAGGTCGTGCCTCGGGCACAGAGAGGCGAATGGCTCGGTCCGAAAGTTCACATGCCGTCGTTGAGTAACGGGAGTTTCATATAGACGCCATTTCCGGAATACGTTGAATGAAATGAATTGTTACATACGCACACGACTCACGCCGAATGGAATTCCCTAGTCGAACATTGTATTTTGCACGCTCGTTATGCTATCGGGATATCAACCATGTGAATAGATGTATAGCGGACTCGCATCATTCGATATCAACAGGAGCCAACCGGAAGTGTCATGGCTGTTTCCTCCCTTCGCAAATTTCCGCGAAACAAACGGCCCTTCTTTCTTTTCATACACTTTGATCATGCAAAGGCGGCACATCGCCGGGCCGCCGAGGCGTGTTCGGGACCGGGCGAACGTACCGAAAGAACAAAAGCTGCACAAGCAAAATAGAAGGGAACCAAATAATTTTCCGTCCGCAAGAAGCTTTGGGGGCCGGACACTGGTTCCTGGCTTTTCTGCTCTCTTGATCTCCGAAATACTGGGACGTGGGACGTCCTGTGCCTCTCTCTAGATTAAAAGATCAGAGAGCTGTTTCCCCAGCCACCAACTGCCGGAGAGAATATTGTCCCGCGCGGTTCTCGTAATCAGACCGACCCAGGGGGCGGGCGGGTTGATATCACCTTGCCCACACCACGGGACAGTTACCAAAGGAAAAATACTCCGTAGTAGGGGAGGAGACACTGCAGAGGCCGACACACGCCAAACCACATGTCGGCACATGCGGAGCCGTGGCTGTTGAAATGCCCGGTGCCTCTATCAGATCAGACAACCAAACAAGGAAAATTCCCAGGCACTTCAGCCTAAGAGCAGAGATGACATGCGGTGCCCGGGAGCGCACCCCATTGGTCCCGCCCCACGCCGATTACGCTCTCATTGTCACCTACCCTACCTTATCAATCTTGCCATATTCCACATAGGTATATCCTCCTTTTATGTGCAAGGGGAGACTTTTGTAGGGGAAGAGGGAGATACGCAAGAGACGAGAATCAAGAGGAGCACCACCTGAGCCGTATGCTCGGTACCTTAGCATGGCAGCTATGTGCCTTCACATGGGGCGACCTCCCCTTGGGATGGGCCCGTGGCCCGAACCTCCAGCGTCCAAGGTGCCCATTGCGTCTGACATGAGGCGCTGACAGCTGTTCTGGCGTTTGATCTCCGCGACACTGACTGCCTGGCTCGCGAGGCCTGTCCTTGGTCTCTGTACTTGTAGGTACCATAATCCTGTCCCTGCACCAGAGCGGGGGGATGTGCAAGACCGCAAGATGGCACAGCTGCCGATTGGCTGGGCAAAGGTGCCACGATGGCGATGACCGCAGGCCCCCAAGCTGTGAATGCCGACGCCGTAGCACCCTTGATTCTGTGCGCGTGTTTCTCGGTGATATACTCACTTGGGACAGGCGGTTAATGAAGGAAGAGTAGGGGTAGGAGAAGGAAAAGAAAGGAAGATCGACGTGCATTGCCATGCTGCCCAAGATGACATGGAACCCACCGGCTCTCCTCCACTGGGTGTAGCACCAGACGGCTTTTTCCGCGTAAGAAAGAGGCCACAGGTGTATCTGACTGAAGCCGTTCGGTAACGACGGAAGCGAAGAAGCGAGAGAAGCAGCGATGAGCGAGGGACTTTTTGTTCCGGTCCTGCACACAGATACCTACCTATCACGGCGGCCAACTGTGGCGCCGCCGCCACTCGTTTCGGGCGAACAGGCGGTGGGAGAACATCGCTGATACTGGTGCGCCGTAGCTCTAGATCACGGCCATGAATGCGAGAGAAGGAGGCTGTGTCCGGGCGCACAGAACGGCAACCAGCCACAAGGGCGAGCCTGGGCTCCTCCAGCAGTGATCTGATCTCACCCAAGCGACCCAAGGGAGCGCGAAACGGACACGGGATGACGAGTTTGGTCGAGAAAGGCGCCTGGTCTCTGGCTCGCGGATCACGTACAGCCGCTCTTGCCAGATCCAGGGCTCGGGTCATGCCGCCGCTGAGCGAAAGTGAATAGACAGCGCCAATTGCTGACTACCAGCAGAAGAACGAGCATGACTGCCTGTAGAAAGGTCGGTAGGTGGTGTAGCTGGGAGGGGAGTGAGTGCCTTGCCCAAAGCCCCCCCTCCTCTCCACACGTTTCTGCGACCCAAAGAGCCAGCCCACTGGGCTGGATTCTGTTTTTCATGGTGTTGGCTCAGCCACCGAGACGGGTGTTTCTGGAACAGAACCGGCCAACTGGTCAAGGGGACGCAGCTGCCCGGGCGGGTCGCTCCTCTTCTCTGGAAATGAGAACTGCGAAGCAGGATTGGAGGGTTGAGGTGTATTGAAACACGCGAGGTGCCGTGCAACGCGACTAAGGCAGTTGGACGGGGTGCAGGGTGAGGTGAGCCAACTTGTGCCAAGACAGAGAATGAGCAAGAGGAGGCGAAGCCGCTCCGGGGCGGGGAGGGGAGCTCAGGAGATTGCTTCTTGTCTTTCTTCTTGGGGATTCATACCAAGGATCAGATGTTTCCCTTTTTGACACTTGGCAAATTCCAAAAGTGCGAACAGGAGCGACAGATACTCGACAATCATAATAAAAAGCACCTGGAGAATGTCAAGGGCTGACAGGTCTCAAATGACGAGCATGCGATATACACGGAATCTCCCGCGCGTGGCACCCTTTTTGCCAGGGTGAGATCGTACACAGCCTGGATATAGTCATGTCTTTCCCAGATCAGGCCATTCA